GCCTGGCTAAGGGGTTTCTTTTCTCTCTCTTCCGGCCTCTCTCTCTCTCTCTCTCTCTTTTTTTCTTTGTCCATGTCTTGCTTAAACGAGATTTATGCGACAGCGATACACGATACACCCACGTATTTATTTATTTGTCTCGATTGTTTTTATGGGCATCAAAAAAGCTGCACATATTCGTCAGTCCATTAAAAATAGAGATATGGAAATGTTAATGAATTTAATATGCATGAAACCAGTGACCACAACAACTGTCAAATGTTTAGGGAATGTGGACATTTGGACAGCGCCCACTAGGGGATGCCAACCTTGCGGTTCTCTAATTTATGGTCATTCATTTTGTGGGCTCGCACAAAATGCAATGTTTTTTTGTTGTTGTTTTATCACTAATTTGCACTTTGCATTCGGTGGCAATCCAAACAACAAATTGCAGCCGACAAATGGCAGAGATTTTTACAAAGTGTGCGGAAATAAATTTAAATGAATTTCATTGTCGCGACGCACGCAGCGAACGCAATCGAAACTTTCCCAATAAAGTCAGCTTATCAGGCAGAAATAGGGCAATGCAAATGGTTCTAGATTTCCAGTTGGTTGCTGAAAATAAACTAATGGCAAATGCAAGCGAATGTATCGCAAGAGCCAAAGGACAAATGCGTTAATGGATATTGCTTACGCTTTCCAAGTTGGCAAAATAGCAAGTCATTGTCATTACTTACCACATGCAACATTAAGTATACGCTGTGTGCAAACAGACGAATATTTGTGCAATGAGGCGACTATTCGCCCTTAGTGCATTTAACTTTAGCAGATCATTGCATAAAATCACTGCTGTAAATGCAACTTGCAACTTGCAACTGCAGAGAATATTGCTCCTATTGTCATTTGGCGACTCTTCTGTTTTATTTTCTCTGTGTGTATTTATGGCCTTGTTTGCTTAACGAAGAACAAGCGGTCATAAATTAAATGTCATATTCTGGCCGCAGACAATGGCTCATCGATAGCCGCCAACTGCACAACAACTAAGTAACAAACAAAAAAATAAAATGAATAAAAATATAGATATATAAAAATGAGTATAGTTCATAGAGTAAGGATTTCAGATTAAACATGTCTGTAGATAAGCAGAATCGCGAGTTTAAGCATTTAATTATAATAATAAAGATGAATTTGGAGACCAATTCATTGCGCCTCTGGCTTAAGGTTCAGTCACATCACGCATACGCAGTGTGTGTTTGGTTTCCATTTAATTACAGACAGTCATCAGCATCATTAAAGCCTTTTTATTGCACTTCTTTGCCAAGAATTTAAGTGCCAACCACACAAGATTCAGTTTTATGGCATTTTATGCATTTTTAGATCCATACACACAACAAACAATCCACAATAAAGCAGCAACAGCAACAGCAACAAGCCGTAGACAGGCAGATATTAGCCTCTCCTGCCCGCAAAACGAACACATCTTCAATTTGCATATATGTATATATATATATAGAGAGATATGTATATATACACAGACATATGTGTTTATGTGGGTGCGCGTTGAAATATAAAACTACGCATCAGCAGTTGGCTGTCCATCTAGAAAATATTGGCCAATGTTAACGACCTATGCATGAAATCGATGAACTGAATATTTATATAATACTGAGAGGTAATATATCAAAAAGAAAAAAAATGTTACAGCGCATAGATTGAAGAAGTGAATAGAATTTAAGTCATCAAAATTCGCATATGAACAAAATATAAAAACCAAATGGTTGATTGACAGACTCTTCAAGCTGAATATGAATATATATATATATGTGTATATATATATATATATTTTTATGCAATGTTCATCCAGTTAAATGCATAAGTTCACAGATCAGTTGGTTTTTATTTATGGTAATTTTATTGGTTTTCTTTTTTGCATAAGCAATGCAAGAATACTTGTGAAATATATTTTTTGCTTAATTGAGTTTAATGGTTTGTTTTTTATAAACATGCTTAGCCTTTGTTGGAAAGTCTCTTGTTGAAATTATTTAAAATTACGTAAACAGAAAAGCAGTTGAATGAACAGAATATAAACAAAATATTGATTAATTTGTATGCAAATATTTACTATTAAGACGATTCTAAATGCAAAAACTTTCATTTTCCAGGCAAACAATAAAGTTATTTATAAATTAAAATATTTGTCTAATTAAGCCGCATGCAAATTTCTGTTTTGTTCGAAGCCTTAACACAATCAATAGTTGGCTTCAATGTATAAGTGGCATGGTTGAGAGAGCTTAAGTGCCGCTAATTAGTGGCACTCGACGCAAGGCCAAAGGTTGGGGCAGGCGCTGCAGATGGCTCAATGCCGCTATACACAACTGACAATTTAATTTTTACGAGCGCCTAATGTGCCTTTAATTACAAAAGTAACCATTTGGCGAGAATCGCTTGATTGAATATTTACATCAAATTAAGATTAATAGCTACTGTGCTACGGTTGCTGGTACGATTGCCTACAGCTAGCACAACATAAATAAGGACAACTGAATCCTTCGCTTCCTGCCTGCTGTTTTATCGATGGTATGCTTGCCATCAACTAAATTTATATGCGCGCCTTCCGCCCGGCAACAGTTGATTATTTTGTTTGCCGGCCTGTTTGGCTGCTATGTCGTTGCTTTAATAAAATAAATATTAATCACTTAGAGAGCTTCGAGCGGTGAGTATTGTGCGACACAATCAGTTGCACAGTCAAGTGCAACGCGAATTCAATTAGCTGCTAATGAAGTCATTTCAGGGGTTAAGCGAATCGCTTTACGCACAATCCATTTCATTCCGCAGTGTTACACTTCATTACATTAGCCATCAACAGGTTTGACGTCATAGGTCTAAATACACAGACACACACACATATATATATATATATATATATATATATCATTGTATATAATTAGGAACTCAATATGAGCGCAATTTCAGATGGTTGAATCCACATACAGACTTGAAATACACAAGTCAATGCCCGAATGTGACTACATGTCGTATGAGCATTGCCAACTTGCCCAAGGACACTTAATTGGCTAAAGCAGACAAAATTATTCTTTATTGACAACCGGACAATAGTCTGTAGCCTTATATTTTGTAAATGATAGTTTGCTGTAGAGTGTAATGTGCAAATGCAAATTGTGTTTCGTTTTGCCTAAGCAAATTAAAGTTAATTTAACAGAACTGAGTGCTTGTAAAAACCTAATCAAAAGTTGAAAGCCTAAGCTAAGATGCTTCAAATTGAATTCAGTCTATTGTTTTGAGTTCTATAAGTGCATTGCTTGAAACTCGAATGAAACACTTTAAACTTGTTGTTAATCCATTTCGGCTTTGAGTGATGCAAATGAGAAACTGAAAATGTTGAGATAATTGCATACAAGACTTCACATTAAGCCAAACCAATTCATTTTTTAAAATTATTTCAGCTTAAACAGAGTCATCAAAATTGTCAATAATAAGCATTAAATTAGTTTTACATTAAACACATATTTTGACTTTTTTTTTTATAGCAAAATCAAATCTTGAAGTCTACTTTAACTATTTTAATATTCAGTTGTTTTTTTTTGCACCTGGAGGCAATTGAATTCAGAGAATTTTCCTATTTAAATCATACACATTTTAGTGCCACATTTCTAATGTTAGCTTTACAAATTGCAATACTTGTGCACAATATGATGGTCTGTAGACAAAGGCGAAATTAGTTTGACTGGCCGTAGGCCAATCGAAACCGAGTGTGAGTGTGTGTGTGTGCGTGCTGGCTAAAAAATGACAGAATATGACTCTTTATGGGGCACTGGGGCATGGACAAACGAGCAAATGATTTCAGCATTGCAAGTGGGAATCGAGCGACATTTGCCGTTTCTTGCTGTCAGCTGGCAAATTTAAACGCCTGCAGCTGTTGTGAGAGAGAAGTTTGGTCCAACTGCCTGATGACCATTATCATGTCTCAATCGTCTCATGCCGTGCGATTTCATTAATACAGTTGCAACGCTCTGTCTGGTCGAGTCGATAGGAATGACCTTGGACCTGTGTGGACAGCAACCGTTTAAATGTCAACCAAAAAACGACAACTTAAATGTGGCATTCTCACACACAAAAGAATGCTGTTAAATGCTTTACAATCAAAAATTTACGACCTGCCAACGAACATCAAATTCAAATAAAATCGAAATCAAACGAATCGCTCGCATTTCAGCGACAGATTATCAAACCCCCAACTGAATTATTTGATTTGCTTTGCTGCTGCAAAATATGTCCATCAGTACTTTTTATCTACATTTATATTGTTTGTTTTCTTTTTGTTGTGTTGTTGTAAATATTTCTTATGTTTGTTTTTTTGTATGTATTTGTTGCTGGTGATAATTTAACGACCCTTGGCGAAATTTATGCAGTTGCCTGACTACGATGGCATTGAAATGTGGCCATCATTACATCGCACCATTTGAGTGATTGGCTTCCCAGCGCTGACTTGGCCAAGAATTGTAGTATCTATAAGATATACATATATGTGTGTATATCATAATCAGTTGGCAAATTCAATTGGGCTCAATTCGAGTCGTAAACAATCTTACTTAACGGCCCCGCTGCTGACGCTGTTCCAATGGGCAAAATTTGTGCTGCTAAGTAAACAAAACTGATGTCCTTTTTGCCATAAACAGCTTTTGGCGACATCAAATTTGGTTCGCCCATAAAAATGCAGAGCGTTCAAATTAAACAAAAACATGCGTACGTTGTTCCTCATTTCCGTTTCCGCAATTTCATTGAAATTACACACAAACACATTAACACACACATAGAGAGAGAGAGAGAGAGAGAGGGAAAGAATTGTAGGTCATGTGCGATATAATAAAGCAATGAATAAGTCCAGACTGATTAGGTCGACTTGGTTGGTAGACTTTCGGCTGATTTAAGTATCCATCTAATGGCCAATGGTTGAAGTTGCCGTAGAGAAGAGAAGTATGCAAAAGGCGCATCGGCGAATCTTCTTTCAATATGTATTTTAATCCAAAAATATCATAATATTCACAATATCTTCATTCACATACGCAATGCAATCAAACTGCATGCATTGGCTAAGACTATTTAAAAAACCAGTAAGTTATTTTTACATTAAGGATATTTAACAGGATCAGGATCAGGCCCAGGATCAGGCCCAGGCACAGGCTCAGGCTCAGGCTCAATTGATGCGATTGGTAGCCGTTGACTGCTGCACATAGTTGGCCAACCATTTGCCAACTTCATCCTGGTTTAGTTCCAGCCATTTGATGTTGGCCTTCACCGTTTCCAGGGCCTGTTTACGCGCCGCAGTGCCAGCGCCCGCCTCTGGGTATTTCTCAAAGAATTGCTGCATCTCCTCCAGCTTTGTTTGCGTTGCAAAACGGGCAGTGATGGTGGGAATCAAGCGGCCAAGCGTACGCTCATTGATGCCAAAGCGATCGACAAGCTGTTGCCAGTTCTCACGCACATAGTCCCAGACGAGGCTCTGACCGACGGGATTTGCCGAAATTTGGCCGAGCAACGAGAAATAGTCCTGCCTGCGCACATTTTTCTCGTCCCACGCCAGATTGATGCATCGCTGCAGCAGCCAAGGCACCTTCACAGCCGCCAGTGCATTCATCAGCTTAAGCTTCTCTTGAGCATCGGTCTCACCAAGATACCACTGCCAGACACTATCCCAGGCGGCCTCCGTATTGACCTCCTGCATACCATAGTAATAAACCACGTCACGTACATCGGCACTGGGTCGTGTGCTAGGATTGGCCAGCCATTGGTTAAACAGCGTCGCCGCCTGCTTCAGTGAGCTCTCATGGCCAACGCTGCAGGCAGAGTTCAGCACCTTGATCCGCAGTGAGCTGAAAACAAAAACCAGACAAGAAATATATATATATTGTTGATAAATATGTATAAATAAATATATATATATATGCATACTTTTCTAAATGATCTGTGCCGACGTCAAAGGTGAGCCTCTCCACTATGGGCGACAAAAGTTTGCGCGCATATTGCGTAAAGTCCTTATACAGATTGGTGTAGTAAACGCGATTCTTGAGAGACCCCAAAGAGGCAGTGCCAACGCTCCAGGGCACGTAGTCGACTTCGTTCTCCAGATATGTGCTCAGCTCCAGTGCAATTGGATATCTCAGCTGGCCAGCATCTGCCAAAGCGTTCGCATCGTTCAGCAAATGGGCACGATCTGCCGTGCTGAAAGTTTCACGCGACGTTTTGAGTTCTGTGGCCAAAGCTGTCCACTGATCCTCGTCATAGTTGACGCGATAGTAGCCCACTTGATTCTTGTTCAACTTGATCCAGCTAACAGCACTTGGCACGTTAATGACAGCCTCATTATCGATATGTTTAAATATTAAATGTTCGATGCTGCCGCCGCTTGTTGTATAGATGATAGGAATGGACCAGCGATAGCTGCACGGGAAAAGAGATTTAAGCAAAATGATAATAAGACTTGGACGTGCATTGGACCTACTTGAAGGAAGATGGTTCGACTTGAACGTTATAGTCATCCTGATTGGCGAGGAAACGTTTCTGGGTTAATTTGTAATTATTGCCCTCCTTGACGACATTAACGACGGGGAAGCCCATTTGTTCGGTCCACGTTTGCATGATTAGTCTGTAAGCAAAAGGGCAATCAGATGAATCTTGTCATAGCAGGAGCAATTCATTCACCACATACTTCACATCCGATTCGATACCCTCTTCCTCTTCGATGGCGGTCAAATAGTCATCGGTGGTGGCAGTGCTGTACACATGGCGATCCAGATAACGTTTGGTGGCATTCCTGAAATTCTCTTCGCCCACAAGATGCTCCAGCATGCGAACCAAAGCGGCACCTTTCGAATACGTAATCGTATCAAAGTATTCCGTTATTTCATTTGGACTCTCAATGGATTTGACAATGGGATGCGAGGCTAAAGTGGCATCAATCTTGAAAACTGGATGCAGATCCCCAATAACGAATTGGTTCAGCTGAAAATTCACAAATTAATTAGCAAATAGACCGAGAAAGAGAGAGAGAGGAGGCAGTTCTTACCATATCCCAATTAGGATGCATGTGGTGCACACCTTTGTACTCAATGAATGTGGCGAAGCCTTCGTTTAGCCACAGATCGTTCCACCATTTCATCGTGACCAAATTGCCAAACCATTGATGCGCCAACTCATGGGCAACAACAGTCGCGACACGCTGCTTGTTAATGCTGGAACTGGTTAACTCGTCGAAAAGCAGTGCAGTCTCCCTGTAGGTCAACAGACCCCAGTTCTCCATGGCACCGGACACAAAGTCGGGTATGGCAACCATGTCCAGTTTGGGCAACGGATACGAAACTTGGAAATAATCAATGTAATACGCCGTAACGCCAGCACCCGTCTCCAGTGCATATTGTGTCTTCTGCACCTGTGCGGGTGGCGCAAAAACACGCAAATCAATTTCAGTTTCTCCAATTTTAGTTGTCGTACTGGCAAAGTCCGATATGACAAAGGCCGCCAGATATGTGCTCATGGGCAATGTCTGCTTAAAGGTCACCTCAGTCACATCTCCATCGACCTCCTCGCTCTGGAAATGAATGCAAATTTTATAGCAATTTGTGTTATGTGGAGAGTGCAAGCTCGAAATTTGTAATTTAAAGAAATTTAAATTGAACAAGAAATTTGAAAAGTTCAATTAAAAATAATATAATATGGAGCAAGTTTAAAGCTATCTTCCGCTTCGATTGATCGCAAACTGATATGAAACAGAAACTCTACAAGCGATTAGATAACCGAAAGATAATCTTTCTCTCGATTTAGTTGACTTACAGCGATTGGCATGTTGGAGAGCACATGGTACTCATCGCCACTGGGCCGGGCGACCGTGATGATGAACTGTGCCTTGAGATGCGGCTCGTCAAAGCAGGGGAAGGCGAGCCGTGCATAGGTCGGCTCAAATTTGGTGCTGGCAATCCATCTGTGCAAAACAATAAACTTTAGTAAATCATAAATACAAATATATAGATAATAGTCGAGGCGTTGAGTGAAGTGCATGCATATAGTGTGGGTTAGGTGCCTAAAGTTAAAGAAAAAAGAGGAGCACAACTCGGTCAGCAGCTACCTGGTGCGATTCTGCAGGCTGTCGTAGTATGAACTTTGATACAGGCCCGTAATGCGATCGACTAAGGAGCCATTGAACTGCAGACGCAACGTATAGTTGCCCACTTCCAGCGGCTGCTCGAATTCCGATACCCAATACTCGTATTCCGGATGAATGAACGTCAGACTAGGCTTGATCTCCGTCAGAGGAGCACCCGAATCATCCAAGCGCTGCAGTTGCTCATGGCTCACATTGAGCTGTTTGGTGTGCACCGGTATGAAGGCAATGGGGTCCAGCACTTGCAGATGGATGCTGATGTTGCCCGTATAGCTCTTTGTACTGAAATCCGGTTTTAAATGCAGATTGTATTTTCGTGGCTTGAGCGACTTTGGCAATCGAAAGCCAAGTTTTTGCAACACTCGACTGGCAGTTCTTATCTCGGGTGATATGGCAGCCATGGCTTGGTTCGTTCTCTTCGTTGTGGGTACTTGGGTGGTGTAGCCGCGACTATCTGGTATTTTAGGAGTATTTATCTGTTAGTTTAATATATTCGACCTATAAAAAAAACTCTCAGCACGTCCAAAGCAACAGCTGTTGCACGGTCGATAGCGATAACGATAGCGATAGCGACAACGATACAGCGGTATGCGAAACGGGTTGAGAGTAACAAAAAGCTGAATGATACAAGCAAAACGATTTGATTGTCGCGCATTCGCTCAACATTTGAATTAGAATTTGAATTGTAACTTGAATTTGGATTGTAATTTGAATTTTGATTGAAACGTTGACACAAACCTGTGATCACACTCAAAATTGGCTTTGTCGACAATAATTGATCACGATCAACATATATGGTGCGTATGGTATCGTTTATAACGGCCAGAGTGCCGCCCGCCTGCTGCCTCTGATGCTCCTCGGCAATATTCTTGCCCACATAAACCAAGGCGCCCAACAGAAAACTGCACAGCACCAGCAGAAATACACAGAACGCGATCAAAGTGAGAACCGTGTTGCTCGGCGATTTGTTCTGCGTGCGATTTGTGTCCTTGATCCGATGATTGTCGTCTGTAGAGAGGCTGCTGCGCGGTCGCACGTTTTTCGTCGCGTACATACCGTTATATTTATTTTTATTTATTTGGCTTTAGAGCGTATTTAACTGGGTTTGTTTATCGACACTGATACGCTGAACCATTAATTAACCAACTGCCAGTGACACAGAAAAATAGAATGATTATGTACCACACTCGAAAAAATAGATTAACATTTTACTAAAACATTCTATTTTTTAGAAATAATTACTAAGTCACAAAAAAATTTTAAATTTTAAAAAGCTTTGCCCTAAGTCGATAATCGAACAAATATGGGTATTTTTCCTCTTCCATAAATTTAAGAAATTCCCTTTCTTAATAATAGGGTGACTAACTATTCTTATATTTCTTAATGAGTGTATAAATTACGACTAATTTGAGTTCAAAGTAATTAAATATGTTAATTACATGCAACTTATATCATATTTACTAGCTTGTCTAAGCAATAAAAATGTAAACTCTACTCTAAATGCAATTATTTACTCTGGCGGTATCTTGAAATGTATCTCAAAACTGAAAGCTCAAGTTGCAAGACGAGAGTAATTTAAGATCTCTAAGCAGACTAAATTACAAACACTTTTGCGACAGTTATTCCCTCTAAACAGAGACATAACTTTTGTTGATTTGTTGTTAATGTTGTTGTTGTTGTTTTTTGCTGAGCGGTTTCCGTCGCATTTGACTTAATTTCAGTGCTGATGCGAGTTGATGCGATTTTGTCTCCATTGCAGATCAATCAAATGTAATCTCCCCACTGTCACGTAATGAAGTTGGACATTTCGCCTTGTTTGTGTGATTATATGTCTCTGTGTATGTGTGTGTGTGTGTGTAATTGTAACGGCTTTAAGCCAAGCTATATTATTTTTATATAAATGTGGCCACGTTGCTGAGGCAAACCGCAATGTTGTATTACAAATTTCCAGGTTTGTTACTTGCAACAATTGCATCGATACGACCGCAGGCCACTTTCTACAAAAGGCGTCGGCGTCAACTTCGGCGTTGTCTCGTCTCAATGATTGACTGAGTGATGGACTGTTGGATGGGTGGAAGGTTGTTGGCTTTTTGTCAGTTGATTTGTAATGCAGCCAAGCCAGCCTCTTTCTTGGCTCTTATGCCATGGGAAGCAATTGTTGCCCAAGCAAACTGAGCATTGGAAACAACGAATTGAATTTGCCATGTTCGTAAGATGCGGTAGAGATATCAAAATAACAAATTTACTCATTAGCATAGAGCGTATAATCAAAATGCGATTCGCTTAATGTGTGATTGATTTAGCATCAATTGAAATCCGATTGCAATCAAATTCAACAGAAATGCAATAACTCAAGTTTTTAAATAAGCTAAGACCTGTTTTGAAATTCAAATGAATACATTTATCTGAATAATAAAATTACTTAGAAAATCAAGATTATAAACTTAGCTAAAATAGAAGAGATCATTTTTAAAATGTAATTTTTATATCTCAGCTTTAGTTTGAGTTACGTAAATATATAAACATTTGAGTTTGACTAAGTTCGATTATATTTAAATGACATCAACTTTGAAATAAAAAAAAAACGAATAAAATCAATAAAAAGGGATTTTTTTTTTTTCAAATTTAATTTAATCTTGATACAAGAGTCGACAGCATTGGCAATAATTTGGTCTACAGCTTCAACATAGAAAGGAGTTTGGCTTAGTTCGACTCTTTTCAAATCACAAGTCAGTCAACTTTACATAAGTGTCGTAATTTGTTGTATCTCATTGTGTGGTTATGTATACACTGTCATTTGTGTACACACTGCACACACACATACACACATTTGCATACATGTATATCTGTGACCACAATAAAATTAATTTCGGCAAGTTGTGCGAATATAAAGTGTTGAACATTATGAATAATATGATAATTTCGAGAGAGCTGCACAAATCTTTCTGAGGCGGAGGCAAGCTCAAATCCAAACTCATCACTGTGTCGACTTTGTCGTCGTTGTCGCCTCTACGCCTACGATGATGCAATGCATCGGCGTTGACTCAATTGGGCTGCAGACAAAAGCGACTGTAACAACAATAACAATAAGTAAGAAGATCAAGCAGCAAACGTAAAAATTGCATGCCTAGCTAATAAGCCATATAATGCAACAACAACATGGCAGCTGTCAAGTATCTGCAACTGCATAATTTTATACGCCTCATCTGTATCTGTATCTGGTTCTGCACCGCAGCCGCTTACTCATCGGGCTTGAGTAAATGTCAAGCAGTAGACAACAGTTACAACTATGCTGTATGCCGCTAATGAATGTGGTATTAATTCAAGTAAATAATTTGACTGAAGTTGAATGCACTGCGAGAATATTTTCGAATGTTTTGTTCTCGTTCTTGTTCGTTCGTTGGCATTTTTTAAGGTCATAACTTTCACAAATAAAAATAAATAAATGCAAAGTGCGCCACACACTCCCCACAAATGCTCAAAAAAAAAAAAAAAAAAAACCAAACCCGACGATAACATATAACAATTACTCGGATTGGGTCACTGTGACGCATAGAGGGCCCCCAATACGTGACTGCAATTGGTAATACGAGTGATAACACCTATGCCATATACTAGTTCAATATGTAGTAGAAAACAAAAGAAAAAAAACAACAAATTATTTACAACAGTTTGCCTGCACTGCAACTAAATTGATTTTGGCTGTAAGTTATATAAGCAACGCTAATAAAACTAAAAAGTTTATAAAAACAAGTAAAACTATTACGAAATAAGAAAAATACCGAAAAAATCAATATATATACCTTAAAATAATAAATATTTTAAGTTACTTGATAAATTTCAATTGTACTAATTATTAATTCAAAATGAATGCTAACTTTTGCTTAAATTTAACCAAAATGCATTTTTATGTCTTTACGAGATTTGATATTTTCAAAACATAATTAGACATAAATCATGTTTTTAATTCGTTACTTTTAGTATTTCGATTTGCTTGACAAAAATTACACATAATAAATAAAAATCAAATAATTAAAACGTTCAACGTTAAACGTTCACCCAAAATAATAAGTATCATTTTGTTAATTATAACAACAACAAAATTAATAGTAATATGGCCCGCATTATTTTTGAAACTTGAAACAAAAGAATGAAATTGTAATGGGCTTTAGTGATTGTTGCCCAGAGGCGTCAAAGAGAAATGGAAATGGAAAAGAAATCAGTGCCAATGAAAATGAAAAAAAAAAGGTTTGAAAAACGCGCGTTGCTTGAACTTTAGAGAAGCAAACAAAACATGCAACTAAAAAGCGAGAGAACAAAATGTAAGAAAACAACAACAACAAAAAAAAACAAGAATCAACTGCGACAACAACAACAAACGGAAACAACATTAAAGTCGATGTCGACCCATTTCGTTTGGTGCTTTTGAAGAAAGTAATTCCACAGATACAGATATATATATGTTGTGTATACAACGAATAGTAGATTCAGTAGCTCTATTCAAGCGGATGGTCGAATGCTGTTGTTGGCCAAGTTTGGAAATGTAAACACACAAGCCAAGAAGCGATTGGCCGATTTTAAGGCCAAGAACTTGCGCGGCAAGTGAACTATGAGCGAGAGAAGAGAAGCTGAAGCTGAAACTGAAGCCTGTTTGCCGGCTAACTGTGGCACACACTAGAGGGGTGCGTCGAGGTGTGGCAAGGCGAAGCACAGGCGCAAACGCATTCGCAGTTGCAACCTGTTTTGCGTGCGTCGATTTCTGTTTGCGGTTATTTATTGTTGTTGTCGTTATTGTTGAAAGTCAAAGTTGGCATAGAATTGTGCTTTATTGTTGTGATTGTTATTAGTATTATTTGCGTATTAAAATTAGTTCGCGCCTCAATGCGCTCAATTAGAACACAGGCAACGCAAATATAACGGCTCTTCCACAAATCACAATGACAAGCTAAAAAAATGTATATATATATCAATATATATATATATATATATATATATATGTGTGTGTGTGTATGTTTTTATGCGTGTGTATTCATACGGTATTCATTCGGAGCTGACAAATACACTCATAATTACTAGCTTACATGCTTTTTATCTATTTACACACAGTTTATAATTCGCACTTTACAGTTAATTCTTTTTCTTTTTTGGCAATTACTCTTTGGATGTCGTCTCTGCTTGAGTTACCGTTAGGCCTCTAGTTAGCAAGCACGCACTTTGGCTAATTTTTGAATTAATTACTATTAGCTATGCCTATTAATTGTTGCTCTATTTAAAAGCGGCACTTGAGTTAAGCTGCAGCTTTACTTAATTTAAATCGAAGCCGCGCACGTTTCGCATTCGCACGTGCGACAGAGAGAGAGAGAGAGAGAGAGTGAGTGATAGATAGAGAGAGTCGGGACGAGTCGAGATCTGAGTTCCACCAAGCGACGCGCATCAACAAACGACAACCGTCGCGCTAAGCTTTGAACTTATTACTGAACAGTCGCTGTTGAAAAGGCAGCTGCGATCAAGCTTTTTAATACGGAAAGCTTCTGTCAACAGCTGAGACCGGCATGGCGTGCTGGCCCGCTCGCATTCAGTGAGAAATGCGTATTCACTTAAAAGCTTTGACTCAAAATACTATGATCAATGAGCATTGAGTATAAGCTTTTCACTAATCTTAGTGCACCAACTCCATCACAAATGCATTAGGGGGACTCACTATATGAAATGCATAAATACACTCACCTCTGCTTGCCATCGGCACCGGTGTAACTGCTTCGATAGGCGCCATTAAGATTATTCAGATTACAGTCGAAACTGGCCGATAGCGTATATGCCTTGTTCACGCTCAGCACCTCCCTCAGTTCGATCATGAGCAGTTCGCGTTTATCATCCAGATAATATTTATCGATGGCAATTCGCATGCGAGCCATCATATTCAGAATGCTAATGCTGTGCACATTCATATCCTTGGCATGCAGGACAATTAAATTAGTTGGGACCTCCAGTTGGAATTGTATGGATACAGTGCCATCGCATTCGCCCGTCTCCAGATTGGGGTGTATATAGAGGCGATATCGGACGGGGGTTAGCTCACTCGGCAGCCGATAAACAATCTAGTTTGCGGTTATAAATATTTGGTCAATATCCATGCGAAAAACTTGATAATGCCCCGCTGTCGGACGGGTCGCGATAAACGGCATTGTAAATTGGTCAGATTGTCAATAACAATATAATAACTGAGTCAGCAATAAGGTAACGGACTTTGAAATCTTTATTCACTATTTGTAACCCATATATGAAAACAGCTGGTTATTTCCGGTAATTAATATGTTTGAAACTCGATGCTCGTATATAGTCCTCCAACACATCCAGTTTCTCGCTGGCCTCCGACAGTTTCAGCCACAGGTTATCCCTATGCACCACCACAACCACCAGGGCCACAATCAGACAAGTGGAAAGTAGGCCAAAGAAAATTGCCACATGCTCCGCTGTGATTTTCTCTAACAAAACAACTTTTAGATGATAATACGAAAATCGAGTCTAATAGACTAAAATGCCTCACCTGTTAATTTGCCCGTTATTTTCATTGTGATACTAAGTTGTACAATGTCTGAGGCTAAACTGACCGCCAAGCAAGCGAGCTAAGCTTTTTAGCCAAGATAAAACGAGACAAAAATGGCTCACCGCTAACCACTAACCGATAATCGGCCTTATAAATGTATACATGATAATATGATAATATTTGAATTGGTGGCAATGCCGCCTTTACGACAATTTGACCGTCATAAAAAGTGAAAAAATTAAAAAAAAAAAACAGAAACATGTCAACTTACGTCTTCGGGTTTTGGCAGCCCAGTGGGCAGTGTGGGATAGATGGGATTCGGATTGTTAGTCGATGAGCTTGGCGTGGTTCCTCCACCAGGTGTAGTGCCTCCACCAGGTGTAGTGCCTCCACCAGGTGTAGTGCCTCCACCAGGTGTAGTGCCTCCACCAGGTGTAGTGCCTCCACCAGGTGTAGTGCCTCCACCAGGTGAGGTGCCTCCACCAGGTGAGGTTTCGCCTGCCGTTGTATCTCCGGGTGAGGTAGGATCCGGTGGGCTTGGCGTTGTTGTCGTTGCTAATATCACTTCTAGCTTATCTCTGGCATCCTGCAGATCATCCTCCAGACTGGCTTTCTCCACAGCCAACACAATTGTGGCCACACAAAAGGCAGTTGCGGTAAGGCCCAAACAAATGGCAACCACTTTTGCCGTTAGCCCTGAATACAAAGTCGCATACAAATCAGCTGCTTATAATTGTTTCAATTTCATTCTTCACTTACAGGCAACCATTTTAGAACAAAATTCCTTTCAGTATCAGGATTCACTCTTCGTGCTTGTTTTCACTTCCACTTCACACCACGTCTGAACTTGAACTAACATTAAAACCCGATTCTGACCAACTATTTTGACTTGATAATTAGATTACCTTTGGGTTTATGTGGACAGGCCATATCATTATTATGGGGGTCTTTAAATTTATGAAGAGTCCATATATTCATATATCTATACTCCGACCTGAGTCGTAATTGGGATTTGGATTGCATTATGTAGTAGAACTAATACAATGTTTTTATCATCAGAGTTATCGTAACTAAATGCACACATAAAAATCGCCACGCTGATATGTGCAATAACCTTTACTGTTTTATTTATGGTTTTTACTTCAGCTTTATTATTATACGACTTTCTACATTCCAAATTAACAATTGTGAGTACTTTTGTTTATTTTTATTGTCATTATCCAATTGAACATCGAATTTTTACAATGGGTTTTTCGCGTTCAATGGAGTGGCCGTGCCGCTTAGCCAGCTGGAAATGTCGGCTGCGTTCTCCTTCAGCCAGTTAATGTTGTCCTTGATCGTCTCAATCGCCTGTTGCCTGGGACTGGCACCGGCTCCGGACTCCGGATACTTCTTGAAGAAATGCTGCACTTCCTCCAGCTTAACATCGCTGGCAAATCGACTCGTGATACTCACAATCAATCTGCCAAAATAGCGATCGTTGAGGCCAAAACGATCAACTAATTGTGGCCAATGCTCTCGATAATATTCCCATACAATGGGTTGACCCACCGGATTGGCAGCGATATTCTGCACACACGTGAAATAGTCCTGGGAGCGCACAATATTCTCATCACTAGCCAGCTCCAGGAAGCGGTAGAGCAGCTGACCATTCTGCACAGCCGACAGACCGTACATCAGCTTCAACTTCTCGCTAGCATCCGTCTCTGCCTTGAACCGTTCCAGCAACTGCTCCCAATTGGACTCGCTGCTCGTCTGCTGCATGCCGTAGTAGTAGACCACTTCACGCAGATCTGGCGCAGGAAGATTGGCAGCGGTGGGATTCTGGAGCCAAGTATTGAAACGGTTCGTTGCCTGAGTCAGGCAGTCAGGTACTCCCAAAGCACAGGCGGCGGAAAGGACAGAAACCCGTAGGCGACTGTAGGAGACGAAAATTGTGAATAATTGAGGAAGTATTTACCCAAAATATACAAAATATGAAAGTTAAGTAGATATGAAATTCGACATTTAAGTATGCTATATCTTAAATTAAAAAATGTCTAGAAATCATTTTCGACAAGTATATAATGAAAGCGCTTAATAACTGAAGTTAATGAGAAAACAATTTAAATAAAGGAATTAGAGAATGAAGAATCATTTTTCTGGACAATTTGCTATTCTGGAGGCTCAAATTAATTTTTTGTAGAAAATATCAAGGAGAATAGCTCTGAACAACTATAGCAGATTCAACTGCAGTGCAGTGAGCCAAACTATTACCGGGCACTGCCTTAAGGGAACCACGCAACTAGGCTATCTGTCCCTCACAGAGATTTCTATAGAAGCTGTTGTGGCGAAGAGGAAGGAGAGTCGGTCGTGCACTTATTCTAACACTTCCCATCCCTTGGTCCTCCATCCAAGACAAGTATCTATGTTCATCAAATCAACAGGATGGATGGTGTCTCACATTTGACGTCCAGTGCAATAGTAGGAAAACTTAAATGGATTAAGTGCAGCAACTAAGCCGACGGTGTTTCCCCCTGGACAGCCGCCCTAACCTAACCCAACCAGCCTAATTATCTAACTAATCTTTGTTACGCATACTCACTTACTTTACTTACTAGCTACTTTAACTTACTTTTTCAAATGGTTGTTAGCATCGACCGTCCAGCCGACCTCCTGGTAGACATTGGTGAGCAGGGTACGAGCATAAGTCAAGTAGGAGACGTAGCTCTCGGTGAACATGAGATGATTCTTGAGCGCTTGCAGTTTGGAGGCAGCGACGTACCAGGGGACAAAGTCAAGCTCATCGGCTAGGTAGGCGGTCATCTCCAGTGGGACAGTGTAGGACAACTGACTGGCATCGGCCAATGCAAAGGCATCGTCCAACAAATGCGCCCGATCCGCAATGTCGAAACGCGAATGTTTCTCGACGAGCTCTTGGATGAGTTTCTGCCACAGACTTTCCTCATAGTTGACGCGATAGTAACCCACCTGATGCACATTCAACTTGATCCAATTAGTATCGGATAGAACCTTTGCGCCGATTATATCATTGTCGTATTCTAAAATGAAACTATTTGACTCCCCGTTGTCCATAAAATAGGTAATTGGCACGCTCCATATGTAGCCGAATTCAGATGGTTCCACTTCCTCGTCGTAGCTGGCTTTGTTGGAGAGGAATCGCTTTTGGGTAATAAGGAAACCGGCATCGGTTTGGCGAACATTGATGACTGGATAGCCCATCTGCTCGGTCCAAGTGCGCATCAATTGCTTGACATCAAATTCACTGACCTGGGCAGCCACTTCAGTCAGGAAGTCGTCGGTGACCGTGTTCTTGTAGGAGTATTTGCTCAAATAGTTGGTAACAGCCAGCTCAAACTTCTCTGGCCCGACAAGAGTCTCCAACATGCGCAACACAGAACCAGCTTTATCATAGCTAATCGTATCGAAAATGGCCGATATTTCATCCGGAGACTCCACTTTTTGCACAATGGGATGCGAGGAGAGTTTCGCATCGAACACCAAAACTGGATGTAGTGCAATTATTTGAAATTGTTCCAGCTTCAGAAAAAAAGTTGCAAAGAAAGCAAAGGATTTGGAAAATGATGTCAGAATTCAAAATTACAGAAAATAACTTTCACTTGGCAATAATTACAAGAGAGAATAATTTCTTAATCCAGTAGTAAAAAAAAAATACGATAAAATGTCAAAATTACTTTACTTTTAATCTGTCTAATAATTTAAAAAATATGATTATATTTTCGACTTAATTTTCTGGATTTTGCCTTGGAACAAAGCATTTAAGCCAAATAAAATGAAATGTTATTCTATATACTATTCTCCCATTTCAACTTACCATTCCCCAATCGGGATGCACAGCATGGACGCCCTTGTACTGCATGAAGCGAGCGAATCCCTCGTTTAGCCAGAGATCATTCCACCAGTTCATGGTGACCAGATTGCCGAACCACTGATGAGTAATCTCGTGAGCCAGTACACTAGCCACTGACTGCTTATTCAGCGTGGAACTAATCTGCTCATCATAGAGGAGAGCAGTCTCACGATATGTAACTAGACCCCAGTGCTCCATGGCATTCGATGAAAAATCGGGTATCGCAGCCATATCCAATTTGGGCAGTGGATACGCCACCTTGAAGTATTGAATGTAGTACTCTGTGACAGCTGTTCCAAATCCCAATGCAAATGTCACTTTGCTCTTCTGATGGGGAGTGGCAAAGGCACGCATCTCGAAGTCTTCGCCAATACCATATGCTTTCACCGTGCTGGTCTCCGAGTCAAAGTCGGAGACAATGATACAGGCCAAATAGCTGCTCATGGGCACACTGGTGGCAAAGCTGGCCATCGTGTTCTCGCCCAGTAACATCGTGTCCAACTGGTTCATGTTGGACAGTGCATGATAGTTACCGGAAGTGGGATGTACAACGCTGATATTATAGGTGGCCTTCATGGCGGGTTCATCGAAGCATGGATATGCCTGGCGCGCATAAGTTGGCTCAAATTGTGTAGACGCAATGTTGCTACAAATGTACACAACCTATAAAAATGTGCTACATGCTTTTAGGCAGTTACCACAATCACTTACCGCTGCTGCCCCGCAGGCGTCGCATAGCTGCTGCTGTATAATCCAACTAATTTGTTGCGCATTTGTCCTGAAAAAATGATGCCAAGCGTAATAACCGCATCTACCTCCAGCTCCCCCTGCAAGTTGATGATCAGCAGCTGACGCAGCTCGTCCAACTCATAGCTGGTCACCTCTTTCTTCAGCACATAAACGCTGCCAAGGTCCAGGTTGTGGGAGTGTAAAATGATTTGATTTGTTGCCTCCAACACTTTTATGGAGATGAGCTCCTGGCCCGTAAAGTTGCCTGTATCCAGCTCCGGATGCAGATGCAGAGAGTAGTGCGTGGGCACAAGTGCCGTCGGCAGACGATAATCAATCTGTGTGAATAGCAAATAGGCTATTGTGTGATAAGCAATACAACTTTTCACAGCTCCCACCTCTTACCTCCTCGAATACTGTACGCTTCCCCTCTTGTGTGCGTTGCTCGGCGACAACTATCGTTGTGGCCACGCTCCAAAACAATACCACTCGCAACCAATTATCCGTTATATGCATCTTAGCCGTTCGAGCGACAACAGTTAACTAAAGACATTAGCCTCACATTTGGCTCAATTACGGCATTGGCTGTGACCATATATATTATTCAATAAATTTGTTTTATGGCACATGAACCACTTTATACCAAAAATATTCCGATAAAGTGTGCTAAAAGTAAACAAAACTTAGTACGAGATTGTAAAATGACCAATTATGTCGTACATATCGAAAGCCAATGACATGGTGTTCATTTAATTATCAATCCATTTATATCCATACATTTGTGCTTGTGGATTCGTCACAAGTGCTAAAACGCCTATACATATACAAATTATGATGACCTTCAAAATAAGACTTTAAATATACATGGTGACTTAGTATGCTTACTCGAAATAGAGTCAATATTTTGAAAATGAAATGGATATTAATCATATCTGGAAAGGTCCCACGTCCGCCTTTGTAAATCTGATTAATTTAAATGTAATTTAAACTTATTCATTGATAAGCAGTGCAGTCCATTCGAGCCTCACCTCGACATACCAATTTCTTCCATATGTGTATTAAATATTAAACGAAAAGCTTAATAATAAGTCGAGTGGAATTATAAAAAATCGATTCAAATACAAGAATTCATCCCTCGGGCCAGATAAGCTAAAACGCTCGTCGCTTATAGTAAATAAATCCCATACATTAATGCCTATGATCATTGTTGAAAATATGTAAAAGATCAATACAACTTCCGATTACTAATGTTAATAACAGGGATATCGATACTGCGCTCGATTGTCTAACCGCCAAGCCAAGTGCAAACCAAACAGGTTATGGGCCCAGGCATAAAGAAAAAGTTGAATGTAAGTTTGTTGAAAAACCGCGTTTAAGATCGAGGGAAATTTTCATTACAAATGCATCATTTCTATTGCTGTGTACATACCAACAAAAGTTTTCTGTGTGAGAACAAGTACGAGCGAATAATGTGTGCGCTGTACAATATTATGATTAAATTATGATTCGTGGTGTGTCCAAATGAAGTGTGTCAATTTACCAGGAGCTATTGTCCGTCACTTCGGGAGCTATGAAATGCCCTAGTTCAGACAGGGTGCGTAAATATAGTCAGTGGATATCAGAAAACGAAAAGGTTTTAACGATGATTACTCTCGCAATAAGATTGGCATTGCGCTGCAAGAGGAAATATATGTGTTACTTTACTCTTGGCAAGTTTGCACAAATCATATGAAAAGCTGGGTTAGCATTGGAATCACGTGATGAATTACCAAAGCTTATGACTTTGAAGGTTAAATTGATCGAAGAGTGCGATAGACGCAAGAACGAAGCACATATGGAGAGTGTAAACGAAAATAATGCACAGGCATTTTTAGGCAAAGTACAGTACTTTAAAGAGAGCGCAAATAAGAAAGACAAAGTAGGAAAGAACCGAAACCGAAAAATGAAATGTTACAATTGCGGTAAAATTGGCCACATTGCTGCCGAATGTAGGTCCAAGGCGAATGAAGAAATTGTGAAAGGAAGAGACGAAAAATGATTCTACACGTTGCTAAGTGCAAAAAACAGTGGACGACTGCTTGACAAGTCAGCGTGGTGCTTAGATAGTGACGTCACAGCTCATATGTGCGCAAATCGAAATATGTTTTATTCGTTTGAACAATTCACTGATACAGTCACACTTGCTGGTGAAAAGTCGCTAGAAGTAGTCGGAAGAGGAGTCATCATAATTAAAACGAAATAGTCAACAGTAAAACTTACAAACGTTCTTTATGTACCACAATTACAATGCAACTTTATTTCTGTGAGCAGAGCAGTAAAAGGGAGCTGCACTGTAACCTTCAAGTCGTGCGTGTGTATGTGAGGAAAACGGTAAAACTCTAATTATTGCAAATCATAAAAGCAATTTCTGTGTGAAATGGCAAAACTGGCAGTAAGCTCATTATAAAATGGCATAAGAGATATGGAGATCTGAACATGCAAAGCCTCAAAGAGTTAAACAATATGAAATTGGTGCGTGGGGTGAACTACAACAGCACAAGCGAATTTGAAAATATGTAAAAGATCAATACAACATTCCGATTACTAATGTTAATAACAGGGATATGGATACTGCGCTCGATACCCCAACTATAAGAATTAATTGAATAAAAGTTCTTCTTTGTCTAACCGCTAAGCCAAGTGCATCACTTTCACCTCTTAAAAACCCAATAATAATAATTCCTGACACAAAATTCTTATTAGTAATTGTATTTTTATTTTTACATTTTATTGTCATTATCCAATTGAACATCGAATTTTTACTATGGATTATTCGTTTCCAATGGACTGGCCGTGCCGCTTAGCCAGCTGGAAATGTCGGCTGCGTTCTCCCTCAGCCAGTTAATGTTATACTTGATCGTTTCAATCGCCTGTTGCCTGGGACTGGCACCGGCTCCGGACTCCGGATACTTCTTGAAGAACTGCTGCACTTCCTCCAGCTTAACATCGCTGGCAAATCGACTCGTGATACTCACAATCAATCTGCCAAAATAGCGATCGTTGAGGCCAAAACGATCAACTAATTGTGGCCAGTGCTCTCGATAATATTCCCAGACAATGGGTTGACCCACCGGATTGGCAGCGATATTCTGCACACACGTGAAATAGTCCTGGGAGCGCACAATATTCTCATCACTAGCCATCTCCAGGAAGCGGTAGAGCAGCTGACCATTCTGCACAGCCGACAGACCGTACATCAGCTTCAACTTCTCGCTAGCATCCGTCTCTGCCTTGAACCGTTCCAGCAACTGCTCCCAATTGGACTCGCTGCTCGTCTGCTGCATGCCGTAGTAGTAGACCACTTCACGCAGATCTGGTGCAGGACGATTGGCAGCGGTGGGATTCTGGAGCCAATTAGTGAAACGGTCCGTTGCCTGAGTCAGGCAGTCGGGTTGTCCTAAAGCACAGGCGACGGAAAGGACAGAAACCCGTAGGCGACTGTAGGAGACGAAAATTGTGAATAATTTAGGAAGTATTTACCCAAAATGTACAAAGTAAGAAAGTTAAGTAGATATGAAATTCGACATTTAAGTATGCTATATCTTAAATTAAAAAATGTCTAGAAATCATTGCCAAATTTGTTTTCGACAAGTATATAATGAAAGCGCTTAATAACTGAAGTTAATGAGAAAACAATTTAAATAAAGGATTAAGAGAATGAGGAATCATTTTTCTGGACAATTTGCTATTCTGGAGGCTCAAATTAATTTTTTGTAGAAAATATCAAGGAGAATAGCTCTGAACAACTATAGCAGATTCAACTGCAGTGCAGTGAGCCAAACTATTACCGGGCACTGCCTTAAGGGAACCACGCAACTAGGCTATCTGTCCCTCACAGAGATTTCTATTGAAGCTGTTGTGGCGAAGAGGAAGGAGAGTCGGTCGTGCACTTATTCTAACACTGCCCATCCCTTGGTCCTCCATCCAAGGCAAGTATCTATGTTCATCAAATCAACGGGATGGATGGTGTCTCACATTTGACGTCCAGTGCAATAGTAGGAAAACTTAAATGGATTAAGTGCAGCAACTAAGCCGACGGTGTTTCCCCCTGGACAGCCGCCCTAACCTAACTTAACCAGCCTAATTATCTAACTAATCTTTGTTACGCATACTCACTTACTTTACTTACTAGCTACTTTAACTTACTTTTTCAAATGGTTGTTAGCATCGACCGTCCAGCCGACCTCCTGGTAGACATTGGTGAGCAGGGTACGAGCATAAGTCAAGTAGGAGACGTAGCTCTCGGTGAACATGAGATGGCTCTTGAGAGTTTGCAGTTTGGAGGCAGCGACGTACCAGGGGACAAAGTCAAGCTCATCAGCTAGGTAGGCGGTCATCTCCAGTGGGACAGTGTAGGACAACTGACTGGCATCGGCCAATGCAAAGGCATCGTCCAACAAATGCGCCCGATCCGCAATGTCGAAACGCGAATGTTTCTCGACGAGCTCTTGGATGAGTTTCTGCCACAGACTTTCCTCATAGTTGACGCGATAGTAACCCACCTGATGCACATTCAGCTTGATCCAGTTGATATCAGATAGCGCTGCCACTCCGATCTCATCAACGTCGTACTCAAAAATTAAATTGTCAGTATAGCCGTTGTCCATTAAATAAGTGATTGGAACGTTCCATTTGTACCCGAATTCAGATGGTTCCACCTCCTCGTCGTAGCTGGCTTTGTTGGAGAGGAATCGCTTTTGGGTAATAAGGAAACCGGCATCGGTTTGGCGAACATTGATGACTGGATAGCCCATCTGCTCGGTCCAAGTGCGCATCAATTGCTTGACATCAAATTCACTGACCTGGGCAGCCACTTCAGTCAGGAAGTCGTCGGTGACCGTGTTCTTGTATGAGTATTTGGTTAAATAGTTGGTAACAGCCAACTCAAACTTCTCTGGCCCGACAAGAGTCTCCAACATGCGCAACACAGAACCAGCCTTCTCATAACTAATCGTATCGAAAATGGCAGTGATTTCATCCGGAGACTCCACTTTTTGCACAATGGGATGCGAGGAGAGTTTCGCATCGAACACCAAAACTGGATGTAGTGCAATTATTTGAAATTGTTCCAGCTTCAGAAAAAAAGTTGCAAAGAAAGCAAAGGATTTGGAAAATGATGTCAGAATTCAAAATTACAGAAAATAACTTTCACTTGGCAATAATTACAAGAGAGAATAATTTCTTAATCCAGTAGTAAAAAAAAAATACGATAAAATGTCAAAATTACTTTACTTTTAATCTGTCTAATAATTTAAAAAATATGATTATATTTTCGACTTAATTGTCTGGATTTTGCCTTGGAACAAAGCATTTAAGCCAAATAAAATGAAATGTTATTCTATATACTATTCTCCCATTTCAACTTACCATTCCCCAATCGGGATGCACAGCATGGACGCCCTTGTACTGCATGAAGCGAGCGAATCCTTCGTTTAGCCAAAGATCATTCCACCAGTTCATGGTGACCAGATTGCCGAACCACTGATGAGTAATCTCGTGAGCCAGTACACTAGCCACCGACTGCTTATTCAGCGTGGAACTAATCTGCTCATCATAGAGGAGAGCAGTCTCACGATATGTAACTAGACCCCAGTGCTCCATGGCATTCGAGGCAAAGTCGGGAATGGCAGCCATATCCAACTTGGGAAGTGGATACGCCACCTTGAAGTATTGAATGTAGTACTCTGTGACAGCTGTTCCAAATCCCAATGCAAATGTCACTTTGCTCTTCTGATGGGGAGTGGCAAAGGCACGCATCTCGAAGTCTTCGCCAATACCATTTGCTTTCACCGTGCTGGTCTCCGAGTCAAAGTCGGAGACAATGATACAGGCCAAATAGCTGCTCATGGGCACACTGGTGGCAAATCTGACAATCGTGTTCTCTTCCAGTAACATCGTGTCCAACTGGTTCATGTTGGACAGTGCATGATAGTTACCGGAAGTGGGATGCACAACGCTGATCTCATAGGTGGCCTTCATGGCGGGTTCATCGAAGCATGGATATGCCTGGCGCGCATAAGTTGGCTCAAATTTTGTAGTCGCAATGTTGCTACAATATAAACAATGTATAAGGAACTCTACAATCAGATATGCATTGCAAGCTTTTCGTATCACATTCATTAACAACCAGCGCTTCCCTTAGAAACCTCGTGAAGTCCCAAAAGAATAAAATACCCAAGCAGAATTAACAGAATATTAAATATCGGCAAACCCACCATATACCCCAACTAATACTTCTATTATAAGCAAATTATTCACAAGGCCTTCGATAACAGTTTATCTCATTGCAATAAAAAATAATCCTCTTCCAATAGTCTTTCATGAATTCTTTCAAAAACTCTCTACCAAAAGAAGAAACATAAAATTGGTATCAACAAATGAGCAAAAGCCCCTCAAAAAATGTATATATATATAAATAATAATTTTCACAGAAGACAACATATAACTATCATAATACTAATATTGAACATATTATAAGATACTGATATCCCCACTGTCACAACTACATTAGAATTCCTTAGGAAAAACCACTTAAACATAATTATGTTAATAATATCATAAGCTTAAGCCAGCTGAATGCCTTATCTGCTGAGCTTATCTGTGAGCAGTACATAAATAAATAAAATATATATTTTGATGGTGGTCACCAAAAAACAATAATAAGTATAAAAATGTGTTACAGTTGCAACAATCACTTACCGCTGCTGCCCCGCAGGCGTCGCATAGCTGCTGCTGTATAATCCAACTAATTTGTTGCGCATTTGTCCTGAAAAAGATATGTCAAACGTAAGAACCGCATCCACCTCCAGCTCCTCCTGCAAGTTGATGATCAGCAGCTGACGCAGTTCGTCCAACTCATAGCTGGTCACCTCATTGTTGAGCACATAAACGCTGTCAATGTCCAGGTTGTGGGAGTGTAAAATGATTTGATTTGTTGCCTCCAACACTTTTATGGAGATGCGCTCCTGGCCCGTAAAGTTGCCCGTATCCAGCTCCGGATGCAGATGCAGAGAGTAGTGCGTGGGCACAAGTGCCGTCGGCAGACGATAATCAATCTGTGTGAATAGCAAATAGGCTATTGTGTGATAAGCAATACAACTTTTCACAGCTCCCACCTCTTACCTCCTCGAATACTGTACGCTTCCCCTCTTGTGTGCGTTGCTCGGCGACAACTATCGTTGTGGCCACGCTCCAAAACAATACCACTCGCAACCAATTGTCCGTTATATGCATCTTAGCTAGTCGAGCGACAACAGTTAACTAAAGACATTAGCCTCACATTTGCCTCGATCATGGCATCGGCTGTGACCATATACATTAGTCAATAAATATGATTATTTATAATATATTATTATGGGCACTTGAATGGGCTACATGTTCTGATAGTGCTAAAAATTGTTTTCCCGGCTGATATAGGCGGAATTTCGATAGATACTGCCGTAATAATATTGGTGCAAATTACTAAATGTCGGACATATCCAAAAACAAAAGCATGATATTGATATATTTATCAATTCCTGTTTATGCCCTGTTACCATTGGAGAATCAGAGTATATTGGCATTTGGTATGCCTATATTTATAAATACCAATTATGATTCCCTTCAGACTGGGACCATAAATAATAAACTTTCTCCCTCCTACCAAAAAAATTTAAATATATACAAATTTTGTAGTTGCCGAATTTGAAAATGATATTAACTATAACTTGAACGTTTTGAAAATTGTGAATATAAACCTGGTTCATCCACTGGATTCCACAACATTCACCAAATACAATATAAACTAATATTAGTAAGTAAGAAGATTTAAGATCTTCATTAAAGATTAAGCAAAACATTTATGAGTAATATGTTTATTTCTCAAGCTATAATTGTGTACAAATATTTATAGTTAAGTTTAATATACATTTGTACAAATATTTGTATAACCAATTATTTAGGGCGTTTTTCATGCAGATAATCTTGGAATCGTTAACTTCTCACTTCTACGTTATCAATGGTTTTGCTGCCCAGTTCTGATAATTTATAGAGCTATATTTTTATTGAGTTTTTATGCTTTTATTTTCTGGGTTGTCTATATCTGGGAAATCTTTATTTGGTTTTGTGGACAAAGTATGGTAGTTTACAATGGTAATTCGATGAGTTCAAAAGCCAATAATATACTTTAGGGCCATCGTTGACTATGCGCCAGTTATAGCTCAGCTGTTTATCCTGCTTGTCGAGCCAAGCATCCACACTCTCGAGATTTTCAGCTAGCCAGATGATGTTGTTCTTGGCCGTCTCCAGGGCACGAATATTTTGAAAATGAAGTGGATTTTAAAGGTCCCACATATGCCTTTGTAAATCAAATTAATTTAAATGTAATTTAAACTTATTAATTGATAGATCAATTTCTTCTATATATGTATTAAATATCATGTGAAAAGCTTAATAATAAGTCGAATGGAATTATAAAAAATCTATTCAAATACAAGAATTCATCCCTCGGGCCGGATAAGCTAAAACGCTCGTCGCTTATAGTAAATAAATCCCATACATTAATGCCTATGATCATTGTTGAAAATATGTAAAAGATCAATACAACTTCCGATTACTAATGTTAATAACAGGGATATCGATACTGCGCTCGATTGTCTAACCGCCAAGCCAAGTGCAAACCAAACAGGTTATGGGCCCAGGCATAAAGAAAAAGTTGAATGTAAGTTATGTTGAAAAACCGCGTTTAAGATCGAGGGAAATTTTCATTACAAATGCATCATTTCTATTGCTGTGTGCATACCAACTAAAGTTTTCTGTGTGAGAACAAGTACGAGCGAATAATGTGTGCGCTGTACAATATTATGATTAAATTATGATTCGTGGTGTGTCCAAATGAAGTGTGTCAATTTACCAGGAGCTATTGTCCGTCACTTCGGGAGCTATGAAATGGCCTAGTTCAGATAGGGTGCGTAAATATAGTCAGTGGATATCAGAAAACGAAAAGGTTTTAACGATGATTACTCTCGCAATAAGATTGGCATTGCGCTGCAAGAGGAAATATATGTGTTACTTTACTCTTGGCAAGTTTGCACAAATCATATGAAAAGATGGGTTAGCATTGGAATCACGTGATGAATTACCAAAGCTTAGGACTTTGAAGGTTAAATTGATCGAAGAGTACGATAGACGCAAGAACGAAGCACGTATGGAGAGTGTAATCGAAAATAATGCACAGGCATTTTTAGGCAAAGTACAGTACGCTAAAGAGAACGCAAATAAGAAAGACAAAGTAGGAAAGAACCGAAACCGAAAAATGAAATGTTACAATTGCGGTAAAATTGGCCACATTGCTGCCGAATGTAGGTCCAAGGCGAATGAAAAAATTGTGAAAGGAAGAGACGAAAAATGATTCTACACGTTGCTAAGTGCAAAAAACAGTGGACGACTGCTTGACAAGTCAGCGTGGTGCTTGGATAGTGGCGTCACAGCTCATATGTGCGCAAATCGAAATATGTTTTATTCGTTTGAACAATTCACTGATACAGTCACACTTGCTGGTGAAAAGTCACTAGAAGTAGTCGGAAGAGGAGTCATCATAATTATTCTTTATGTACCACAATTACAATGCTACTTTATTTCTGTGAGCAGAGCAGTAAAAGGAGGCTGCACTGTAACCTTCAAGTCGTGCGTGTGTATGTGAGGAAAACCGTAAAACTCTAATTATTGCAAATCATAAAAGCAATTTCTGTGTGAAATGGCAAAACTGGCAGTAAGCTCATTATAAAATGGCATAAGAGATATGGAGATCTGAACATGCAAAGCCTCAAAGAGTTAAACAATATGAAATTGGTGCGTGGCGTGAACTACAACAGCACAAGCAAATTTGAAAATATGTAAAAGATCAATACAACATTCCGATTACTAATGTTAATAAGTGTACGAGGTGTGCTCAAAAAGTATCGCGAATTTTGAATTTTCGCGGGTTACGTATACTCGAATTTCGATTTTTTTGTAGCGTTATGTTGGTACTCATGTCTCTATGCCGACAAGCTCGGCCATTTTGAATGTTCACTTAATTGTTGACAGCTGCTTTGCTTGCACGTGTTTTGGATCGTCTTCGATTTTTACCTATTCAAAAAAATGGATCAAAGAACCTGTATCAAATTTTGTGTGAAAAACGAAATTAAGTGCGCGGATGCATTCCGAATGTTGATTGTGGCATACGGAGAAGCTACCTTGGACCGAAGCAACGTTTATCGGTGGTACAAAATGTTCTCAGAAGGCCGAGAAGATGTGAACGACGAAGAGCGTGCCGGACGCCCGAGCACTTCAACAACAGACGAAAAAATTAATGGAGTGGAGAAAATGGTATTGGCCAATCGTCGAATCACCGTTAGAGAAGTTGCTGAGGAGCTAAACATATCGATTGGCTCATGCCATTCGATTTTTATCAATGATTTGGGCATGAGACGGGTCGCCGCGAAATTCGTACCAAAATTGCTCAATTGCGTCCAAAAACAGCATCGCATGAACATTGCTAATGAGATGTTGGACTCTGTCCGCGACTACCCAAATTTGCTCCAGAGGGTCATAACTGGTGACGAATCGTGGGTTTATGGTTACGACGTGGAAACCAAAGCTCAATCATCTCAATGGAAGCTGCCGCACGAACCAAGACCGAAAAAAGCGCGCCAAGTTCGGTCGAATGTGAAAGTTTTGCTGACAGTTTTCTTCGATTGCAGGGGCGTGGTGCATCATGAGTTCTTGCCACAGGGTAGAACGGTCAATAAGGAATATTACCTGCAAGTTATGCGCAATTTGCGCGAAGCAATCCGCCAGAAACGCCCGGATTTGTGGAAGAACAAAAATTGGCTTTTGCACCACGATAACGCCCCTGCTCACACATCGTTGCTTGTGCGCGACTTTTTGGCCAAAAACAACACACTAATGATGCCGCAGCCACCGTATTCCCCAGATCTGGCCCCCTGTGACTTTTTCTTGTTCCCTAAACTGAAGAGGCCCATGAAAGGACGACGTTACGCTACGCTTGACGAGATAAAGACAGGATCGAAGGAGGAGCTGAACAAGATAAAAAAAAATGATTTTTTGAAGTGCTTCGAAGATTGGAAAAACCGTTGGCACAAGTGTATAATATCTCATGGGGATTACTTTGAAGGGGACAAAATAGATATTCATGAATAAATAAATAATATCTGAAAAAACACAAAATTCGCGATACTTTTTGAACACACCTCGTATACTGCGCTCGATACCCCAACTATAAGAATTAATTGAATAAAAGTTCTTCTTTGTCTAACCGCTAAGCCAAGTGCATCACTTTCACCTCTTAAAAACCCAATAATAATAATTCCTGACACAAAATTCTTATTAGTAATTCTATTTTTATTTTTACATTTTATTGTGGAAATAAGTGAATAAGTGGGACCATACAATTTTTCTATGGGTTATTCGTTTCCAATGGACTGGCCGTGCCGCTTAGCCAGCTGGAAATGTCGGCTGCGTTCTCCTTCAGCCAGTTAATGTTGTACTTGATTGTCTCAATCACTTGTTGCCGGAAAGTTGCACCGACTCCGGACTCGGGATACTTCTTGAAGAACTGCTGCACTTCCTCAAGCTTAACATCGCTGGCAAATCGACTCGTGATACTCACAATCAATCTGCCAAAATAGCGATCGTTGAGGCCAAAACGATCAACTAATTGTGGCCAGTGCTCTCGATAATATTCCCAGACAATGGGTTGACCCACCGGATTGGCAGCGATATTCTGCACACACGTGAAATAGTCCTGGGAGCGCACAATATTCTCATCACTAGCCAGCTCCAGGAAGCGGTAGAGCAGCTGACCATTCTGCACAGCCGACAGACCGTACATCAGCTTCAACTTCTCGCTAGCATCCGTCTCTGCCTTGAACCATTCCAGCAACTGCTCCCAATTGGACTCGCTGCTCGTCTGCTGCATGCCGTAGTAGTAGACCACTTCACGCAGATCTGGTGCAGGACGATTGGCAGCGGTGGGATTCTGGAGCCAAGTACTGAAACGGTTCGTTGCCTGAGTCAGGCAGTCAGGTACTCCCAAAGCACAGGCAGCGGAAAGGACTGAAACCCGTAGGCGACTGCAGGAGAAAATTGTGATTAGGTGATTTATTAGCTAAGAAATGTGATCACTTTGGTTTAAAAGGTAATCTCTAATTGGTCAATAATTCGAGTTTCTAAATATTCTGTATTTAAAATTAAATAATTTGTAAGCAAATGTGCAAAGTTTGCTCGCAAAGGTGTTTCTAATTTAGAAAATGCTTCCCTTACATAATAGAACACATAAATAACATTTCAAGAAGATGTCATGTTGTGGTTAAATTCTTAAAAATCACGCCAATTTATCACTTTCAATCACTTTATTTTTAATAAAACTAAGTTCATTCATTAAAATTTAATTATTTTCACTAAACAACACAGCAATAAAATAAAAATTGGGGGTTCAAGAAGTATACAGATTAACAAATATTCTATACTCACTTTTTCAAATGGTTGTTAGCATCGACCGTCCAGCCGACCTCCTGGTAGACATTGGTGAGCAGGGTACGAGCATAAGTCAAGTAGGAGACGTAGCTCTCGGTGAACATGAGATGGCTCTTGAGAGTTTGCAGTTTGGAGGCAGCGACGTACCAGGGGACAAAGTCAAGCTCATCAGCTAGGTAGGCGGTCATCTCCAGTGGGACAGTGTAGGACAACTGACTGGCATCGGCCAATGCAAAGGCATCGTCCAACAAATGCGCCCGATCCGCAATGTCGAAACGCGAATGTTTCTCGACGAGCTCTTGGATGAGTTTCTGCCACAGACTTTCCTCATAGTTGACGCGATAGTAACCCACCTGATGCACATTCAGCTTGATCCAGTTGATATCAGATAGCGCTGCCACTCCGATCTCATCAACGTCGTACTCAAAAATTAAATTGTCAGTATAGCCGTTGTCCATTAAATAAGTGATTGGAACGTTCCATTTGTACCCGAATTCAGATGGTTCCACCTCCTCGTCGTAGCTGGCTTTGTTGGAGAGGAATCGCTTTTGGGTAATAAGGAAACCGGTATCGGTTTGACGCACATTGATAACTGGATAGCCCATCTGCTCGGTCCAAGTGCGCATCAATTGCTTGACATCAAAGTCACTGACCTGGGCAGCCACTTCAGTCAGAAAGTCGTCGGTGACCGTGTTCTTGTATGAGTATTTGGTCAAATAGTTGGTAACAGCCAACTCAAACTTCTCTGGCCCGACAAGAGTCTCCAACATGCGCAACACAGAACCAGCTTTATCATAACTAATCGTATCAAAAATGGCCGATATTTCATCCGGAGACTCCACTTTTTGCACAATGGGATGTGAGGAGAGTTTCGCATCGAACACCAAAACTGGATGTAGTGCAATTATTTGAAATTGTTCCAGCTTCAGAAAAGATACGATTTCGGAGTTTTAAAAATATTATTAAAATTATAAAAACAATTAAAAATTATTTAAAATACATTCAATTCATCTAAAAATGAAAAAATAATAACATTACTAATACATTACCAAGTTAATTTTCAACGTTCCCAGTTCTGGTTTGGTCTCCTTAGTTAGTATTTTCTAATTAATCTGTACCTCAGTAAGAAAAAATTCTATATACTATTCCCCCATTCTCACTTACCATTCCCCAATCGGGATGCACAGCATGGACGCCCTTGTACTGCATGAAGCGAGCGAATCCTTCGTTTAGCCAAAGATCATTCCACCAGTTCATGGTGACCAGATTGCCGAACCACTGATGAGTAATCTCGTGAGCCAGTACACTAGCCACTGACTGCTTATCCAACGTGGAACTAATCTGCTCATCATAGAGGAGAGCAGTCTCACGATATGTAAGTAGACCCCAGTGCTCCATGGCACCCAAGGCAAAATCGGGAATGGCAGCCATATCCAACTTGGGAAGTGGATACGCCACCTTGAAGTATTGAATGTAGTACTCTGTGACAGCTGTTCCAAATCCCAATGCAAATGTCACTTTGCTCTTCTGATGGGGAGTGGCAAAGGCACGCATCTCGAAGTCTTCGCCAATGCCATTTGCTTTCACCGTGCTGGTCTCCGAGTCAAAGTCGGAGACAATGATACAGGCCAAATAGCTGCTCATGGGCACACTGGTGGCAAAGCTGGCCATCGTGTTCTCGCCCAGTAACATCGTGTCCACCTGGTTCATGTTGGACAGTGCATGATAGTTACCGGAAGTGGGATGTACAACGCTGATATTATAGGTGGCCTTCATGGCGGGTTCATCGAAGCATGGATATGCCTGGCGCGCATAAGTTGGCTGAAATTGCGTAGTCGCAATGTTGCTACAAATAAACACAATATATATGTAATATATAAAAATGTGTTACATGCTTTTAGGCTTTTTAGTTGCAACAATCACTTACCGCTGCTGCCCCGCAGGCGTCGCATAGCTGCTGCTGTATAATCCAACTAATTTGTTGCGCATTTGTCCTGAAAAAGTTATGCCAAGCGTAATAGCTGCATCTACCTCCAGCTCCTCCTGCAAGTTGATGATCAGCAGCTGACGCAGCTCGTCCAACTCATAGCTGGTCACCTCATTGTTGAGCACATAAACGCTGTCAAGGTCCAGGTTGTGGGAGTGTAAAATGATTTGATTTGTTGCCTCCAACACTTTTATGGAGATGCGCTCCTGGCCCGTAAAGTTGCCCGTATCCAGCTCCGGATGCAGATGCAGAGAGTAGTGCGTGGGCACAAGTGCCGTCGGCAGACGATAATCAATCTGTGTGAATAGCAAATAGGCTATTGTGTGATAAGCAATCCAACTTTTCACAGCTCCCACCTCTTACCTCCTCGAATACTGTACGCTTCCCCTCTTGTGTGCGTTGCTCGGCGACAACTATCGTTGTGGCCACGCTCCAAAACAATACCACTCGCAACCAATTGTCCGTTATATGCATCTTAGCCGGTCGAGCGACAACAGTTAACTAAAGACATTAGCCTTACATTTGGCTTGATTACGGCATTGGCTATAATATTATTATGAGCACTTGAATGCGCTATATTATAGCTAACATGTTCTGATAGTCCCAAAAATTTTTCCATGCTGATATAGATAGAATTTCAATAGATACTGCCACAAAAGAGATTGGTGTAAATTACGAAAAGTCGGACAAATCTAAAAGCAAAAATTGACCATGCAGATAATCTTGGAATCGTTAACTTCTAACTTCTGATAGTTTATAGAGCTATATTTTTATTGAGTTTTTATGCTTTTATTTTTTGGGTTGTCTATATCTGGGAAATCTTTATTTGGTTATGTGGACAAAGTATGTTAGTTAATTCGATTAGTTCAAAAGCCAATAATATACTTTAGGACCATCGTTGACTACGCGCCAGTTCTAGCTCAGCTGTTTATCCTGCTTGTCGAGCCAAGCATCCACACTCTCGAGATTTTCAGCCAGCCAGACGATGTTGTTCTTGACCGTCTCCAGAGCACGAACTCGGGCGGCAGTGCCGGCTCCCGCCTCGGGATACTTGGCAAAGAAGTGCTCCATTTCCTCGAGCTTCGTTTGGGTGTGGAAGCGCGCAGTTATCGATGGTATCAAATTTCCCAAGTAACGCTCGTTGAGACCAAAGCGAGCGACTAACTGCATCCAGTTCTCGCGGACATAATCCCACACCAGCGACTCACCCATGGGATTAGACGAGATGTAGGTTAAGCAGCTGAAGTAATCCTGACCACGCACATACTCCTCGTTCCACGCCAGGTCAATGTAGCGTTGAAGCAGCCACGGCTCCTGTATAGCTGACAGACCATACATAAGCTTCGATTTCTCACTGGCATCGGTTTCGCTGATAAACAGTTCCCAGACGGCCTCCCAAATCTCCTGATTGCCAACCGATTGCATGCCGTAGTAGTAGACGGTCTCGCGCACATCGGGACTGGGACGCTTGTCGGGAGTGGCCAGCCAAATCTTGAATTGCTGACCTCCTTCAGTCAGGCACGCATCCAGACCCAGAGAACAGGCAGCACCCAAGGCAGTCACACGTAGGCGGCTACATGAACACAGTTATAGATAGGGTACGAATATTATGAATAATATTTTATGACTTGAATGCTATATGGAACTATCTACATTCAGATTGTGATGCAAGGAAGGGAAAGGATATTTAATGAATATATACGGACTAAAATATAAAGCCCTTGTAAATGAATACTAGTTTTCACTAATAAACTTTATAACAAAGTACATGTCTCAAACAATCTAGCAAGCAAGCAAGCTACTAGTGGCCTCAGACTTCAGACCTCAGAAATGTTTCACACTATATTTATCATAAATAGTTGACGAACTGCTTAGCTTTCCGGGTTTCCGAGCGAATTTTAAATTGTATTGAAAAGATCGAAATTTCAGAAATTCTCATTAAAACTTGCCCCATATAAGATTCCCCAATAACTACGTCTTAGGCGCACAATCGTACTCACTTGTCCAAATGATCCTCGCCCACGGTCCAGGTGAGCGATGTGTAGATGGGTTCGATCAGAGCAGTTGCGTATTTCTTGTACTTGACAAAGGTGCTGGTGTAGTAGAGGGTGCGCTTCAGTGATGTCAGCTTGGAGGCAGCCACGCTCCAGGGCACATAGTTGACCTCTTTGTCCAGATACTTGGTCATGTCGAAGGCAACCTCATAGGGCAGCTGTGTGGCATCCGCCAAAGCGAATGCATCGTTCAGTATGGAGGCACGATCTCCAGCACTGAAGGCGTCTGGTTTGGCTACCATTTGATTGGCCAGTGATTGCCATAATGCCTGATCGTAGTTGACGCGATAATAGCCAACCTGATCGTGATTAAACTTGATCCACTGCACTGCGGCGGGTAACTTAATGATCACTGCAAGACAAATTTTATTTGATACATCAATGACAGCTCGAGTGGAATATAGATGATGTATTCGCACTTACTTTCGCCATAATCGTAATAAAACCAATCTCGCTGCACTTGAGGATTCGCGCTGGTCGTATATGTTATGGGTATAGACCAGCGATAGCTATAATAAATAATATATGTGTGAAATTTGTAATCAGATAATCAGTGAAATAGAGATTGATAAAGATGAACAACTCACTCGAATTCTGAGGGCTCGTGGCCTTCATTGTAGTCATTGGGATTGGACAAGAAACGCTTCTGCTTCAATTTGTATTCAGTGTCCGAGAGTTTTTCGATCGTGACCACGGGCAGACCCATCTACAACGAAAGCCATAAAAATGGGTTAAATTGCCATATGCAAATTCCCAACTCGTGGGAATGCTGCACAGCCTCAAGATCTTCACACACACCTGCACCGTCCATGTGAGCATAATATCCGTCACATTATATTCCAGATCCAGCTTATCAATCTCGTTAAAGAAGTCAGCAGTCACAGCGTTTTTGTATTTGTATTCATTTAAATAGTTTGTGACCGCTTGACGGAAGATTGGCTCGCCAAGAAAGTCTTCCAACATGCGAACGAGAGAGGAGCCTTTGGAATACGTAATAGTGTCAAAGATTTCCGTTATCTGATCGGGATTCTCAACCTTCTGTATAATGGGATGGGAACCCAGAGTGCCATCCAAGCTAAACACTCCGTGCAAAGTGCTCACAATAAATTGATCACGCTATAAATTAAAATTCTATGATTACGAAAAAATTGATTGGGTTAAAATATTTGGCTTAAACTTACCATTTGCCACTCGGGATATACGGAATCAACACCCAGATACTCAATAAAGCTGGCAAAGCCCTCGTTTAGCCATAAATCATTCCACCACTGCATGGTAACTACAAAAAATGACCAATAATATCAGCTAAGCACAAAAATTCTTATCATTATCAGTTTACCCACCTAGATTTCCGAACCACATGTGCGCAAATTCATGTGCAATAACACTGGCAATGCGCTGCTTATTTACCGTCGAGCTAGTGGCCACCTCGTACAGCAGCGAGGTCTCACGGAAGGTGACCAGACCCCAGTGCTCCATGGCGCCCGATACGAAGTCTGGTATGGCAGCCATGTCCAGTTTGGGTAGTGGATACTCAATTTGGAAGTAATCGATATAGTATTCAATGACCCCCTTGCCCACATTCACGGCAAAATCAACCTTATCGATCTGCTCGGGCGTTGCATAGACGCCCATATCGAAAGTCTTGCCAATGCCCTTCGTATCGATCTTCACCGTTTTGGCCTGAAAATCGGAGATTATGAAGCAAGCCAGATATGTGCTCATGGGCACACTCTTGGCAAACAAAACGTCGGTGGTGGCGCCTTCATCAACCTCCACATCGACATTCATGTTAGACAGCGCATGATAATTGCCACCCGTTGGCCGCACCAGCTTGATCTCAAAGGTGGCCTTCAAAGCGGGTTCATCGAAGCATGGGAATGCCTGTCGTGCGTAGGTTGGCTCAAATTTGGAGGTCGCAATCGTTTTGCGTGTCTCATCGGCCTTCAAATATGAGGAACTGTACAGGCCCACAATTTTGTTGGCCATATTCCCCGAAAATTCGATATAAAGGTGGACAAGAGATCCGACAGTCAACTTCGTGTTCAAATTGATGATCATGAACTCTCGAACTGTATCGAAAGTGAAGTTCTCGACAATCACACTGGATTCCCCGGTTTCGTAGACTACTACACTCTTTATGTCCAAATAGAGCGAATGCAATATTATCTGATCGGTTGGCTCGTTTACCGTTATATAGATAATCACATCACCACTAAACGTGCCCGTATCAATATTCGGATGCAAGGTGAGATCATAGTTGGTGGGCGTCAGAGCAGTCGGCAATCGATAATTAATCTTCTCCGGAGGCGATTCTGTAGTCCCTGTGCCGGGCCCTGTGGTGGTGGGGGTACTTGATGGCAATGCCGTTGTGGATGTGAAGCCTCCCTCGAGCAAATCGAGTTTCTCCCGTGCATCGCGCAGGTCATCCTGCAAGTTGGCCTTCTGCACGGCCAGCACAATGGTGGAGATGGTGAAGGCTGTCAAAGCGACGCCCAAACAAATGCTAACCAATTTCGCCGTTATTATCATATTTGATTTGATGGGCTAATCCAAAGCGGGCAACATTGAAACCGCAACTAAGCGTTGACACTGAACGCTTTGCTATAAGCAGCATTACTTCAACGACTTTATCTTTATTGGACAATACTGATTGCTAATCTAATCAAAGCAATTACTAATCTATGATAATACCGTCCCCGTACCGATTTCCAACATATGTATATATACTTCAGCGATCTGACAATTTTACGAGCCACTCGACATTTTGCGCCGGATCGCAAATTCGATTTTTAAAGCATTGATTAACGCACTTCCAAATGTCATGAAAAATCTGCGCATTTTTCCCGTGTCTTTGGCATTTTAGAAACTCCCGGCGCCAGCGGGCCAACTTTCCATAGCGCCGACGCCCATATGTGTGAATATGTCGAGTAGTTTTGTGTTTGGGCCAATTGAGCAAAGTTTTACCCACATCGACTACCTGATCGATCGGACAGATCGCTGACGTTTTTGGTATTTGTGTATTACCCGGCGCCTTAGGTACTTAAAAAACCCTTTTCCGGTGTGGGATTCTCTCGGCCTAATTAGAGAGTTGGTATTTTCATTGTGCCAAAACCCAAATAACCAAAATTCCGCGCATGTTTTTCAGCGTTTGTCAAAATGATACACTGACTTTATCAGGCCAAAAGTGTGCCCAACTTTATAAATGCAGATATTTGGTATAAAATAGAAATTGGATTACTATGGATAGCGTGTACAAAATCCACTAACGTGAGGTATTGCCTATACATATGACATTGATAGGAATATTTATAATGACCATAAACAAAAGCGTTATCAGCGTATTATATTTTATGAAAAATATGGAATTATATTGCTATCATGTAATTTGCCAAACACAGCCATTACTTTTGGCTGAAACTACCAAGAAAAAAGAATGATGGCAATACAGGCTGGAACGGATTCACAGCCGTTTACCACAAAACGCAATTAATTTTCCCAATTATGTTATTTGTCATATGTTTTGTTAGATAATTGGCTTTGCCAGCCGAGTTGGCAAAACACAAAACTACGTACGACCCGAGCACGTTTCAAATTTTCATCCCACAACTCTGTGCCCAAAGCATTGATTTCGAACCGTTGGGAAGTCCATGAAAATGAATGGAATCGATTGAAGTTCATTCATGAACGTGAGCCTGAGGTCTACCTGCCTAAGCGTGGGAAAGTTGATCGGAGCCAGGATCGACGTTGCCGGAGATCGATGGAGAGAGCAGGTAGACATCAGGAATAAAAATTGGGCTGCTCCGTAATTGCGTCGACCTGGGTGTGTCTGTTGGGTTATTTGTTGCGGGCGCTGGGAGTTTTGTGTTATATGCCAAAAAGTCCCAAGTGGACAAAAACTCAAATTTCCGGTTTTTTGACCAGTCTCCGTATTTCCCACGGATACCTACCCACAGCGACTTTGTATAAAACGAGGCCACAGGATCCGTTCAGCACACAGTCGAGCAAACGACAGCAACGAGAACACAACGTGACAACACCATGTACTACATAATTCAAATACTCCTGAGCATTGCCAGCACCGCAACGGCAGCAACCATTGTGGAACCGATGAGCAACTACTACCAGTACACCCAATTCCAGACGCCACTCTCTTGGGAAGCCATCAGCAGCAGCAGTCTGGAGCAGGCCATGACCAGTTGTCAGGAGAGCTTCAAATGGCAACGCTGGAACTGCCCCAGTCATGACTTTATCAAGCGACGCACAGATCCACCCATCGCCCAGGAGATGGATCGCGAAGATGTCTATGTGACAGCCATTGCCACCGCAGCCATTTTGCATAAACTGACAAGGGACTGCGCCAATGGGATCATTGCTGGATGCGGCTGCAGCGAGAATGTCCTCAATGTGCCCTGTGCCCATGAGCCAGAGAAGGCGCTGCAGCTCTATCAGCAGCGATATGGCGTTGGAACAGGTGCCGTTGGCCACAATCAACGTGTGGTTGGTGCCTTGATGAAGCAATCACTGGAACTGGAGTGCCATTGCAAACAGCATAATGCACAGGGGAACTGCCTGAAGGAGCAGTGTGTGCCGGTGCTCAAATCCTTTGAGGCTATCGCACAGGATCTGTTGCATATGTACGACGATGCCATACAGCTGGACACAACCACCAGCAACCTGAAGATCATGTGGCAGAATATACCTCTCGACTCGTTCGTCTACATGCAGGACTCGCCCAACTACTGCCAGCCGGAGGAGAATAATCGCTGGGCAGGCACACTTGGGCGCCAGTGCAGCAAGCATAGTGGCAGTGGAACCCCTGCCGATGAGCGTCTCTCCTGTCAGCAGCTCTGTCGCGTCTGTGGATTCCGCGTCCGCTCCCAACATGTGCGCAACGAGCGACGTTGCAACTGCAAACTCGTCTGGGGATTCCGATTGCAGTGTGATGCTTGTATTCAACTGGAGCGACAATACAGCTGCTTTTAGAGAAAGACAGACAGATGGAGAGAGAGAGAGAGACTGAGCTATCTTTTGTGGGCGCTGGTTGAACCTCGCAATAGGTGCAATTATTTACTCAGACTTTAGACTTTAGTTAATTTATTTGTACCCATGTCATACTTAATTTATTGCTCAAACAAACGAAATAAAGATATAATTGAAAGCCATAAAAACGACTAATAATATTTTTTAACAAGGCCAAAACTTAATACATTTTTCCAGGTATGTGTATCTAATCTGACAATAGTGATTACAGAACTATAAATATCATTCGTATGTTTTTCAAAGATTCTATTTTTCCTACAAAGCCAAAAATATTTATGTTTTTCTAGGTACATCATCATCATCTCTAATGTTTAAATGATTCTAATTCATAACTGCAAAAACACAGTGATGCACCCGATTTGCTTTATTTATTTTTTCATATTATATAACTTAATGTGAAACTTATTGCAATTGGTTTGTGTGTTTGAGTGTGTTCTTGTCTCTATTTTGTTCAACTAGCTGTCTAAAGTCTCTCTCTAATTCACCCAGGTGGTGGGTTTCCCCTCCACCCGATAGCCATTGTAAGCTGCGGCCGCTGATGAGGCGGCTGCTGCCAGTTCAGATCTTCGGCTCGGCTCGCTGGCCCAATAGGAGGGTGCCACCTCATAGGATTGCATCATTTTGTTGCTGTTCTTGATGGCCGAGAGTATGAGCAAGAATATGGCCAGCTTACCCACCAAAATGGACTTGACCAGCAGCAGCTTCAACTTGGTCACCAGAAACGGCACAATCGCTGACTGTATGAGAAATGGTAGTATAAACAGCGGCAGCACCTTTGTGATCATATCGTACTTCTTGCCACGACCTGTAATTCGGTAACCGTGATATATCCGATATATATTATGTGGCAACTCAATTTGACTCACCCTCCTCGCTGTTGTCCGTGACAAGCCAGCGTGCACCAATAATCTCCCTGAGATTCTCGCCATCCAATTTCACACGCACAATATCATTGCTCATGTCCAGACTGACATTGAGACCTGGTCCCACATGGTACAGCTCCACATTGTTTTGCATAGGCTCATCCGGTTCCGGTTGGCTGCCTTCCCCCAATTTCTTCTCGTTATTGCGATTCTTGCGTTTACGCTTGCGTCGCTTCTTGCCTGCCGCCGTTTCGCTCTCATCGTAGATGGGCGTATCGGTTTGCGCCTCCAGCAGCGCGTCGGCATCTGCTTCACTGCGCAGCTCCTGCACCAGCACATCATCCACAGCCTGTTGCTGCTGCTGCGGCTCATCCTGCTCCAGCTCCTGGTAGTCAGTTACTTGACTTGGCTGCGGTGCGCCATTGATGCGATCCCGCAAACGCTTCTTGTATTCACTGGTTGTCTTGTTGCCCAGATAGGTGCTCTTGTAGTTCTTGTAGATGCCCATGTAGATGTGCGAGTTCTTCTTCAGCGCCAGCTTATTATCCGGCTCATAGCTGCTACTGGCCAGGCCACGGCCCGCCTCTGTGGTATCGTCGGCAGCCGGATTCGATGCAGCCTCGCTGGTATCCTGACTGTTGGCCAACGTTGCGCATAGCGCGAAAAACATTAGGAATCTCACAAGGGCGCTCATCTCTAACGCATATCACTGTTGCACCAGGAAACTATATAGTTTTGTTTTTCTCTTTGCTGTTAATGCTGCTGCTGAGTGTGTGCTTACCACGCGGTGACCAGCCACAAAATGTGGCACGATCGTCGTTCAACATCCATTTTATCAACTCAGCAACTGCTGCTGCTGCTGCAATTGCTGCTGTTGCTATTGCTGTTGCTATTGCTATTGCTGTTGCTATTGCTGTGGCAGCCTCCAGAGGAAAGCCGCTAGAACTGGCAGCATACAGCTAGAATTGGCATTGGAATTGGGCACAGTCTGCTTCTAGACTTGTATGTCACTTGGCTTGCTCTATTGCAACTTGTGGCCAGAACACGATTCTTGCGCTCTTTCTTCTGAATCTTCCTCGATTAAATTGGCCAAGAGCCGCTGTTTACTGTTTGCTGTTTTGGTCAAAACTTGAAAAGATAACTGGAGCAGGCCTGCAATTTCTTATTGAACTCGCTCAATGATTTCTTTTAGCTGTAATTGCTGTACACACAATTACCCCTCCCCTCCCACACACACACACACACACACACCTACCTCGAGCTAACCATTCGCAGGCCATTAGCCATAAATAATAATATGGAATCGTTAAGTAGCCTGATCTGGTCAAGTCTAAGATCTGCTAACGGTCACTTTGTGTGTGAGATTCTCTTAACCATAACCAAAATACAATTAACTCTGACGGCTAAAGCATGAGAAAGTTGTTGACAGAAGTGGCTAGAAAAGTGCTCTTCTTCTGCGACTGCTTTGATTTTATCAGCTTTGGCTGAATTAGGATCGGGTGCTTTGCTTAGACTAAGACTAGAAAGTAAATTTATTTTTTGTTTTTGCAATGAAAAATCCGCTTACCATATTTGGTGTTTTCGCTAACGACTTTCACACAACTGCACAACAGTTTTTCTAAACCCGTTGCAACGTGATTCTGAGTAAATGTTCAGACTCAGTTCTCAGAATAATGTAGACAGTATTGCTAATCATTAGCAATTATGTGCACCAGTTTGTTATTTCAATTTTCTATTTATATTAAGTAGTTTTTCTTGCCTAGACAATACGTTCCTTCTATAGGGTCGAACAGTCCGCAATGAAAGTGAATTGCAAACTTCAACAAATTGCAATGCAAGTGTGTTTATCAATGGGCAGGCCATCCAGTCGTAAATCATATATCGTATTTGTAATTGAAATGCGCTGCCCTCCTGCCAATTAGCTGACTTAACTCATTAACTTATACGGCGCGCAAAAAAAAAAAAGCAAATAGAAACGAAAGCGAATGGACTGTCCTCAATATATAGACACGCGTCGTGAAAGAATGCCCAAGTCCAAGACTTTGTCGCAGCACCAAGTGCAACATGGAAAAAGCAGCCAAAAAAGTGTGGTGGGTGCCGCGTGCCCCTTAAAGGGCACACACAGTTGCACACTCAGTGAAAATAATGATAAAGTGTATGCATATTCAAAAATAAAAATATAAAAAAAAAAGAATAACAAAAAAAGTGTGCAGCAGACAGATTGGGCATCGAGCGGCAACGCGGCAACATTGAAGCATTCCACATAGCCATAGCACGAATTGCTTGTTTTGGCGCACGTTCGTGCGACGTCCGGCTGTCGCATTTCAAGTAGCCAAGTATCCAAGTGGCCAAGTAGCTGGCTAAGTGGGCTGGTCGAGTAACCAAACTGACCAATACCTACGCCCTCATAAAAGCCAATGTCAATGTGAGCAGCACATTCAATTGTCTGCCAGTGCTGGAGCAGTGAAGAGTGTGCCAAACTCAATAAGGGATTAAACGAAACAACAAAGGACTAAAACAGGAATATTCATTCAAAATGGCTGCCGCTCAGAAATTTGCCCTTTCGCTGCTCTGCCTGTGTCTGCTGTGTGATTTTGCCTGGTGTCAGCAGCTGGCCAACAACAACTCCGACGCGGATGTGACTGGTCAGTAGTTCTGGGATAAATCTATAAATATATATTGTTTTTTTTTTAATATGTTTCTAAAAATTTGCTCTTGCAGAAAGTCGCACTTTTGGGCATCATATGCTGCGTCGCATTAGCTTTGCCTTGGTGCCGGTCGCCTTTGTTGTGGGCGTTATTACCACATTGCTGGCAGCGCTGACTGTTGTCTCGATAAAGGGTCTGGGTGTGGGTGTCATCCTACTCGTGCTGGCCATCGGTCAGATGCTGTCCCGTGCTCTGCCCGTGCATGCCGCCGCTGCATATACGGCTGCTCCCGCTCCGCTTCCCGTTGTCTACTCCCACTCGCACACACAGCAGCCCGTCTGGCTGGAGAAGGAGTGGTAGAGGGTAGTCCTGTATTCCTGAGAATGGGATGTGACTTAGCGAGCTGGTAGCAGGCCAAATTATACCTCAGCGAGCGTGCAACCAAATAATAATTTAAGTCTAGTTTAAATTATTTATTTACAATTTATTTAATACAAAACGCAAGAATTGAAACGCATCGATTTTATTGACTGATCAATCAGTTGCAATATTTACCACAAACAAATCAATTATTTTCAGTTTTTTTTTTTTGTTTTTCTTATTTGCTTCTTATGAAAAGTGAAATTTATTTCTGGCTCTTATTTAGTATGCAACTCAGAGCCGTACACGATTTACGGTTCTTCCGCACTGAGTCCAGTTTTGGAAACGTGTGCGCCGCCCCAGCACGTATAGAAAGTCTGACCATTTCAATATAGGTCGCACTTAGTCAAATATAGACAGAAAGAAGAGCAAAAAAATCGAAAGAAACAATAATTATTGTCTATGAATTTCTCTGCTTCTAATGGGTAGCACTTACATCTCATTACGGAGAGTGACTTATTAATAAACTCTCACTTGATTAACCGATGGTTAATTAAAGCGAATCGCTTAGTTAGCCATTTGAACGAGTCAACTAATTGGCAACCAGTTTAAGTCCGGCTTCAATTGTTCCACTTTGCAACCATTTTAAATTGACTACACTTGACAAATTTCTAATCTATACTCGCTCATATCTTAGCTGGGGGGTAAGGGACCCCTTCCTAATAATATAACAAAGTTAAAGTGCTGTGATAAGGCCAGTTTTAAAACCGAAACTTGGCAGTAAATTCTTATGTGATAATCCCATTGTTTATTAATCTGATATTGAATTCTCTCGTATTGCAATTTGGGGCGGCAATAAGTCAGTCAAATGGGGCAACAACGTGAGCCAAACAGCCAACGCAAACAGCATCGGTTCCAATTTGACCCGGTGAACTAAATCTGTAGCCCGCCACGAGTTGTGGCATGTGCAAAACCAGTTGGCAACAGTCGGCAACAGACGAAAGCGACTGAGAAAATTGCTGGCCAGGATTGTTGTGACTGTGATCTTGGTGGTGCATTCAGTTTGACGCTGTGGCTGCTCCCGTGCAGTTGTGCCCAGATCGAGACTAAAAGTTGGCAAATCCTCAGCAAATTAATAGACATTTGTAAAATATATAACTTAAAATGCGTGCCGCTCTTATTGCTGTGCATATCCTCTTAGGAATTACCCTTATCGAGGGTATAGATTGGGTAATAAAATAAAAAAGAAGTATATAAATTAAAATCTAAACTGATTAAAAATAGCACATTAAATGTGTCAGGATTTGTGGGTAAATGCAAATCAAGGCAGCTCAACATGAGTTTGACGTGCATATTTAAAATTCAGAAAATGTGCGAACTTCATTATATCTGTCGCTATCCACACACTCATCACAAGATCTATTTAATTTGCATACTTTGCAGCGCGCGTTTAAAACTTGCGATGACACGAGCTCCAACTGCGTGACACGAAAATATGGCTCGTCCATACCGATGCGGATCTATGAGTGTCTACGTGAGTCGAGTATGTTGCGCTGCACGAAACTGTTTGTGCTGCAAAAACTGGAGGAACGCCGACATCTGCCGCAGACTGGCAATCTGACCAGGGACTTTATGGACCAGTTCTTTGGCGAGGAGACGCAACTGGGCAGCCTGATAGCGGATAAGTACAAGGAGATGTCGGAGAAGGAGCTGAATCAGCGACTGGTTCAAAATTTTCAGCGTTTCTTCAAGCATTGCGATATCAAGCTTCACTTTCTGCCCGGCATGCTGGTCAAGATTGTGCCCAGCAAGGAGAACAAACTGAAGTTTACACTAAAGAAGGGTGAGTAGCTAGTCGATGGGGTATCTCTGTGGCTGACTTTGTCTCTGTTGCCTTTGTAGCGAATAAGCCACGCATGGGAAGAGCCCGTCGACGCGACACTGAGGAACTGCCGCTGAATCTCATGAATTTGCCATCGATGACTGGAGGCGTTGGTGGCACCAGTGCCAGCGTTGAGAACTACGAACCGGAAGCGGAAGGCGACTCCAAGCAACAGGGCGGGCATGGTGGAGGAAGTTCAGGGGACACCGGTGCCGGCGGCGGTCTGCTCAACAAGCGCAAAAAAAAGCACTCCTATAAGACAACAATGATGCAAGTCGCTGTTCCCATTCTAGTGTTGCCTGCCATTCTGCTGGGCAGTCTGTTGCCGTTTTTGCTGCCCACGCTGAAAATGGCCACAATTCTGTCGCTCTTCATGAACAATGGCGCCTTCCTGGCCGCCATGCTCTATGCTTACTCCTCCGCTTCGGCCTCCAGCGCCGCCAACCAGCCGCAGCACATCAGCTATGGTTATACCGATAGCTTTCACTGAACCAAATCCATTTCGATTTACAAATTCTCAATTACTTACCCAGTCGCTTCTCCAATAATAAAGGCTGTCTCTATGCTCTATGGCTTTAGTTTACTCAACTTTGCCGATTTGTTTTCTTTATCTTTGTTAGGAAAGAAGGAATTTGTATGCTTTTTTTTCGAAAAACATCATAAGGTTGGAATACAATTGCGTGACCAAATTTACGAAAACAGACAAATGGAAAAATTGTCCCTTTTAAAATAGAAACTGTATTGAGCTACCAGTTCCAAGAGTAAATATCAATTATAATATAACTAAAAAAAAACAGAAGATATACACTTATTTATCAATCTGTTATTTATTGTTGTGGAATTATTTGACATTACTCAATACTCAATATTTGAATACTCAATATACTCGTATTTACCTGAGAGAGCTATAATTTTTGGGCCAAGCCACTGAGGGCAAATCATAAATCAAGATCAGGATAATATCCACCAGTCACAGCTTTAGTCACTTTATTATTGCTAAGATTTTGGGAACAGAATATGCGACTGCCAAGCATTGTCTTTCTTTTATGATGGAGTTACGTAAATGTATTTCGACCTCGGTTGACCTTTCTGTTTGTAGACATTTTTCAACATTATCGCAGTAAATATTTTTTGTTAGTTGACGATTTATATTGTAAGTTGAGAAACTCGTAAGAAAATATGATGGACGCATAGATATTCAAAAAACCTTGGACCAAAACAGAACAATATGATACTAATTAAATTAAAGATATAAGTGTATTTCATTTCAAACGCAAATAAATATTTTTTTACGTCAGTTCTAAAAATGAAATTTTAGTTATTCAATAAGTCATAGTGTTCAGTGTGATTTTTTTTAAGCATATTAATAATATGAGCGCGTGCGCTCGACTCGGGCAGCAAATCTAAGCCAACTAGTTTCACATTAGGAAATACATATATATATATATATATATATATATATATATATATATATGTGTGTGTGTCTATACAGTCAAGAATTCGACAGACATTAAGTCTGCTTCCCGGCTAAACTGAAGACACCACACATACGGTGAATTTTTTGAGAAGCAATCTAAACCTGAAACTGAAAGCAATCGTTGTTAAGAGCTCCATTTAATGCGATTCAAAATATGCGCTTAGAATCTCAATTATAATTTTAAATACCAATTAAATGTCTCTTTTTTTTCATTCTTAATTAATATTAAGATAGGTTTTCTGATTTCCTGAATTTCCTGAATAGTATAAGATTTTACGAGCTGAGCAAAATTGTATGTAGTAATGTGTATAAGAAAAAGAACACTTTTAAGTATTTTTTGGAATTTTAGCGATTTTTTTCGGATTTTTGTTTCTACATTTTGTTATGATTAAATATACAGTAGACTTAAAGCTTAATATCCTACACACCTAATAACTAAAAACAATGTACACTCATTTAAGATTGGACACTTAAATGTTAAACTTAAATTGTATACCTAATTCTAGAACCTCTTGCGTCGTTAAGCATATGTTACATATTTATAGGGTCAATTTGTTCAATTTGCAAATAAGTAGCAAAAAAAAAAATGTATCAAATTACACAAAAATATAAAAATGTTGTTGTGGTTATATCTTTTTTTCACAATTTTACAGCAGAAATTTGAACTAATCTCGAATATGGTCTTGTGTTATTTGATCTTGCTGTAATGTTTATTATGTTTGTTTGTTTGTTTTGCTTTTTATTTTTTTCTTTTTTGGAATTGAAGCCATTTATAATCTTATTGCGCCCGATGCGCCCAACTAACCAATCAACAGTTCGGTATTAAGCGGACTTGCTCCGCTTTGTGACAAACATAATATTTTTGGAGTATAGGCAATCAATATAATTAAATACTGCGATCCCAATTTTCAGGCCGGAAAGAGGTTCGCATATTTAGTTATATAGCTATTTAACGCAATCGAGACGCAATGAACATCCTCTACAATTATTCCTGTTTACACTGTTGTTCTTTGTTAACAATCGAGGCGTTCTTGCGATCCTCCTCGCTAATATCCTTATCATCCCAGCCCCAAACCGCATTCTCCTCCAAATCATGGTCCAGATGTACCACCATCTCATTCGTTGGTGCGCTTTCCTTCACATCATTGTTATTGGCATCCAGCAAGGCGGCTATGTGGCTGCCATCGCCAGTGCGCCTGAGTCGCTTATAGACCATTTCCTGGGAGACGTACTTCAGATCATAAGCTTGGCCTGCATATAGCAAAAAGAATACCAGTTAAATATCGTGGTCTGCATTTAAAGTGTTTTGAGTGCTTACCTATCTTGGCCATCAGATCGATGAAAGCGGTGGTCCAGTTGCCGTTGTAGGTGCCCAGCTCAGCTGCTTTGTAATCCCAGGGGAACACATGGTGATAGTTATGCCATCCCTCGCCAAAGGTGATGTTTGACACCAGTCTTGAGTTAACCGAGCTAATGTTCACATCGTATGGCTTCATGCCGTAAAAGTGGGCAGCACTGTTCACCAGCCAGGTGCCGTGCAGTGAGATGCAGTAACGGAGCATGGAGCAGCTGAAGAAGCACACCATCAATGAGGAGCCCATCAAATAGTATGGCAGCATCATGGGCAAAATGAAGCAGCAAATTGGCATCACCACAAAGTAGTATCTGAAAGTAAAATCAGGTTAATATCGCAATCTCCAATAGCAGCTGATGCGAACTCACTTCTTCTGGAACATGACGACGGGATCCTGCTCAATGTCGCTCATATCGATCGATTTGCCCTTGGAGCCAACATCGGGATGCTTCCTGCACAGCAACCAACCCATGTGAGCGAAGAAGAAGCCGCGTCGTGAGTTATGGGGATCGGCGTGTGTGTCCGTGAACTTGTGGTGCACACGATGATCGCGTGTCCACTCCCAGATGCTGTTCTGGAAGGCCAACGATTGGCACAGCATGAGGAAGATGCGCAGCGGCAACTTCGCCTTGTAAGCCTTGTGCGACCACAGGCGATGCACTCCAGCAGTGATGCCCAATCCGCCGAGGAACGAAAACAGATATACTGCAAGTGACGAAAAATGTTTAAAATAAATGTGGATTAATTAGTTAGTCAGTCTCAGCCACACACACTGATACTGATACTCACTGGGCAGAATCTCGAGGTACGCGCTCTCGGCAAATATCAAATACAGGCCATATAGGGCCATCGAATGGAGAATGATGAACAGCAAAATGTTGTGCCAGACGACCTGGACTTTGAAGGGTTTAGCTTCGGTCGATTGTGGCGTGGCAGTTGCCGCAGGTGCCACAGTTTTCGCTGGGGCTGCTGGTGCTTGCTTAACTGGCGCAGGTGCGCCAGTTGCTGACATCTTGTTGTTGTTGGCATCGGCGATGGCTGTCTCGGCCAATATAAAGGTGCTGCCTATTATATTCGGTGCCATCTGCAAAAACATTGAAAGCATCTTAGTGAAGCACATGATGTGTGTTTACGGAATAGAAAATGAATCATGTCCGCAGCTTGTCGCTTCCTTATTAATGGCCTGTCAACGCTAGTTGGCTTTGACTGCTCAATTATTTGTGCAGCTTTCAGATGCAAATGGGATCGGCATAAACGCTACTCATTTGCTATTCTGAGCATACTCTATGGCTTTCTTCATAAATGGCATCCCCAGCTGCACGGCTAATTATGGACCAGCTTAAGGCTGCTAACTGAGCAGCTGGCAGAGCAGCCAGCCGATTCATTGCCAACGACCTTCGTCAGTTGAGCTACTTCAGAGCTACTTCAAAAATCCGAACCAAACCGGAAGTTATGCGAAACAAAACGAAAACAAAAAGTAACAACAAAAAAAAAACAAAAACAAGAAATAGCTTAAATAATAAAAAACAAAAACAAAAATGCATAAACTCAATTCTGTTAACTTCAAGAGGCAATCAATAATCATTTTTGGACTTCCTTTTTTTTTTTTTTAATAAAATCAATATATCTAATATGTTTTGCTTATTATTTATCATACTTAAATATTAACGGTTCTGCCAAACTCTAAAAAGTTGAATCAATGTTAAAACTTGGAAGTGAAATACTTGTTCCGCTTAATAGAACGCTTGCAAATAGATTTTAAACCAATCAAACCAACCAAAAGTCGACAAATGAATCTGTTTACCAATTTCGTGTTGAGCAAAGTGTGAAAATGAAGGGAGAGGGAGAAGGGTCTCACCTACAATACACCTACTTTATTTTTGCGTTTCAATTTCCAATACAATTTACTATGGTAATTTCAAATGCAAGTGATTTGATTTTTTACACAACTTAACACCGGGCCACCCATGCTATAAAAAAACGCAAAGTTAAGCAAATGTACACATGCATACTAATTGTGTTTTTGGGTTTTTGGTTTTTGTTTTCTCTACGGCATTTTTTTTGGATACTTGATACCATCGCCTTTGGCCAAATATGTTAATTGTTGTCTACAAGTTGTGGCATTGTTTACCAGCTGACTTTGGAATCTGATGCAGGTGAACGCAACACCGTGAAAAATTATGTTTTGTCAAATGTGAAAATCTCAAATAATCTGCAGCGCCACTTAAAAATGCATGACTTGCACGCTGTGTGAAAATAAATAGTGTCTGCCTTATTGGTAATTGCAGTTTTACGATTGCAATTGTTGCCATGGCCAGCTGCAAGCCAGCAACTCATTCTCAAAGTCAAGCTTGCCTGATTTTTGGTCTATAGCAACTGACTATATGGTTAGTCAGTTAACTGTCAGTGGAGGCTGCCCCGAGAAGGCAGTGTTTGTGTGTGTGTGTGTGTGTGTGTGTGTGTGTATGTGTGTGTGTAAGAGGAGCACTGGCAGACAGTTGGCTTCTTTAGAATCGACAACCGGTTGACCTCATAGCATATGCATGTTGTTTGAAGCAACACAAAAGTGTTCTTATTGGTTGCCTGGCGGCTTATTTCGCAGTTGTAGTATTTCGTGTTTTTGACTTAGCCTCGCGCTTAGTTCTCCACAGTCAATAACTTGGCTCGGTTCAATGTCACGCAAAAGCCGCACATCCACTTAATCGAAATTGAATTACATGCGAGCAGGGGCCAAACAATTAAGATTTGAATTGAATTTTGCTTAAGCTCACATTCAAAAAAAAAAAAACTACGCCACGAATTTTCAGACATTCAAATGGCAGAATAACAGACAAACCGATATCACCTGCTAATTAATAGCCTTCATATGAAATTTATAACTTTCCTGCACTCAGATCAAGTAGCCTTAAGTTCAGATCAGAAAGCGGACAAACTCATTTGGAGATTTGATTTATTGAGCACGTGTGAAGAACGACTTCAAACAGAGTGCTGCCACAAGCAGCCTCACATATATCACAAAATCCCCCCCTTCTAGAGCGAAACTTGTTTTAGCCAGCACCAATGCCACCAATGGATAGAAAAGTAAGCTAACCTTGTTTAAGCTGCGATGAGGCATAGTATACGACCATCCTTACCGGAATTATTAGCATAGTTGAATAACCAAGAATAACTTATGCATAAAAAATGCTATTGTTTAGAATATCGATTATATATATAGATATTTTTTTTTAAATGTATGCTGTGGGATCAAGGTTCTTTCGCATCATAACTAGTTTTGGGGCAGAAACTTGAGTAAGGTTTGTGGTTTGCTTCTTTTTTTGCAGACACGCATGCGAAATATATATATATATATATATATATATACATTTTTTGTATTTTCAGTGTATATATACAGAGCTGAAATTTTGCACAGCAACCAAAACCACGTCACAAGTAAATTGGCAATATCAATAATCATAATAATAAAACCTACACCGACGTCAGTAGCTGTATCGCTGTACCTATACCTGTACATATATCTTAAGCTGTATTTGTCACTGTGCTGGATACATCCATTGATCGATTCGACAAGCGAGCGCAAACAGCGACACTTGTCGCATAACAAAATGTGACTGTGACTGCGACTGTGACTGGGACTGGGACTGGAATTGGGACTGGGAAATCACGTTCCACACACCAAAGGCACTGTTCTATATGCATGGTCTCGTCTAATGTATTTATTGCCAGTTCGCATTATGCGTGGCAACAATACTCATTGTACTTATGTACATGCATAAACTTAAATGCCGATATATACTGGGCTCGTATTCATAAGTGCGGCGTGCGCCAAAGAAACTAACTTGTCAGCGAATATAAGCCGCTTAGAAAAATGGCGCACAAAACTCATTACGCATACGCCGAGTTGTCGTCAGTCTCTATTTGTATATCTATACATCTATACATCTATCTATCTATCTATTTATCTATCTATCTATACATATTTATATATTTATTGATATCAAATACTCGTCCCTTATCTGCATATTTTATACGAGCTTATTTAACATCATTGTTAACTTCAGCTGCTTTTTGATCGTCTGCTTTTTAAGGCTAGCATAATTTTTGATTATTATCGGTACGTGATTTTTATAGCGTAATCACCACTCCATAATTGTGATCTCTGATCTGTGATTTCCTATATGTGAATGATTCACAACTATTGTGGATTGACGTTTGCAGCTTGTTCAAATTTTATTATTTCAATTTTTGTTTTTTGCCAACTTCGAACAATGGTTAAATTCTTGATGAATTTCATGTTTTTGTCACTTCCGTAAAACTCGAATTGCACGAATTGCAAATATATATTTGAATTAATAGTTATTGAAATCATATTTAAAGTTAAGCTTTAAGTTAAGCCATTCTAATTTGTTCTTAATAACCTTGTAGCAATATTAAATTCCTTTTTAAAACTCGTTTAGTTTGAATAACATACTTCTCATGTATTCTCTTGAATATTTACTCAACTCTAATTCAACCAATAAAACCTTTCTGAGATTTCCATAAGGAATCGGTTGGTATTGATGATTGAACACTCACCTTTATTGAATTGGATGAAAGAAATATATTGATACTCCAGAAATTTCTTTCAAAGTGTTCTTGTATTGGTTTTGTTTATGTTTTGTTCAATTTTCACCACACATAAATCAATAGGCGAATTGCACACGCTAAAGTTCGTATAGCATCCCTATAAGGATGTTCGGTTCTGTCTTTATATGGACACACACACGGCACATCCAAGATTCGCGAAGAATGCACGGCGTATGGAGGTACGGCACGAGTAGCAATGCTTTTTAAGCGGCTAGTTCAAAATATTCGCACACACCCGAAGTTTGACGAACAGAGATGAGAGTTCGGCTCTTGTGCTCCGGTGTTCGCTGTCAACAGTGCCTCAAATAGTTAACAACGCCGAAATTTAAAGCCGATTTATGTCCACAATCGCGTTCGGCTCTCCGCTCGGTTCGTCTCCAATCACGGCTCGTTGGCAATTCTTGAGCTGTGACGAGCAGCAGTGATGTATAGCCGGAGGGGGGGTTCGGGGGCAGCGGCTGCGGCAGCGAGAGTGACTTCGTCAGCGTCTGCTGATGATCGGGCCCGTTTATGTTTTTTATTTCTTTATTTATTTGTATTTCGTTGTTTTTTTTTTCATTTTTTTCTGTATTTTGCTTAATCTTAGACGCGTGGCTTAAGTCAAAGTTTGGCCAAAATAATTAAATAAACTGCTTTAGATAGATGCGACGTGAGTAATTTTGAATGTAACAAACAATTAAGCGTTTGACAACAGTTGACTTTAGTGAAAAACTAAAAGGGGAAACCCGTCGTAAAATTGGCATTTAGCTATGCACTTAACGTTGTCTAGTTGGCCAATCTCACGTAGGCTTCTTCAGTACCGCGCTCTCACGCCAAAGTTGCCCAACAACATTTTTGTTGAAACGCTTCTTATCTGAGTGTTTGTTGTTGCTGCGACTTTGGCTTACTCAAACAGGGTCGGCAGTTTTGGCTGCAGGTCATGCAGGCTACAACAATCGGTCAAGTTGAGCGCGTTCGTCACTGGCTCATTTTGGCTATTATTTTGCATTATGCATGCAAACCGGCTAATATCGTTAATAGCGTTATTGACACCACGTTCTTAATGTGGCCCACATAATTATTAAACTATGCAATATTGTCTACAGCTGCTGCTGCTGCTGCTGCTGCTGCTGCTGCTGTTGCTTGACGGGGCAAGTACGAGTACGAGTATGGAAAACTGACACACTCTTTCAAGTCTTGAAATTATTTCGGATTTGTCGAAATCGATTTTGGTTAACTTCCTCATCTTTTATAATATTCATAACATCTTCGGTTTATCATGTGCGAGTATGGTAAACCAGCGACCTGTTTAAGTGCTTGCCAAATGTTTCGGGTTCTCAAGTACGAGTATGGTAAACAGGGCATATATCAACATCATCATCATTATCACATTAGTTGCAGTCTCTCTAATAATCTTTGCGGCTTGCTGTTACAGTTCTGAATAATATTTTTCATGACCACACTTAATTGTTGTTTAATCCGTGTCAATATTGGGCCACACAAATTGACAAAAACCAAAAAAAAAAAAAAACAACTCAACTCAGTTCTCAAGATAAACATAAATGAGACCTGTGAGGCATGGTATTGAGTAAGAGTACACACATATATATATATATAAATATATATATATAGGCACAGCAATAAATACTGTGCCTGAGACCAATAACTATTTTTCTACTTATTTCTTGTGGCCCAAAACCAAAAAGATACATATATGTTTACAGTATTCGGTCAAATGTTGATTGTTTTTCGCACTGAGCGCAAAGTTGAAATGAGTTGTATAATTTTATTTAGTAACCGCCACTAAAATTGTTTACTATCCAGATAGACAGACGACTAGATGTCTAGATGTCAAAAGCCTCGAGGCGAAGGCTTTTGACAACGTATCTATTTTGCAACCCGAAGCCATAGCTCAAGGTCAATAGGTGGCATATAATGTTGCACACAGTGGTAAGCAATAGTACGCGTTTATACACTCAAATCGTTGGAAGTGACGTCAAGGGTAACATTTTGTCTTTATAAAATCCATTGTTCCTTCTTTTCTTAGTTTCATAATTTTCTAAAATTTGGGAAAAATTTTCTAGTTTCTAGTGGGTTAGCCTAGCCTAACTTAGATATCAAGAAAGTAAATTTTATTACAATTTTTTTAATTTCAAAAAGAATTTATTCCAAGCAAAGGTTTGCACTTCAACTTTTTATTTGTATTTTTATTTTCTGTCAGTAAGAAATATATTTCTGAAAAATAGAAAATCAGCTCTTCTGTTTTTTTCAAACAATATGAAAATTTGTCTAGTTTTCAAATTTTAAGACTTAAAAATGATGTCGATTTTTTTTCGTGTACCTAAAACACATGATAGCTATTATGTGTTTGTGTGGAAAGTTGACTTAAATAACTATTGTCTATGGCAACCGGTTTGAATTGGGCCAACACCCAAATGGGTCGGCATAGTTGACTCTATAAAAGCGCATAAGCGACATTTACAAGTTCACGCATGTGCGACTTTAATAGTGTAATCAACATTATGGGAGCAATAATTTGTGGCACGTGATCACGTGTACGATTCACAAATATTGTCTAAATAGTCATTAAATGGGGCATTCAACTTGCTGAATGCACTTGTTGAATGAGTTATTTAGCAGATGAATGAATGAATTCAAAATATATCAATTCAAGTACTCCGCTTCAAGGTGTTTGTATAAATGCGGCTTACATCATAATTAGAGGACGATTTAAGATATTAAATTTTATACACTCGTCAAAATGTTAATTTATTACTAAATAAGCCTTTATTATGCCTGCTATACACTTTTAGAGGGCACTACAATTTTGTCGTAAAGTTTGCCACACATTGAAGCAGACAGCAGCGAATCCATTAGATAAATATATTCTAGATCAGCCATCTCACTATTTAACTATTCTCTTTCCCTTTTCTTTATTTTCTCGGATTACCCAACCCTTGCAGTAAATATTCAATATTTAATCATTTATTTATTTATTTTTTTGTTTTTAATTTTAAATTTAAATTTAGATATTCACTTTTAAATGTATATAATTTAATTTGAAACCTTAAATTGAATACAAAATTGTTATTTTAAATGTTGTCGTCTGGTTTTCTGTGCAAATAAAAGAAAAGAAGGAAAAATTAATGACAGCAGTTAATTCTAATTTAAAGTTAAATTGCTTCGACTTTGCACCACTGTGCAGCATGCAATTTTAACACTGTGTAACCCCTCACATATGCTTTAGCCTTCCTGAGTAATTGAAAGGCTGTTGGCAGTTAAAAACTAATGGCAGTGTCGCTGCCAAACACTTAATGAACCCAAAACACAAAAAAAAAAAAAAACAAGACACACATAATGGCAAAAACAACTTTGAGATGCACAAAGAACCGTGTAGAGCCCCCAAGCCAGCCAAGGCAAAGCAATAGTTCTTGAGCAAAGTCAATTACCCAAAACAATTACGAATATCTTAACTCGCAATGGCTTATTTACTACACATGCTTATATATATAATTATATATTTTACAATAGCTCCCCTCTGCCACAAGCGACAGCTTATGACATAAATTTAACTATTTTGTTGAGGTAACATCATAATATTTTTTAAGTTACACAAACATATGTAAACTGTAAGCTTATCTCATGCCTGAAGTATTTGTTGTAAGTAAAGTTAATTGAAATGCGCTGAGCGACGCTGGCAGTAGGCAAACTTCAATAACAATAGAGATCAATGAGACAAGTCTAAAGTGCGTGAAAACCTAATTAGGTCGGTCAAATCGTTGGATATGCTGGATATATGCAACACACCGATCGCTTTAACCAAATGCCTATGCAAATGCGTGCCGCGAACCGAGTCGCAGCCACAGGAAGAACGCAATGTCACACGTCTGAGTCAACAGTGTGCAATGTGGCATGAAAATGACTAGAGTAAAACAAACAAAACTCAGTCGTAAATGCGTATGTTTGTAATGGCAACAAGGGATGCAATGAGAGCTCCAAAGTATCAACGAACTCATTGCCAAATAAAGCCGTATTTATGTAGAACATGTTTCCCATCCATCAAATACACGACTGTCTTTTACGATCCCAAAAAGTGGTTGACAACAGCTTAACGAATGAAACCCATTAGAACTCAATTAAAGACACATATCCAAAAAAAAAAAAACGTTCATACATATAAACATATATATATATATATATATATATATATATATATATATATATATATATATCTTGTTCTCTATTTCTCTCTCTTTACTTATTTATTTGTATATAATTGACTTCAAGTCTAAGATCAAGCATATACCCCGATAAACAAAATAGTATTATATAGTGTATATTTAAATATATACAAATAACAACGTAATTACTGCTTTCTATAAGTATGTGTGTATATATTCGGCCTTAAGTTCGGGCTCAGCAGGAAATAAATAGAGTATAAATACATATGTACATCGATTTATATTTTAAATTGTTTCTTAAAAGTGAAAATAATATTTTAAAAATATATATAATATAATAAAATACGGCAAAATGAAATCATCTATCAATTTATACTTTTATTTATTTCTTATTTATTCTAATAAATGAAAACAATATTTTAACAAAATATACAGTATAATAAAATAATGCAAAATGAAATCAGAGCTTAATAAATGGAGTGCCTTGATTATGAATATTTTATTAAAGCAGCTATCTGATAATGAGATAATAAAAGCAAAATTTCTACAAATATATAGTTAAACGAAATAAAGTAATAAATAAAATAACGTGAACCATGAACCATTGCGAAAATTGATTTATTAAACTCTATTATAATATTACCATCTATTTTATTTATGTTAATTTCTTATATGTATTCTATGTTAAATGACTATCATCTTAATTTATAAGTAGTTTAAGTGACTTAAACGAAACAGTCATAATAATAAATGGAATTGGTTCAAGCAAGCACAGGAAGCACAGGTATTTAAGAGTTTTATAGAACATTACAGAAACATTTAATTCACGAATGCGATACGCAGAAAATGGTCTTAAATTGGTAAATCGATCACGTGCCAGAAAGACCGCAATATTTATAGCTCTGTCTCTGAACTTTGTCTTTCCATTCAGATTTTTTGATATTACCCTTGTATAAAATGTATTATAGTTTTATCGTAACGTGTGTAACGACCCCATATATATTCTTGATCAGTCGATTCGATATAGCCTTGTCCGAATTATTTTGTCTTATTTGCGCAGTAGCCCCTCAGTTTTTGTTTTATTTGTTTAATTAATTTAGACTAAAAGAAGTTCATTGTTTTCAAAAACGAATTTTATTTTTAAATAGAAAACTACAATTAAAGTCACAAATTAAATTATATATAAATAAAAGGGAATTATTAAATTACCGAATTTGCCTAAAACCAAATTTTTTAAATACTTATTTCAAATTAAATTCAACTAATTTAAACAAAAGTTTAGACGTCAGCAGATTAACTTCGGTCTGCAAAAGTGTTTATTCTTTGGAATGACAACGATATCCGTTTTTATACTTTGATACCGAAGGTATCATAGTATATTGGTTTTGTAAAATGTCCGTCTTCCAACATTTTTTATCGATTTTTTATTTTTTATATACCTAAAGTTCACAAAAGCCTATACATTGGCTACATCAACCCTGCTACCTGTTATCAGCTGGTATTACTTATGGTATCAAAGTATTTCGCAGTCGGTTACACCCGACTGCAATGATCTCTCTTCTTGTTGTTGTTTTTTTTTTTTGTATTGTGTTTTATTATTATTTTTTGTCCGTTTTTCCGCGTTCTTTGCGCCCCGGCATATGCGGGGTGCCATCGGAGAGCTTGTCAGCAGCAACTTCACTATTTTCATTAACAACTCGATCATGATTGGCATCGATAAGTCCAAAACCGCATACTATTTAGAATTCAAGGGGAGACAATTCGCAAACCTGCTTCGTGTCTTAAACATATGCTGAGCCTGGACAAATGGAAGACATGCCGTATTGACTTGAATTCGGAAATTCTATTAATATCATTTTTTTTCGTATTCTGTTAAATATGCATGAAAAACTCACTACATACAAATCACATAGATATATATATATATATATATATATAGAGACAGTTGGAGAAAAAGGTGCTAAGAACTAGGTAATATCAATCAAAATACGTGTGCCCTTAGAATACCTGACCCAAAACCAGTTGGACTTGTTACTAAGCTAATAAAAATGGGGTTGTGAGTATTTCACTAGTTCAATATTATGCAATAATTATGTGTTTATATTTTTTAATTTAGTGAACAGACTAAACAGGAATTAATTGGGAGTAGAACAAGTTCTCTTTGAGTGTGACCCTTAACATTAGTGTGAACTTCTAATGCTTCAGAATATTTAAAAGAATATGCATATATTATGTATGTAAATGAAGTAATGCCGCTTCAGGCAGTGCCATTGATAAACGATATGTGTTTGAAACATTTTTTAGTTGACTATTACAGTTGGCAGACATTGGACATGGACTTCCGGCGTTTGGCTTCCGCGTACATACCGTAGATCGACTTGCAAATGTAACTGTAAAGATCTTGAAACGATAGATAACTTACTAACGAAATCGAAGCGGCAATAGAAAATAATTAAAATATGTAAATGGATACAAAAAGCCAATAGTGGAAGAGGGCCAAAGTCGCGCAAAATCGAATCTTACCTCGCAGCGTCATGCGGTTAAAGAAGCTGACAAGTTGAAGATTTTCAAAAGCATTAAAATTGAAATCACCTATTCAATTGGCTGGTTGCTCAGCTGTTGCTTGATTAAACATCAGGAAATATAAAATGCAAAGCAGCCAAAGCAAACTGTAACAGGGCCCCACCAAAAAAAAAAATAAAATAAAATAACAAAAAACAAGAAACCAAAAAAAAACAAAAACAAAAAGCGAGAAAAAAATCAAAAAACGAGTTCCCGGGCCAAAAGCAAGCATCGTGTTTGATAAGCTACAAATATACAAAACGTGTTCGCATTTGACCGTTGCACGAAAAACGAGTAGACCAATATAAAAATACAAAAAAAGAAGAAAAAAAACCCAACAGATTAGTTAATTAATTCGTCACCATGGCAGCCCTACGTCTTCGTAATTCGCATTTTCATTGACATTGACTTTGACCGAGAAATTAAAATCGAAGCCAATGCGGCGTATACGTGCCCTCATAGGCCAATCTGTGTTTGTGTGTGTGTGTGTTACATAGATCAAAGGCGCACAACACGCAACATATATATTCTACATCAAAATATTCACGTATATATTTGGTACTAGGTAAGACGGAAAAAAATTAAATGCCGTCGCGATATATTTTAATGTGCTTGCAATGCGTATTATATATATACATATATATATATATATATATATATATATATATATATATATATATATATATATATATATCAGCATATCAGAACAGAAACACCATTTTATTGTCTGACCCTGACCTTATGTTAAGCATTCCCGCATTTTTTTATGGGCTGTTCGAAGTTTTTGTTTTGCTTTGCCGTTGCCGGCTCTTCATTTGTCTAAAAAATACATGCAATTGACATTTAAGTTGTAATGTCTGGCTCTTGGCACTTTTGATTTAATAAATGTTATAGTGACAGTTAAATTATTAATCTGGAGACGCTCCATCGAGCGAGGGGCCACCCACCAAATGTTGCTGGTGATGATGTTGTTGCTGCTGTTGCCGCTGTTGCTGCTGCCTCATTGGGTCAAGTTTAAAGCAGAAACCGCAAGAGCAACAACTTGTTAGAAAAATTGCACAAGACTAGATCAAAAAACGGCATTGACCGTCTTACTTTGCTGAAGCGCCCAGCCAATGGCCAAATACATTAAAAATAGAAGAGTGATTTGTTTTTTGTTTTTTCTTTTTTTCAGCTATTAACTAGAGTCAGTAGGTTATTTGCAATTTTCAGCAAGGGGTCGAACGCACTTCAGCTAAGGCGATTTCATATATGCTAATACTGCAGCGACGTCGCGACATTGTTTATTGTTATTTTCTTTATTTCCTGGTTTGTCAGTTTCGTTGACGGTTAAGCGTTATATTTGATAGCTTAATGTGTACCGTGCGCAAGCATTGACCTCAATATATATAGATATATATATATATATGTGTGTGTATGTATGTTATTATTAGTATTATTGCTAATCTGGTGTATAATAATCTTCATATCAAACAAATAAGTTTCGATTTTGATTGGTATATTAAAGTAAAACATAATCACGGTCAAAGTGTTTAAGATTCAAATGAGAAAGTGGCGCCAACTCCATCGATTGCCTCGTTTGTTTATTATTAATGTTTATTATTATTGTTGAACCAAAAAAAAAACATAAGTTATTAAAATCTATACTTGTAATTTTGAAAATAAACACATCTGAAATTGTATTATATATTATTATTGTTCAATTAAATTGAGCTGTGTATTTTATTTCGATGCTATTACTTGAAATTATTTTAGCGTAAGTATCGATACTTTAGGCAAAATTATCGCAGCTGTGGAAGTGAACGCACAAGCTTGCCAGACCTTATAAAATTATTCATTTTTTATGCGCAGTACGGTTACACTTGCACCCTTATCGCTGAACTGAAATGTTGCCAAATTGGATCGAGTGTGTTTTGTAAATCACAGATATACTATATACCATAGATATATATAAATCTCTTGGGGAAAAGCAACTGTTTATAGAGCCAGAGTGAATGCGAAATATGCTAGTAATAAGAATTAATGGTCAGCCAGCATCGAAGCAATGACAGTGCGAGGCATCGAAGCCATTAAATTGTACATGCCGATGTCAAAGGCAGATGCAGCAGCAGCCATAAAGACAAATATACCAGAGGAAACGGGCAGAACAATCGAACCAGTTGTTCCTGTTGATGGTGGCAATAACAACGGGAACACAATGAACTCTGTGGAGCGTTATAGACAAGAATGGACACAGTTGCTGGCCAATTTGGATGAGAATCCCGAGATGCTGCGAGCAGCTGCATTCAGCGGGAAACTAAAGATGTCCAAGTTTCGGAGCATCCATTGGGCGCTGTTGCTTCGCGTGCTCAATGCGGATTATCGCAGCTGGCCCGGTCAGCGGCAACAGCAGCGAAGCAGGTAATTTTAACAAAGTATCTATCTTCATCTTCATGTATATTTATATGTCAAGTCATTCATCAATTTTAGATATGAAAAGTTTCGCGTGGATTATGTTAGTAATCCTCATGAGCTGGCGGTGCGGGAAAACGATGATCCCTTGTCGCAGTCGACGCAGAGCGTGTGGAATCAGTACTTCAGTGATCAGGAGCTGTTTGCGCTCATACGGCAGGATGTGGTGCGCACCTTTCCAGCCGTTGATTTCTTTCGCAAGGCCCTCATCCAGAATGCCATGACAAACATACTTTTCTACTATGCCCGAGAACATCCCTATATGTGCTATCGCCAGGGCATGCACGAGATATTGGCGCCCATCATCTTTGTGCTGTACAGCGATCATCAGTCGCTGTTGCATTTCAGTGAAATCGCCAAGACGGAAATCAATGAGACACTGTTAGATGTCTTGAATACAGCCTATCTGGAAGCGGACACCTAGTAAATCATTGTGCTTAAGACCTCTCTGGTTTATGTATCGTAATCCAAATGCCTTTCCAGCTCCATTTTTTCGCGTCTTATGGCTTCGGTTGAGTCCTATTATCGCGTTTCTCGTTTCGCCTCCACGCCAGGCGGTGACTTGGAAACGCAAAGAGTAAACGAGGTGCATCACAATCTCTCTCAATTGTATATTGTGCAAGTTTTTTTTTTTTGATAATTGCCTTGTTTACAGTCCCCGAACGCTGACGCTGAGCTGCAATCTGAGGCGGAGGTTATCAGTCAGCTGAATTTCATTCGTGATAGAATACTTGCCAAGCAGGATCAACACTTGCACCATTATCTCCTCAAAATGGAAATACCATTGCATATATTCGGCATGTGAGTAGCGGTACAAACCGGTTAGAGCATCACACAAATTCTCAGCTTCACTTTTTCAAATATACCCGATACCATTGGGAAATTGTGCCAAATTATGACTAAGAAGCGGACATCTAAGACTCTATAAAGTAAATATAAATGCTGATTGCATCGATGAGTTAAGTTGATGCAGCTCAAGTATTCAAGTATCCGCCAAAAATAGTTATTAATTTAAAATTAAAATTAATTATTGACATAATTTCTAAACATGTCTCAACTCAAACTTTCTCCTTTATGATTGCAGCCGTTGGCTGCGTCTACTCTTTGGGCGCGAGTTTATGCTGATCGATCTGCTGGTGCTGTGGGATGCCATCTTTGCGGACAGCGACCGCTTCGACCTGCCCAACTACATCCTGGTTGCCATGCTGGTGCACATTCGCGACAAGCGTGCGTAATGCTCAACATAGTTACAGATAATATTGATATTGATTCGCTCATTTGTTTGCAGTGCTGCTGAGCGACTATACATCGTCACTGACATATCTGATGCGCTATCCGAGCAATGTGGATGTCAACCTGGTGCTGCGACATGCTCTGCACATGCTGAATCCCAAGCAGTTCGACTATCCGGTGAATGCCTTCTCCTGCGTCTCGTTCGCAGACAATTTGGCAGCAGCCGCTGCCAGCGCAGCCGCTGCCAGCGCAGCCATTGCACCAACGCCATTTAAGTCGCAACGTGTGCACACCAATTCGGAATCTTCAACTGGTGCCAGTGGCAGCCACATTAATCGTCAGATAACCTACATGCAGGCACGAAATGCTGAAAGCCTATCCGCGTTGGCCAAGCTCCAAGATACCAATCGCATGGCCATGGATGGCCACCTAGCAGACGTAAGTGCCTATGGAGGTTATTTTAAGAATATATATTCTCCATCAGTATGAAAGGCCAGAAACCGTCTGCCTTAATTTGAGTATAATAAGATCTAGGTGTTGATTGAAGAAACAACTGATCAAAATCTAAATAACTTTAAATATTGACTTTTTGCTTCATGCTAAATTAAATTAATTTCCTTGTGTTTAACCACAGAGTCCTGAGCTGCTGCGCTTGGAGCTGAAGAATGCGCACACTGTCATCAAAATCGCTCGCAGTAAACTGTTGAATTATCTGTCCACTGTGCGCCGGCATATGGACAAACAACAGGGCAACGAGGAGCTCAATCGTACACTCGATGGCATCGAGGAGTTGTGCAGCTTTCTGGATGTGAAGTTCATATTCCCGATGCATGCACGCACCACGCCCATTGACGAGGCACTCGAAGCCAACGAGCGAAAACAGAGTGCGGTGAAGCCAACAAATAACCCGACGATGAGCAACAGTCAGCAGATGCCCGGCCTGCCATCGGCCAGTGGAGGTGGCAGTGGCTTTGGCGGCGGCTATGAGATGCCAGAGAATGCGTTCATGCACAATTCGACGGCTCGTCTGCTGGGCGATCGGCGGGAGATCGAGTTGTCCACCATCACGAGCGATGAAAGGCCGGAAATAATGGTGCTACAAAATGGTCTTCCAGCGGCCGAACCGCAACAGCGACCACAACAATAATGTTGATGATGATGGTGATCAATCATCAATGGTGACTGAAACATTTTAATATTAAGCGATGTAAACATTAAGTGAACTTAAACTGCGTCAACAAAGACCTTAGTGATGTGTTTATTTTTATGCGCTGCAGCAGTGAAATGAAATACAGGAAATAAATCAATGCATTTGCATATTGAAAATTCTAAAATACTTATCTGTACATATAGTTAACCAAAATTCGAAAGAGAGAACAAAAAGAAGAGCATCTCGCATAATTTGCATGTGCATATCTTACAAGTATACAATATATATATATGTCATTATAATTCATTAACTTGCCGAACTGAAAGTAACTCAATTATTGTACACACTTTATCCATATTAAATTTTCAATTCATTCCATTCACATTTTGGTCATAAATATTTCTTATTATTATTATAAAGTGCAATCAGCTACTTACTCAGTTTTAGGCCTATTTCAATTGTGACAATGAAACAATTCGATAATTGCCTCGACTAAATTGGCAAATTGTACTTATTATATAAATATATATTAATTCTTAAAATCGTATGCGCTGCAACTTGAACGTAACATCGAAAACTAATTTCTAATCTAATTTATATTTTTGAAACAAATAAAGATGATTACTGGTTCGGCGGCGGTGGCCTGTTTGGCGCCACTGGACGCACCACTGTCCGTTGATTAAGATTCACCGAGCGGAGCTGTGCCTGGGCCTGCATCTGTGCCTGCGCCTGGATCTGCACCGACGTCAGCGGTATGCCGCTATTCGAGTAGCGGACAGACTGTGATGGCTGCTGTGTATTCGACTTTTGCTGCGGCTGCTGCGTTTGGGATGGTGTTGCTTGCTGCTTCTGGAACGTTATCACCTTGGTACCATTGCCGTTGCCATTGCCATTGCCGACGCGTATTTTACGGTATATGATTGCTGAGCCACTAAGATTCGTGCCCGTTCCATTGGTCACTTCCGTATATAAAGGGGAGCTGGAATTGGGCGTCTTAGGCTTCACAATGGCATTGGGTGACGAATGATTTGGCTGCTGCTGCTGACCGTTGCGCTGTGTCAGATGCGGTGTGCCATTGATGCGTGCAGCATTGGTCGCATTCGCTGGATGAGTTTGTGTGGTGGACGCCAGCTTGCTGATGGGCACAACGCGAACTGACTCCGTTGCATCGGGTATGGCTGAAACTTGCAGCTTGCCTGGGATCAGGCGACGTACTTTGAGTGTCACATCCCTGGCACGTCGGTTAAACCGGTTAACAGTTGCAATTGCTGCTGCTGCTCCAGTTGGACTCGGATTGCTGGTGACGGCTGTTCGTGGCTTGGGCGTCACTGTTACTTCGGATAAGTTGATCGTAGCACCGTTGGCTGGCTCCGTCTGCTGCTCATCCGTCAGGTCCTCAACGCTTATGGTAGAGGATAGAGATTCGGGGGAGCAGGGCACCGCTGCAGCTTCAACCACTTCATCCACAGTCGAACGCATCGAATTAGATCGGAGAGGCTGGCGCACCACTGGCGTCTCCTTTGCCTGCACCGTAATTGCGGGTGGTGGTGGTGGTGTGACCGGAGCTGGTTGTGCAGTTGTGCGCTGCATGCCGCGCAGCTCCAAATCACAGACAATCTGCATAATCTTGGCCTTGCCCTCGGCAGCCAAGTCGGCGGGCAGATTCTTCATCGTCTGCGATATGCTCTCCAAGAACAGATCGATGGTGTCACGCGGCTGAGTTGGCAAAACCAAGGCAGATGCCTGAGGATGATGAAGTGATGGTGATGATGCTGGCAGCTCACGCGATACGTTCTCGCGCTCCATGGTGCGCAGACGTGACACAATCTCGAAGGAGGAGCATATCATATCCTTGGCCATGTCCAACTGGCTGCGCTCGTCGCCACGCTTCCCCATCGAGCCGCGGAGGACGCGCAGGATGCGACGCACCTCGAGCGAACGACGCATCCGCTTCGACAGCAGCTGCTCCTCGGTGCTGCACTCGGACCTAAGAGGCGGACTTAAATTAGAGATCAATAGCGAGATATTGGCTGTGTTGCTCTTTTTGAATTGTCCCACTTACTTGACGCTCAGCGCTTCATCGGTCTCCTGGTCGTCTTCGATGCCGTAGGCAGCAGCAGCAGCAGCGGGTTTCGCTTCGCCGGTTGCTGTTAGTGTGCCCCCCTCCGTTTGACTCCTGATCCTCAACCGCTCCAGCTGATCGACATGCTTGCGTGAGCCGTCGTGTTGCCGCAAAAAGAACACCTTGATCGGCAGCCGTGTATCGCAGATCTTGCAATGGCAGTAGTTCTCATCGCTGGCATCCGGTTCCAGCCACTCGTACTTGGCCTGCAGCTCAGCCATGGCCACCTTATTCTTCGCTTCGCCCGTGGTCAGCGTTACGGGCGAGATGGTGGCATCTGTGGATGGCATTTGGCGTGCTGCTCGCTTCCGCTCGAAACGCAAGCGGACATGTCGCGCGCTGCGCTGATGTTTGGAGGCATATTTGAAGCTGGACAAGTAGACGGACACCTCGCACAGTTTGCACCAGCCGTAATTGGTGCGCTGTTCGCTGCGCTTATACGAGAGCCATGGAAAGCGTTCCTTCCACATCAACACCTTGCCGCGCATTGTTGGCGGCGTCTGCCGGAACTCTGGCTTCTGTTTGGCTACGGTGCTTGATGATGGCTCGACGTCATTGTCCTGTATTATCTCGACTGTAGCATTACTCTGCACCTCTTCCACCTCATCGCCTTTGTCGACGTTCCCCTCCTTTGCTGCGCGTCTGCGCTGCTTGCGTGCCTGCCTCAACTGTGCCGCCTGACGCGCCTTGAACTGCTGGCTGAGATTCTTGTGGCGTACACTGTGCTCGTGCCGCAACTTGCTCGACTCGTTGTAGAACCGCACACGGCAATACTTGCACATCTGTATCTTGCGATCCTTGGTGAAGCGCAGCCACGAAAAATGCCGCACAACCGGCTCAGCCTGGTGAGACTCGACTTGCGCCGTCTTTGCGCGTCTGTGGTATTAGAAAAATTTTAATTTATCGACTATTAAATTGATTATAAATTACTAAATTCATTAATTCGTTCAGTAAATCAGTCAGTAAATAAAATAAAATGCCCATCGACGAGAATTTTGGCACCTACTCAACGGAACTCCTTGAGGACGTGGACAGCTTGTCATCTTCCTCAATGTAGTCGGCGTCGTCATCATCTGACTCGCTGCGTACCCCAAACTGTTCCGGCTCGCTTTGTGCCGCCGCCTCCTCTGCGTCCTCTCCGGCAGTTGCCGTCGCAGCGGCCACCAATGCAGCCTGATGCTTCTCGGAGTTCTCGTGATTCTTGCGTTTGATCTCCGAGTGTCCGTACATGAAGCGACGACAGCATACATGACAATAGGCCAGCGTTTCATCACGTGGATCGGCGACAAGCCAGGGATGCTGATCCGCATACTTGGCCCAAATACCTCGATTCAGATTCATTCTGCAAAAAATATGGACAATTAATTAGCAAATGCAGTTGGAATAAGCAAGAGTTTGTGCTGAACGTACAGTTTCCGCTTTTGACTGGACAGATTGCTGCAGTGCACCTTGGTCTTGAGGTGACGCATAAAACTGGTGACGGCCATGCGACAGTCGCAGAGTTTGCAGCGACACTGTGCCGGATTTGTGTCCGGCAACGCCTCCCAGAAGTCACTCGGATCCGTTGACTCGACGCTGGCGCCAACAACGAATATTGGATCCTCAACTTGGGTTTTATTGTTGTTGTTATTGTTGCTGTTGGGTCTCTCCGGGTCTATTTGCTCAGCATCTTGGCTAACGCTACGCTTACGTTTCCGTGACGACTTCTCCTGCGCTGATCGCTGCGCCTCGCAGTGTCCCTTGCTGGTCTCGTGCCGCTTCCGCAGATAGACGAACTCAACATTCATCCGCACATTACAGTATTTGCACAGACCAATGGTGCCATCATTCTGCACCCGTTCCAGCCACTGATGCCAGTTCAGCCAACGCTGCCAATTGAAATTGTTGAACGTTTCCACTTCGCTGGCGCGTTTCTGTTTCATAGCAGCCACATAGATATCCGTGCCGAACTCGTGCTTCACCTCATTATCACTGCAACTGCAGAAATTAAATAGTTTTAACACATCAATTAGAAAATGATGAATAATGATTCTTTTTACCTGTTGCGCACTTGCGCCTCGCTGCTCTTGAAGGATAAATAGTTGTTCTCACGCTCCTGATGGTAGAGCGACATATTATGTTGCTGTATGTTTTTGAGATTACGGTTCACGTTGATGGCCACATTGCAGTACAGACAAAAGCCATAGTCGCCGTCGCACTCCTCGTGCAGGAGCCAGCGCCAACGCTTCATCCAGATTTGCCAGCGTTCGGGGCGGCTGATGCGACGGGAACCGCTGCCAGCGCTGCTCACCTCATCGAAGCTATCATCGTCGTCGTCGTCCTCGTTGTCATCCACATCCCGGCTAGAATCGATGGGCTCCAGCAGACCCATGGGATCGGGTCCACTATACGAACAGTTGCTGTCACCGTCGCTGCTCGGCTTCGTCTTCGTGGACAGTTTGTCCTCCAGCAGCGGATCATCCGTTGGCTTTGCAGCCAGCGTAGTGTCAATGGAGGCCGTTTGATATTCGGCGACCAGAAGCACACCGTCCATATCAACATCATCGTTATCCACCTCAATTGTTACGGTTTCCTCGCTTGGAACGACAGCGCCTTCCACTTCCATTATTTTCAGCTCGTACTCGATTTCCTTTTTAATCGACGCCATTTTGTTGCCATTGCCGGCATCACCTGGCTGTCCTAAGGTATTTTCAACATCTTGCCCGTTTTCCGTTGCCATTGGAGATAATGCTGCAGTTTGCTGTGCTCTTACAGCTGGTGCAATTACCGAGTAATGCGGGCCACCATTCGTTTAAGTCACATACGTACTTCAAATAATGTCAAGTTGGCTATGTAAGGTAACTAACTCGCATTTATTCACAGGTATCGAATAATATGATTTCTACCAAGCGAGTGTGCAACAATTTTGCCAGTCTATCGATTCTATCGATTAATACAATAGCACAGATCGAGGGTAATTTTTCATTTTCAAATATTTTTCAGGCTGGCTATGGGAATTGCAGCAATATTAATGGCGACTTACCCGAATCTGACAACAAATTTAATGTTAATTGTAAATTAGGACAGTTATTGAATTCTTTTCGATTATCATTATCGCTGAAATACAAGAAATAACGGTTATCATAGGCACGCCAAAGATTACGTACCTTTGTAGAGCTGAGTTATAACTCATCTGTCAGCAGATTGTTCCTATTTTAGCTATAAAATACAGTTACTGGATACGATCTTCTTCCGAAACTCTTCCATATAAATCTTATTTGGTATCTTGTTTACATTGTAATTTCCCGCGAAATTTACACAAAATATTCGATAATTGGAATTGAATCGATTTGATTTGTATCGGTTGTTAGTAAATGGCATTACCCGATAATTGAAGCCGATTAACAGTGCGATCAGTTTCAAACAACTGAACGGATTGAGAATTTAATTAAATTTAGTAAAGCATCCATGAAACAGGCTAGAGGGTTTCATTCATCAATGTTAAACAACAATCAAGAGAAAGATTATAATTAGAAGAAAATTACGTTTATTATATTTTTGCTTCGTTTCTTAAAGAAAAAAATTGATTAATTAATTTTTAATTAAATTAAGCAAAGGATAATTGGCTTTAATACCTAACAAACGCTGTTTCAAATTAAAAAGCAGCACATCTGTCTGGAAAAAGGCTAAAGCGGCAGCACGCACCTATCGATAAGTCAAGAACATTTGATTTTTAAGGAATATCGAAGGAACCTCACATCAACTATTTCTATCGATATATTAATATCATCGTACGTATTATAGGGTCACACTGCCAAGATTGTTTTTGTTAGGTTTGTTATTGTTTGCTATATTTTGCAAATTTAAGCGTCTTATGACAAAATGACGATATACAATCTGTATATATTTGACAAAATGGGCACTCTGATGCACTACGCCGAGTGGAATCGCACCAAGAAATCAGGCATTACACGAGAAGAGGTGACGTAGAATGTCATAAACAAATACAAAATAATTGTTTTTTTTATATCAATGTATTCCTTAGGAAGCTAAGCTTACATATGGCATGCTATTCTCGATCAAGTCGTTTGTCAGCAAAATATCGCCACACGATCCGCGCGAGGGATTCCTTTATTACAAAACAAATCGATATGCTTTGCATTATCTGGAAACGCCCTCAGGATTAAAGTGAGTAGCATGAAAAGAGAGCTGCTTAATTTTGCTATGTTTATGTTATGCCTTGTGTATTTTTAGGTTTGTGCTAAACACCGACACGACAGCGATTAACGTTAAGGAACTGCTGCAGCAGCTATATGCCAAAGTCTGGGTGGAGTACGTCGTTCGTGATCCGCTCTGGATGCCCGGCACAGTGGTCACCTCCGAGCTATTCCAGAGCAAACTCGACGAGTTTGTCAAGCAGTCGCCCATTTTTGGCATTCGAAATATTTAGTGATTTACATAGCGCCACTGTTAAATTAAGTTAATTGCATTGCATAAAACTGCAAATGATGTGTCACATAAGCAAATTGCAGCTCTTTGTAGCGGTTATTAACACAATGTTAACAGACAGCGGAAACGGCGACATTTGAAAACTTGCGCAAGTTGAACTGTGAACTGAAAGGGGAAGGCGAAGGGGAGTTAGACAAGTATCAAACTGTTATTTGCAATTGCATGTTAGTTATTATTGTGTGTTTGTTTTCTGTGAATTTCGTTTGCATATGAAAAGTGCTGTTATTTGGCCTCACGCGATTTAATCGGCGAGCGCAAGTCTCGCCCCTATCGCCAGTTACTTTTATGCTACGCAGCTGCGCTCGTGTTAAGGGTTTTGCGCAACTGTTGTTGTAACTATGAAAAATGATTTGCAAAATGCCATCAAATGTGTGTGTCTGTTTGCAAGAAAGAGTAGACGATAAAATTAGACAGAGGCAGATACATACATATGAATAAAAACCTGTCGCTCATTTACCGTTGCTTGCTAATACCATATACCATATGTATATATCCACTTATACATACAAATTTATGTATTGTTTATTTGTGTTTTTATCTTTTTGCTGACTTTTACGACGTCTCACTCCGTTTGAAAAAAAAATAACGCAAGTCATCTGCAGTTTTTGGTCTAAATTTGCTTTTACCACATTTTATATATTTTTTATTTGTCAAAGCGTCACTTTTGACGCATTTGAAACCAATAGTTTCAACAGTTCGTTGCAAAAGCGTCGAATACAATGGAAATGATGACCACAAAGCCGGTTTACAGTTTTCGGGTCTATATGCACAAAAAAAAAACACATTTCAAAGGCACGCGCCCAAATAAAGAGAACCCGCAAACATCAAATTCATCAAATCAACGTTGTCACGCAGTTGCAGCATCAGCAACAGCAACAACATCAGCATTAGCATCTGCAGATTACAAAATCGGCCCTTTCCAAATCTGCGTTCATAATTGCATACAGGCATAGAGGCATACAAACACACATATATAGCCAGATATATACATATGTGTGCAATTATATAAGCATTTAGATTTGCAGGCAGCAAATTCCCAATAGCCAATATCGAATAACGAATACCGGTTGATAGTCGGCGGGCTTCTTCTACTGTTGTTTGACTTTCAATTTGTCAGTTTGCTTTTGCTTTTGTTTATCGATGACACGATGATCATGATTACCATCAGCAGCAGTTCAACAGTCAATTAGTAACTGCGCTGCGCTGCTTTGCTTTACTCTGCTCTACCTTGCTCCATCTTTCGCTGATTTCTTTTCTTCTCTAATTCGTTATCCATTTTTGGTGTTTGGCGGCTGCAATTGTTACGCAAATTACGATAATGTCAACGGTTTTCATTTTCGTCACTGGGCAACCCGACAAGGTTATTAACGGTTTGTTGGGCCGCACCGGATTGGAAAATGAAAACAAGAAAATAAAAACAAAACAAAGAAAATATATATTGCTCGAAGCTGAAATGCACTTACTTGTTTTAAAAAATATTTGAAATTTCTCTGGGTTTTTTTTAAGTACCTATTATTGCTATTGTTTTAAGCTTGGGAATTTATCATTTTCAGAGATAATTGGAGACTTTCGTGCACAATTGTTGTTTAGCTTTTCACTTTAACTTAATTAAACTTGAAAAGCCAAGTGGCACATTTTCATTTAGTTGCTAACTAAGCTTAAATAACTGTTGTGACAATAATTGATGAGTCTCTCTCAAAATCTCTCGATTTTGAAAGGGCCTTGACTAAATATTTCCATTTGGCGACGCTATCGTAACCCGATGCTAATGAGGCCAAACTAAAATATTATGTAAATGCGCTTAGGCCTGAACGTAAACATACGCAGAATGTTCCAGTCGCCAGTGCTTCACCAAAAGATACCCTATTTTATTATGTTGTGTTATATGTGTATACCCCGAATCCATTAAAGATGTGTAAAAGTGTATAACGAATAAGGTAAAGGGAAATATGGAAGATTCATAAGGTATATATATTCCTGATCAGCATCGATCGATTTAGCCATCTTTGTCTGTTTCAACAAGCCGTTCACTCTCAGAGCTATAGACTTCAAATTTGAAATATCATTTCTCGTATAAGGATGAAGTTAGTTTCATTTAATCGATAAATCGAAAGGAAAATTTTGCATATTTAATAAACAAATTGCAGAGAACTTAATAAGCATTTAAAATGTATTGTAATGTTGAACAACAAATTATCAGGAAGCGAACTGTCCGTTTAAAGGCCGAAATCAGAGTATTTTCTAGTCAAGCCGTTTCTTTATTTTGCTTACAAAGTGATTAATTTTGGTTAAGAAGAACAAAATTTAAATTTAGGAGATCTTTGCCTAATTGACACGGGTAAAAAGCCAAACAAATTGATTGTATTATTGGTAAAGAGTCGGAGGAAACTTATTTTCACTTAATTGGAATTACTTTAACAGGGTATAGGAATAGCAATAGGATTTTAAAAAAATATTTTACCCATAAAAAACTTGCATCTCATAAATTATTTTTACTTAAACAAATTTCTAGCACAATTAAGAAAGAACGATTAGCTTAGTCAAACCGAATATAAAACACGTTCACAGATCGGAATAATAATAATATTCTATTTTTGTACGTTTTTTTTTTTGATATTCTCTTTGGTTTTAGCTGATTACATTTACATTTTGTATAGATATATTCTCGCAGAGAGGATGACATTTGTTATAGCCGTTCTTATATATTGGATATAATGATGTAGTTCGATGTGTTTTTAAGTGTTTTAGTTGTGTCTTAAAACACAGTCAATAATAATTGAGTTAACTGGCAGAATTTCAAAATCGTGGCTAAACATTTATTAAAACACAATTATATTGTATGGAAATTTGTAATTACAAGAAACTTATAATTTCACAATTAATTCCAACACTAAACGCTAAACACATTATTTTAAACATAATAGCTAAAAAAAAATAATAAAAACTATTTGTGATTTTGTTAAGTTTTGTCGAACAATTCTGAAACAATATATGGAATTTATATGAAAGCTTTGCATGCCATGTGTAATACAATGCAAATCTGAAAACAAAATTAAAATACCCTCTACAAGGGTATAAAAACGTTTTTGGGCAATAGTCTTACAATATCGGGGGTTTTCTGTATTTAAAAAAAAATTCCAGGGAACTAAGGCCAAGAAGCAGATACAACTTTCAGCTTTTCGTGCATTTCGAAGAACATGGATTGTCTGCCCTTTTAAGGAATAAACGCCCACAATTGGCCCTGAAAATTAACATATTGTAAACAATAAACATGGGCAAAAATATACTTTCTGCTTTCAATGTACACAAACAAAAAAAAAAAACAATAACAAAATCATGTGATTCACTTTAAGACTCATTCTTTTCAGTACCAAAGAGTTTTAATTCAAAGAAAATGGTGAGCGAGGCTAAAATGTTGTGTACTCCAATGGGTACAACGTCCACAAATGTCGCACATTTTGTTTTGTTATTCAGTTTTTATCTTTTTTATATTGTTTAATTTGCTTATACTACTTATACTCTGATACAGCAGTTCTGAATGTTGAAAACCCCATTTCGGCTCAAAAAAAGAAGAGACACATAAACAAGTTAACAATTAGTTTCACACTAATTGTATTTAAGCATCAAGCCAATTATTTTTTTACCTCTTTTTATTTATTTCTTTTGTTACTAGCGCGATAATTTCTAAGTTCTAAATAAATACATAAATGTTGTATTTGGTATTTTGAATTCCGTCTGGAGAAGTCTTCAGCGAGAGATTCCCAGCCCAGTCAGCTGTGGATTTTGAAATTATTATTATTTATATATTATTGAAATTATATTATTTTCAAACAAAGTAAATTTTTGGTTTTACAGAATCTTTGGTGTTAAAGGGTTGAGCTGATATTTATATGAGTTACATTTTATATATTGATCAATCAATATTAATTTGGTATATATTTATGGACATAATTTTTTTATTACATATATTTTATAAATGTTTTATATCACAATTGTACTTCAACTTAGGACAACTTAAATATTTTATAAAGATAACAATTGTTAAGGAACAAATCTGAAAGCCGATTTAAAACACAACAAGGCAACTTACATAATTTGTAAAGATATTAAATCATTACTTAGCAAGATCATAACAAGACTTCTGCTGCTTAACGGGGCTCAACAGTGTTTGCTGGCGTGTCACTAATTAGACGCAGTGAGGTGCAACCAGGCCCCAGGTCCCAGGCCCAACCAAGCTGCAGTTGGCACTTGCCTGCCTGCTAATGAGATGACGATGACAGACACGAGACGACAGTTTGTTATTTTGGCCGTTGCCTAATAATATTGATATTGAAAATACTGGTGACCTTTTCTTTTAACGCATCATGGTGTTGCACTCAACGTGTGGCAGTTAAGTAAGTGGGCTGGACAAGGACGGTGAATTGTTGATAAAAACATTGCATAAAAATTAATGAGACATGAGCATATCAAGAGTGGATCACTGATGAATGTGTTTAAATAATTGCTGGGTTTTGTGTTCTCAGCTACGCCACTTCTGGGCGGCGCAAATTGGCATGCAGACGTCGCCACATCGTGGTGCATCAGGAATTCCCCTTTTGGCGTACGTGCAACTTGCTGGCAGGCAGGCAGGCTGGCAGGCAGGCAGGCACAGAACCTTTTCAAGGTAGGCCAGATGTGGCCTACGTGCCAGTTGCAACGTGGCTTTGCAAATCGATATTGGTTGCAATTAACAACAAGTCAGGACTGACGCAACAGTTCTTGTGCTGACTGTACAAAATGAGGAAGTCCACTGTTGGCTTTGGCTATTGACTTTGACTTCTACTTGGTCACGTAGGCCATGGTCTAACGAAACCAGTTAAACCATTGGCCAGTTAGCCAGTTAGCCAGTTAGTAGTCAGTTAGCCAGTTGGTCATTACCCTGGGCGCTCAAATCAAACTACGCATGCGATGACAAAAGATAGCATTCATTTACATTTGCATTTTAATCGGGGCGTGGGGTGATCAACTGAACTATAGGTCAGTTGCCAAATTTATCAGAGATGTGTGGTGCATATATATATATATATATATATATATATACATATGCATATAGTATGCACGTAGGCCAGATGTGCATCTTTAATGAAGGCGTGTGGAAATGTGTGGAAACCCAGTTTCTGTTATTGTTATATTATTATCACAGCATCAAAGCTGGGATTTCAGTTAACTGCCAGAATTTCGAAATCGTGACTACAGATTTATGAAAGTGCAATTAAATCGTGTCGTACTTTGCAATTACAAGAACTTTATAATTTGATAATTAAGTTGTTGTCTACTTTGCTGAGGCGTCACAAATATTCAACACTTAAACTAATCACAATTTTATTATTAGCTGTTTTCCGTATCAATATTGAATTCTAATGATTTGCATTTGAATACTTTATTTTACATAATTTGAGAAACTAAATTAGTAAAATGTTCATAAAAATGTCATACATTTTGTGTTTCTGAGTTTAGTTGAGATTTGAAGATTTGTTGGTTGAAAAATGACGACAAGGAATTTGATAAGGAAATTTGATGAAAACTACGTTTTCCGCATTGCGATGCCGTTTAAGTTTGAAAGTATAAATCAGATTTTCTACATGAAATTCCGAAAAATCTCTCAGCTCAAACGTAATATTATTTTCGAGTTCCAACTCATGATTAAAAAGATATTGCCTGTGAAATCCCGTTTGGATTATGGCAGTAATGATATCGCAAAAAATAAGTACCATAAATGAAACGAATTGTGAAAAATTTTCTATATAATATCTAAGATCTGTAGCAAATTCAATTGATGCGCAGTTCTTACAGACTCTACGTATTTTACAGAGTACTTTAGAAATGAGCTTTATAATTCCATTGTAAATGCTTTAATATGCACAGAATCATTTTCTAATTCAAGCACAAATTCATACAAAAGTTTGACTTCACATATCGTGGAATTCTCATAAGAGAATATTTGTCCAATTTAATTATCATACTCTGATGCCGAAGGTAAAAGAGTATATTGGTTATGCTGTCTCAACTCACTAGGAGAACTAGAAAATTGATATTCGACAATCGCAAATCTGCCAAATTTGAAAGCTAAAAATAATAATATTAGCAAAGTCACGCTTCCAAAAATCGTAAACGCCGCAATTTCATAGCTGCGATTACGAAATTTGGACAGTGGATTACTAGAAACCTCCTCCGAAGACTACCCCACCCACACTAACAGCAGAAGTGTCAGAGTGTGCCCAAGTCGGCCCAAAAGAATTAGTCCCAATTTAATTTTCAATGAAATAAAAACATGGAAAATTTATTTTTGTAAATTATTTATTTTACATTCGTTTGTGTTTGTGTGTATGTGTGTGTGTGTGTGTGTGTGTGTGTGTGTGTGTGTGTATGTGTGTGTGTGTTTAATTACAATCATTGTGTTTGTAAATCTGTCGCTTAACTTATGACGTACCATGCTAGTCAGCTAGAATACCTAAACCTACGCAAATGAATAAATGGAGTATATGGATATCGAAATGGTATCTGTAAGGGGCGTGTCTGGTGGTTGGTAGCTGTACTGTTACTGCTTGCCACACACACACACACAAACACACAGACACACACACAGACACATACACAGACACACATGCCTTGCACTTGCAGATGGTGTGATTCGTATAGAAATGTGAATAAGAATAACAAATAATAATAGTAAGTATACAAATAAGAATATTAATTAATTTAATAAAACGATTATTGACCATGACCCGCCCCACGCCCAAGACGCACAAGTTGCGGATGCTTAGATGCATAAATCGTGTATATGAATATATATATATATATATATATATGTATATAGGTATATATATATAGAACAGCCAGACGTGGCCTGTTCCTGGGATGACAAGACCTCGCATTAAATAAGAGTTAAGTGTTAAAATTGTCTGAACATTTTTCATGTTGCATGTGGCATGTTGTATCTGTTGTTGTTGTTGTTGTTGTTGAACATGCTTTGAGCGCCCCACACTTAAGTAAACCAACTGAAATTCAAGATTTCCCCCCGAACTACCAACTAAATGGCCAACTTCTTGGTGCCCTTCTTCTGTCGTTCGCTCTCATTGTCATTCTCGTCCAGCTTGGCGCTCTCAGTGCTGCTCGACTCCGCATCGTACTCCAGTTCTGGATCCGGCACCTCGGCATAATGGATGTGTCCAACCATTTGAGTGCTGCCGATAACGCCACTGGATGTGGTTGCCTCAGCCACACCCTGCTGGGAGGCGTGTGTGCCATCGCCATATTTCTCGAGAGTGCGACGCACCAGCTCCTTGGACGGCTGCTTCATGTCCCAGGCCCAGCCCAGGCGATGGAACGTATCCAGCACCATGGTGGTAAAGTTCACCTTATAGTTGCCCAGCTCAGCTGCTTTGTAGTCCCAGGGGAAGACATGATGATAGTTGTGCCAGCCCTCACCCATCGCCATAATCGACACATAGATATTCTCGCTGGGCATGATGCGTCTATAACAAAGGGAGAGAGGGAGAGAGAGGTGGAGAATGGTAGCCAACTCTCAGTTAGCCATTTACACAATTAACTCACTTGTCGTACGGACGGGAGCCCCAGAGATGAGCAGCGCTGTTGACGGACCAGGTGAAATTCAGGCTGAACACATAGCGGAAGATGCACTGATGGACAAACGCATGGAACCAGGTGTCGTTCCAGCAATACACCGGCACCATTGTGGGCAGCACGAAGCACAGCATGATCTTGAGCAGCACAAAATACTTTTGATGGAACTGGATGACAGGATCGGCCAGAATGTCGGACATATCGATTTGCCTGCCACGACGCAGTACATCTGGATGCTTGAGCATCATCAGCCAGCCGACGTGGGAGAAGAAGAAGCCGCGATTGGCATTATGCGGATCGGCATCCGTCTCCGAGTACTTGTGATGCACCCGATGATCCCGCACCCAATCGTACAGCGTATTCTGCAACGAGCCAAAGTCCCACACATCAAAATTAGTTATATATGTAGTTGGTTTTATGGCTTGCTATTTTGTTTGGAGTTCCACCCGCCTTGCGTGACAGTCATTAAAATTGACAAATGTATCTGTCGGATACACTCACAGAGACAGAGACAGTGACAGATACAGAGACAAGCCGTTTTGCCTATATCTTTTGTAGTTGACGGCTTTTGTTCATTTACAGTTTCGGCGATAGCGACAAAAAAAGAAAAAGGCATTAAGTTGTCGTACTTAATGATGCAATTAATGCTAATTGCATTACGACAATTTTACTTTGAAGTTGTAGTTGGCAAACACCAAAGAGACAAAACCAAAACCCAAAATCACGCAAATGAAAAGAAAAGAAAAAAAACCAAACCTTTGCCGCAGGTGGCAAAAAGTAGCGAGACATAAATCAAATGAGTTGAATTCAACAAATTGCAAAATGTTGTGACGTCATAAGGTCATGAGGCGCCACGATTTTAGAATATAACAAGAATGAACGCCGAAGATTAGATACTCTTGGCGACCCAACTCAAATTGCCGTCATCTAAATTTTATTATAATTTGAAAAAATAACCGTCCGATGTTGATCATATTTAGTCCAAATGTGACGAGCATAATTAATCATTTAACTGAGAAGTTTTGTTGTAATAAAGTAGTTGTTCAATCTCAAATATTTTATGTTCAATTATTCAATTAGCAAAATACTACATTTAACTACTATAATATTTTCAAAGGAAATTATACGTTTTTTTTCCGTTGGATACAAATATATTATTAATTTAAATTTATTTTGTTGATAATTTATTAGAGACCTATGTATATTTTCTGTATTTTAGAAACTGTTTTATACAATTTTCTATTTTATTTTAAGTAAACAATATTTTTAAAACAATTTTTTTTTAATAACTTGTTTTAGTTTTTGCCCACAACTTTTTTTTTGTATAGTCAAAGTTGTTACTATATATAATCTTTTGGTATAGCCTACCTGTCCAGCCACCGAGTAACTGATCATGAGGAGACTCCTCAGGAGCGTGTTCGCCTTGTAGCTGCGATGTGTCCAGAAGCGATGGGCGCCCGCAGTGACGCCAAATCCAGCCACGCCACCCATAAAGAAGGCTGTAAAAATTAGAATAAAATCGTATTAAGGTAAACTCTAAAAAGCAACAACAACAATAGCATGCTAATTATATATATATAAAAAAAATAAAAACTATTTATGTGAGTGTGTGTGTGCACAATAAAAAATTCAAACTACCGAAATTACATACTTGCGGAAATTGAGGCATTTGTATGATGGTGTTAATTTGTTGATCAAATTAGTGTTTAATACCAAAGCAGCCGTGGCAAGAGACGGCTGTTCCCCGTCCCCCTCAAGGCCAGGCATGGGAAAAATGTTGTTGAAAGGTGTTGTTGTTAGATGGAGTTAAAAAAATATATATATATAGAAGTCGTTGTATCTGTCGGATGGTGTGTAATTGCAAGCACATGGCATGGAAATATCGTGCGGGTATATTAACTATAATGAATATATTAAGCATAATGAACACGTGACTCTGACTCTCACTCTGACTGTGACTGTGACTGTGACTGCGGCGTTAACACTGAATGCATTTGCATTTGCATTCATTAGAGCCTTGGCAATTAGAATAGTGATTGTGGTTCCCCTTATGCCCTGCACTGTTTATTGATGAATTAGACTTGATATGTGAATTGTCACCATATAGACGGAGATATATGTATATAGAGATACATCTGTTGCAACTTACAACTTGCACTTAGCATCATACAAAAAATGCAATGTTTTTTTAATAGTTATTGATTGGTTTTTCGCAACAATTAGGTCTAATGACAAGTGAGCAAAAACAAAAAGAAATTAGACAATGACAATTACAAATACAAATTACTAATCCAATGACAATCTTTCACAATTTTTAGTGATTTTTTTAGTGATGAAAAAAGTTAACGATTTCTGTTGCTGGCTGATCCGTCAATCGCCCACAAAGGTGTTACATGGCGTCCGGTTGAATGAAAGATTAACCTTCAAATGTTGATTGCTTGTTATGTTGTTGCGACAAAGTCGAAACAAAAACCAGTTCCACACTTGACACAAATGAACAAAAATCCCAAATTGAATTGTCATGCAGACCCATCTAGCTATCCATCTACCTATGTAGGTATGATAGTATCATAATTAAATTAAATCGGTTTAATTAAACTTTAGCACAGGAATGTCTTGTGGCGGTTCATCAAGGTTAAGCAGATTTACAATTCTTGGTCTAATGTGTTATATTTTTTTTTGTTAATTTTGTTTGGTTGCATGATTTCATGATTTGAAAGTCAAATGAAATGCGTTCGAGTCTGAGACCCTTGTACACTTGTGCGCCGCCTTTTTCAAATGCAGCCAAGTTCATATTTAAATGTCCACCTTCTACAATTAAAAATGATGCAAGAGTTTCATTTTCTACAACTTTCACAAAAGTATATCTATATAAGGCTTCCAGCTAAAATGCGAATTGGATGTTGCTGTTTACGTGTTGGTTTGACATAAGTTCATTAACATCCCCATTGCAAAAACAGCGTTCATAATAACTAATAAATAGAAATAAATAAATATATATATATTAGGGACATTCCTCTGATTCATTAGCGCCGCTTTTATTGGTTAAAACGTGCCGAATAGTGCGAAACAACTTTTGTATAACATCAACGCCCCAGAAGCAAATTAATATCATTACAGATGCGGCGGTTGTGTTAAACATGGCAAAGAAAAGATAACATAAACTGAATAAAACCACCAGTGGAAAAGCAAAAAAAAAAAAAAATTAATTTAATGTAAATGGAAAATATTTTAAGATGAACAACTTAACTGGTCATTAAGTAAACTCTGCACGTTTGCCTGTAATTTGCCAAAATATTTACGAGCTCAACGCCGCCCAGAAAAGGGCCTGGAATGATGACGTTTAATCAAGTGCTTGGAGCCCATGTTCAGGCTCACGCAATAAATATTAATATTTACAATGTACGCATGTTTAAGTTTTTTCATTTACTTTTTTTTTAGCATTTTAGTTGTTTCCTGGAATTTCCAATGATGCGCCAGCCATCGAAGATGCCTGAGATCTCAATGTTAAAAGCGTCGAGGGTTTTCTTGCCAGTGTTTAATATTGGTTTTTTAAAATGTTTTTTTTTTTTGATTTATCGCATGTGGGATATATATACTTTATATATATATATATATTGTAGTAGTCATAAATCGTGTGTATTGAAGCCGTGGCCCTGGCTACGACTTACATGGCACCTGAGAGACGATCTGCGATCTCAAGTGGCCACCAATGGCGATGCGAGGCGAGTGCTTTGTTTTAACTGTTGTCAGCATTGAATTTTCTAGCCCAACTCAAATTTCTGTACTTACAACGATTTCTGTACTTAACCTTGGATTGTGTCTTGGCTAAACATTACACTCACACACTCTCACACACTGAGAGCCCCAATTACAAATATGTGTCAACTGAAGTGTTGAGTGCTTTTCTTTTTGTAGGTTTGTACGTTTCGTTTTCTCGGTTCACCTGTGTCAGTTAAATTTATGCTGAAATTGCATGCGATGACAATTTATGAAAATACGAGTACAATGCAAGCAAATGAGCACAATAGCAACTACGACAACAACAACAACAACAATGAAAACAAAAGCAACAACAAAAAAAAAACAATATAAACCCGATGCCAAAAACGAAATTTCAACATGGCGAAGTCAAAGTCAGCGTCCACTTCGACAGCGACAGAGACGGCAACGACGATGACGACGACGACAACGACTGCGATGCCAGCGTGGAAGAGCCGATGGGCTGCGACTGAGATTGGAGAAAAGCATGTTAAGTAGCAATTAATTCCATTCATTCCAATATCAATAATATCCCCAACAAATTTAACTGTAATGTAAGCAAAATTGTGAAACACACCAGATGACCCAAAAAGAGACAAAATACCAAAAACAAAAATCGTTGTGCTTTTGGGTCTGTGTAAAATCTTTTCTTCTCTCGTGTGGGACGAGTGCGCGCTAAATTGTGAATAATGAGCGCTGGTGTGTGTACGAGGTGAGGGAGGAGATATTTGGTTCATGGAATGGCTAGATGGGCAAATGAGAAATATGAAATATGCACGTTAAGCAACCCAACAAAGCTGTATAAAGTCTGTTCGACAATTTCTCCTTTTCACACATTTCTCGTTTGACTCACAGCGTGATTATGCAAGAGAGTTGGAGTTGTTTATACTTACACCAGATGAGTGTGTTGAGGCGCAACTCGTGCAGCGGATAGGTGAGTAGACAGATTAAGGCGACCAGATGCAGCAGCGAGATCTGAATGACTTTGTCCCATTTTAGTGGTGCCTTGAATTGCCAGCCAAGAATATTGTCGCCTTGGAAATTACGCGTATATTCGTCCATATTGATTTGATCCTTGGGTACATGATTGATCAGATATTTGGGTATATGCCTTGGCGCCGGCGGTGCCATTACAGATTGCTGCTGTGCTGTTGCTGCTGCTGCCAGCGTCTTCTGTTGCTGCTTGGCGCGCGGCATCGACTCCGGCGATGAGTCCTCGCCACGTCCACGCGCCTGCGACTGCTCGCCGCTCAGCTTGGCGCGACGAGAAGAGAGAAGCGGTGGACTGCCCTCACCTGTGCTTGCCACAGGCGTTGTGCTGCACACACGCTCCGATGTGGACAGGTGTCCCATAATTTCTATCGTATACCTGGAATGGGTGGGTGGGGTTTTTGGGGGTGGGTGGAATGGGTGTTTCTCTCACTTCATACACTAAACTTAACGGACGGAAATCACGTGTCACAATTGCAAAGAACAGCAACTCGAAAAATGCAAACTTTCTTCTTCACAGTTTTACACACAAAACAATTTTTAATTGCAGCTCTAAATAATCTATTTCTTTTTTTCTTATTGGCCTTTGCCTGATTTATTTTTTGTTTTGCTTTTGTGCTTTATGCCGCTTTAAAACGCGCACTCGACGCGGCCCTTTTATTTTGGCGCTGATCTCTGGTTGATATTATGTTTTTCGGTGTGTGTGTGTGTGTGTGTGTGTAAGTATGTGCGTGTGTCGCAAGAGCGCAGTTTCTCTTTGGAGCTGGGCTGTGGAACTGTTTTTCCTTTCCGCTCGGACTATCTAACGAACTCTACGCGACGCCGTTCCGTAGACAAATGATCACAGTCAAAAGTTAAAATTTCTACCCTATGCCGGCGTTGGCGTTGGCGTTCGCTTTGCAGTCGGCGTCGCTGCTGCTGGGCTGACACACCAGCAAACTGACTGATTGACCGACTGACTAAATGTTGTTGTATTTCTTTTTCTTTTATTTTTGCTGTTTTTTGTTGTTTTTGTTGTTGTCGTTGGTCTGTTGCTGTATGCGCCGCTCGCACTGTGGACTCAGGAATGGTAAAGCAAAGACAGAAACAGAAACAGACAAAAATAAACTTAAGGCCAAGATTATGCCATCACACACACAAATGCACATTCCCACTCACACATACACACATCTATACACACGGCGACGGCACCTGTAACAACGACGAACTTCGCTTGTAACTTCGGCTGTGACTTCGGCAACGGCTTCGGCTTCAACTTGGGCAGTAGCTTTGTTTTCAATAGCGGCGCACAGCATCCATCAGTCGCATTGTTGTTGTTGTTGTTATTGCTTGTGCTGGTTGGAAACTAAGCGGAGCATCTCGACAAGAAGTCTGCTGATCAATGATTACTCACACGCTTTGCTTTTGCTCTTGTTCTTATTCTTGATCTTCGTCTTAGCTAGCATTCAAATGATAAATGTTTGGAAAGCTTTCGAACGGTTCTTGGCAACAGCATGTTGAATTTTTGAAAATACAAATTTTTGCAAGCAACTTATTTGCATTTAGGAAAGGGCAATAAATATATTTGTAAACTGTGTCAACGATTTAGATTTATTTGTATTTATTAACTTTAAATGTAAATGTAAAATTATATAAATATCAGGTTTACATCGATTTCTATTTGGGATATGCATAGTGTAAAATCGGCGACAAGGGCCTGCGACAACGAATTCTCTCCGTTTATACAGGCAGTATTTGCATAATATGAAATTTCTCAATCCAATATCTCCTATGAAATCTCAAAATCGCGGCATGTACACAAACAGGCATACACACATATGTATGTACACACATATGTACATATGTACATGGAAGCCCAGTCCCTATGGGCTGTGTGTCTTGTATTTAAAATTGGAATCACCGAGTCGCAGTTCGCTTTGTTGTGTAGCCTTCCCCACTTTGGCTTCTTCTCTGTTGACCAAAGTCAAAAACCGTTCCATGATCATGAAGTTCAACAACAGCAACAACAATAACAGAAGCGCCAACAGCAGCGGCAGCAGCAGCAGCAACAGCAGCGACTTCGTTGCTTTCTCTTTACGTAACGGCAAAGACAAAACCAAAAGTTAATTAAAAGGCAACAAAAACAGCAAACTAAAATAAAAAGCGAACACTAAAAGGAAGCTGCCGCTCGGCGCAGATATTTTAAAATCGTAAACGAAACACCGAAAAATGAATGAATTCGTTGCTTTTACTTACAGCTCGCACGGTCCTAAATGACTTCAGATTCCCGTGCACTTTAAAGCAACCGTCACCGACACTTTTTTTTTTTTGGTATCCATTATTGTTGTTGCTGGTTTTTCTTCTTCTGTGGTTTAGGTTGCTTCACACATTAGCAAATTGTGCTGAACATCAGATTTAAATGGGCAAACAAAACAGCGAGAAAAAAATATCCCAATTTACCGCAATGCAAAACCAAGAGACGAAAGCGAGAATATTTGCACACGCATTTACACTTAGCGAAAATGGGTGGTGTATTGAGGAGTAATTTGAGAATTACATTTTTAGTCTTTAGTTTCATTCCACCTATTTGTTTTATGTTGCCTATTTGAATAAAGTTTTCACAGCTATTTAATGAAACTTGACTGGAGGCTAACAAAATTATGTGCACCTAAAAATAAAAACGAAAGATTTTTGTTCAAAATGGAAACGGAAAAGATTCTCATAAATTGAAAAACGTCGGTTAAAAGATTTGGTTTTTGTATTATCAAAAATCATTGCGATGTTATTATTATTAAGTTTTCATATTATTATTGTTGGTATTTACTATTGATTTACTGATTACTAGTAAACTGTAGGATTGTATTCATCTCCATGACTTTAATTATATGTGTGACACCTTTACGAACTATAAAACGCACCTTCAAATTCGAAAGAGGTTTGTTTAGCAAATATGACAAAATATTTTATACAATTTTGTCAAGTGCTTAAGCACACACACACACACACACATGCATATGTGGCTAACAATTATTGTCAGCAGCGACTTCTGATTTATTGCGCAGCTTCACTTCATCAGTTTTGCGCAGTGTCAGCGTTTTTTATGAGCTCAAACCATCGAAAAGAATTGCGCGAATATGAACAAAGCTGTTTACTATACACATATGTACACACACACACACAAACACACACACACACACACACACATACAGCAATTATGCCTAACGTGCAAACAATGCGAGTGAGCACCATAATTCTGAAAACTAATGATTTCCTTCTTTTAGGCCATGCCCACAATAAAAAGCCATTCATGCAGCTCAGCTATGTACCATTAGGTATATATGTATGTACCATTAGGTACATATGTACCTGTATGAAAACACCATTTGCAGTCGATTAGTTGTTAAGGTTTTTATTGTATTTTGTTTTCTAGGTTTTTTCTAGAAAAAAAGAAACAAACAAACAAACAGCTAACATAAAAAGAGTGGCTCTGGCTCAGGGTTATAACTGCTTGAATTGTGAGCACACCCAGTCCGTTCCGGTGTCATTACAACAACAACAAAAACCAAACCAATACAGATATGTAGATGCAGAATGGTTTGCATTGGTCAAATGGCATCTTGCATCGGGCATTGAACGGCAAACATTGAAGATTAAACATTACACAAGTCAAAGCCGCTCAACAATTATAGATTGCGCATTTGTGCAACCTTCAAATGTCGCCCTGTTGACTATTTCTATAAGCCAAAAAATAAAAATAAAAATAAAACAAAATACGTAGCACAAAAACAAATTAACATAACAAAACTCAAAACTATACACAGTGCCGCAAGTGCAATTTGCAACAAACTCAATGATCAAGCGTGGCGTGAACAAAAACCTATCCAAATGAGCATATATATGTATGTATTTATGTGTGGGCTTGAACTGTTTTGTAGCATTTTGTGGCAGTGGCACTAAGTAACAAGCAAGAATGCTGTAGTCGAGTCAGCTCGACAATGAAATACCCTCAGGCCTCAGCTAATAAAAGTAGAATTCTAGTTGCATTGTCGAATTTAAACTAAACTAAAATCATTTTTATTGCTATCGGAAATCGATTTCTTATCAGCAGTTATCGATATACGATATACGATAGCTTATACTTAAAATTTGTATTCTCTAGCTCTTATAGTCTCTGAGATCCGCACATTCATACATACTGACGTGGCTAGATCGAATCGCCTATTGATCCGGATAAAGAATATATATACACTCATACCTCATACCATACGGCCGCTTTTTATACGGCATTTCGCCATAACGGCCCTCTTCAATTAAGGCGCATTTTACATTTATGAAAGCTTTTTCATATTTCAAACAAGGAATAAACATCCTCCTTGAAAAGATCCTGACGTCGAACGTAGCGCTAAAGTTTGTCGAGGAATTAACTCAGCCATTCGCTGTTATAAATCACTGAAGAAAGAAATATATAGGAAGGCAAAAAAGCACAAATAACGTTGGACAATTTGTTTAAGCCAGGCCCATCCTTATGAGGGAAATATGATGACGAAATTGATTTGCAGGTTATTTTATGTAACATGAAGTTTTTTCATTTTTGTTTATAGATTTTTGTTGGTTTTTGGAGCCTGTTATTATTTGATGTACAAATGAAATAAAAAGATAAAATGCATTTTGAATGATAACCCATGTTTCATCTTTAACAAATTTGGAATTTTTGATGAATTTGTATTAGAATAAATTCGGCAACTGCTAAATTTAAAAAAGATTAAATATTCTTATTAGCCTACATTGGTATTAAAGTCTAAATAGGTCAATAGTTCTACGCTCTAATTTATTGTTTAAATAATGTTTTGTGCACTGAAAGTTCAGATTTATCACTTATTACATAAGTTAGTCCCTTGTCCCTTGGGGAAACTGCTCAAATGATTGAAATGAAATCTATAGTTACGTCAGCTGTTGTTCAAATATATAATTAGAAAATAATAATACCCTTGGCGAGGGTATACAATAAAATGGCAAACCGAATGCCTTTTAGCTGGCAACTTCATTAGTAATCACTTCACAGCCATTAGGAATTGGTACAAGTGTCTCACAAATTAAAATAAACGTCAAACACAAACTGCGGTTTTGACTGACTAAGCTTAGGCTTTAAATCTGGTGTGGATAAGTGCATATATAATTTGTATATCACTTCATAAATATATTTGTATTCCAATTGTTTCCAATAATATTGCAAAATTTGATCAGTTTATCAGTTTATAATGACTATTTTCCAATTGTTTTCAAAAAACACTTTTTATGCTAAAGTTGATTTTCGATTTCGAGAATAGTATTCATGATGTACTGATGTACATCACATCATCATGGCTATAAACAACTATATACATTTCAATTGGTTTGGCAATATTAAATACCAACTCAAATCAATTTGTTTAGCTCAATTCGATTTTCGATCTTGAGTTAAGTATTTATTTTATACAACAAACTCTCAGCTATTTGTTTTTCACGCAACCAACCAAAATCCAAACAAAAAATAAAGGAATAAAAAACAAACTTGGCTTGGGCCAATACAGAATTTTATAAGTTGAGCGAGCCCAGCTTGATTGGGCGCAGCTCAGGCGCATAAAAAGTGTTTAATTAGTCAATATTTGAGATGGCAACTGGAGAGGCGACTAGAAGCTGTCGAGAAAAGCCAACTATACATTGAATTGTATGCTACTTGGTGAGTAGCCTGTCGGCTTTTAGGCCCAGTAATTGGCTGGCTGGATAACTGGCTGGCTAACTAACAGGCTGGCTAACTGGCCGGCTAACTGGCTGGCTAACTGGTTAACTGGCCGAGTGAATTAGGCTTCTGTGCGGGCCACCAAGTGCTCAAATATTTACGCATCAATCAAGTGCTGGGCAAACATTGCGTATTAGTGATAATTTATTGAGTGCGACTCATTTCATTTGCTCAAAGTGCCTGCCACAAAGCAATGACCCCCCTCAACCCGAGCAACCTTTTATTTGAATTTGTGTGTGTTATTTTTTTGTCGCTTGGGAAAGCTGATGAAATCGAAAGACATTTGGAAATGGGCTGAAAATGTCGTCGACTATCGAAAAATCAATTCGAAAGCCTAATTATAATGATTAGGTCTTAAGAAACAAATGCTTAGGCTTGGCTTTGGCTGTGTAGACAATTGAGCAACTCAACTTGAGCAATAATTACTTGTTTCTTTTTCATTTTATTTATTTGTACAGGTATTTTTTTTTATGTTACTTGCCGGCTTAAGCATCACATGAACTTTTCCCGATTGAGAAAATGATTTTCAGGCATGGCACTTTGCTGCAGCTTCCTCTGCTCCTCAATGCACTCGACAATCGGCCGTTTTGTGTCCACGGCTATGGTCAGACCATTGCGCACCGCCACGGAGGAGATGGTTAGCAGCTCTTTGGCCAGATCCAGGGCAGCAAACACCCTTATCATGGTGGAGCCAGTGCCAGTTGCATAGTCGCCAAACTCGCCACTTTGATAGTCATGGGGCAGCATATAATGATATTGTGGCCAAAATGATTTTGTTATGAAGAATATGCTATTCGAATCGGTGGGCTTGAAGCCCTTGTGTATGCTCCACACAAAGTGAGCCGAATTCACCAGGTTGCCCACATTTAATACAATCAGACTCCGCAGCCAGAAGCTAACAAAAATTGAGACGGCCACCGATTCGCCAAAGTACTGGAAGGCTGTGTTCAACGGCAGCAGCACATTCAGCGCAATATAAAGCAGCACATAGTAGCTGTGGAAGTGGCAGATCAACCCATATATATATATACACATATAATGATGGATAAGTTTGTATATGGAGACTTACCGCTTTTGGAACATGACAATGCGATCGCTGGCAATATCGGACATGTCCACATTGAGCAACATCTGCTCCTGCTGCTTGGAGTAATTTAGCAGATTGCCATGCAACTGGGCGTACACGAAGCTCTCTTTGCTGTAGTAGGGATCCTCATCTTGTAGGAACTTGGCATGATGGAAGCGATGCGCCTGCACGCGACTGTAGATGGTGCCCTAAGCAAAAGTTATAAATTGTTCTGTATATAAATCTTGAAACTAATAAACATTTAACAAATTTATAAAACTAAATAATAAAAGTAAAAAAACAATAATTTAAAACAATAATAATAATAAAAATAAAAATAATAATAATGTTAATATAACATTGCTGAAACGCATTTCCGAATTAATTAATTATCACTTTATGGAAAGCACAACATTTTTAATAACTTTAGTTTAAGCTATAATTATTGTATCGAATAATCTCACTTTCAAGAATTAAAATCAACTCTGGCAAATTTGAAGTCAATTTCAGTACACATTTAAAAGTAACGTTTTTCTCAAATTTGAAATGAAACAAAATGGAAGTTGAAACAGGTGTGTTAAAGCTTTCACACAACCATAACCGGTTCGGTTGTATTATCTGCTGGGATTTGGTTGGTGTATTCGCTAAGTTTGAGCTTTGGCAGCAGCTTTTGTCAGGGGGGGATTGGGTAGACACTCACCTGGCCAGCCATCGTCTGGCAGAGCATGAGGAAGACACGCAGCGGAGCGGTTGCGGTGAAAGTTCGATGAGCCCACAGCCGATGAACGCCCACCGTCACGCCCAGGACACCCAGCAGGCTGATCAGACCCGCTAAAGGAGTCAAGGTGAAATATAATTATGAAAAACTGTGCGTGTAATTAAAGATTAATGAGCGAGTGTCTGGATTATTGAACTCACTGAATAATATCGTTGACCACGAGGCACTCGTGAATGTCACATAAATGGCATACGTGCCCAGCACATACACATGGATATAGAAAAGGACCAATACCCAGTTGGCGTCACGCTTCTTAAACTCCTGCTCCGTCATCGGCGTCTGAACGCCTTCGACTGTCTCCGCCTTTGTTTGTCCTGGCATTTTGAGGTATTCCTTGCTTCCTGAGTGCGGTCTTCAGCTCCAGCTAACCGTCGCATGCGCCAGCTTAAACGCAACTAATTTGAACTCAGGCGCACCCGAATCGCCTAAGCCAAGAGTCCAACTGGAAGCCCGATCAACAGCAATGCAAAGTAAAGTGTAAAATGCGAAAAACGATTTCAATATGCATGAGACCCCAAATAAAATATGCACAGTACGCAAGCACTGCGACTGCTGGTGCCCATAGCGAGGCCTGATCGTATATATGCCCAAAAAAATAAACACTCCGAGTGAAATAAGTTTTGCTAAATGTAATAGTTTAATGCCCTCGAATAAGTAACAAAAGCAACAACATAGGTGAATAGTGTACATTTTGGGGTATGCAACATGGTAATTTTGAAAATTTCGGGTGGGCTGTGATGGGGGGACACATTTTCACATTTTATACTTAAACTGTAACTTGGGCTTAACAGAAAGCGAACGCTTTTATTATTAACGGCTAATACTCAATTCTGCATCTTAGACAGCTCGACGATATCCTCGCGCGGCAGATCACAGTCCCCAAAGCCCCAAACTTGATCCTTGTGCGCATATTCATCGCTCAGGAATCGGGAGCCATCGCCACATTTTGCCGCACGCCGCAGTACCATATCCGGCGAAACTGATTTGCCTGTTCAAGTAGGGTATTTGTTTTATTTTTGTATTTGTATTTGGTTTATGCAAACGACTTACGTCCACTGGCCAGCCCGATGCGGGCACAGAAGTCAATGAAGGCCGTCGTCACGTTCAAGGTGTAATTGCCAAACTCGCCCGCCTTGTAATCCCAGGGAAATACATGATGATAGTTGTGCCAGCCCTCGCCCATGGCCAGCAACGAGACAATTGGCACCTCCACGGATGTGATGTTCCTGTGAAATGACAGATGGCAGTTTGTTGCATAGTTAGGAACTGATTGATAAAAGTAAGCAGCTACGATCAGAACAGTAACCGAAATGCATAAAGAAAATTAAATTCAATTTAATTTAAATTTAAAATGAAATGTCAAGTTTTCTGGAAAACAAGATGATAGTTTTCATCAGTCAAGTACTGATCGATAAAAGTATGCTGATATTTTAAGTGGCTACGATTGGAATACAAAGCAAAGATTTTAATTTAAGCAAACAAAACTTTTTTAATTATAAGCTAAAATCTGAGAGCTGAAGAAATTTGACTTTAAAGTCTAAGATTCTAAGAAGCTAGCATATATTCATTGTATTCATTTTATCTGGAATTGAAATCTTTTATTTTCTTAATTGCATATGAAAATAAGTATTGATCGAAAAAAGGAAGCTGTTATTTTAGGCAGCTACGATCTTAACTTAAGTAATTTGTTTTTAACACTTTAAAAGTATTTAAATAACCTAATTTTCAACTAAAATCTGTGTGCTGACCAAATTAGTATCCAATTTCAATAAATTATGATATCAGCAAATATTTAGAAGTCGTAAAATTGTTTATATCTTGTCTATTTTCTAAATGATCATATTTTCACGCGAACTTGTCTTTGATTTCAGACTTGGCATAAGATTATCGTTATACGCCTTGCAATACAAATATTTGTGTATACAAGCCGAACCCACTATTGATTCATACATCAAACATTTTTCAGACAGTATCATTTTGCCTGGTACAGGTAATTTTGTAACCCACAAGTTGTGTAGTCATATTATTTACTGGAAAGGGGGTTTCATATCTTTGATAAGGCAATTGTAAATAAGATAATACTTACTTATCGTAGGGTTTATTGCCATACATGTGGGCAACGCTGTTGACGAAGAAGGCCACGTTTAGGGTCCAGGTGAAACGCATGTTGAAATTGATCCAGAATGACATCCACAGATCCTCCTCCCAGAAGTACCAGGGCACCAGCACTGGCAATCCGATCGAGATGAGAGCAAACAATGGTATAAAATATTTGCGCTGGAACATGACAACGGCGTCCTCCTCCAGATCGGACATATCGATAACCTTGCGCTTCTCAATAACCTTCGGATGGGGCGTGAGGAACAGCCAGCCGACATGGGCAAAGAAGAAACCCCGCTTGGCATTATGCGGATCGGCGTCCGTCTCCGAAAACTTGTGATGTATTCTATGATCCAAGGCCCACGTATAAGCATCGCGCTACAGAAGTCAATGATAAATGGGTTGGTATTTGGCCAATTGTTAATTGTCTGGCAGGTGACTCACCTGTCCTGCAATTGTGAACATAAAAGCCAAAACGATGCGCAGGAACAGGGATGCAGTGTAGGATTTGTGTGACCACAAGCGATGGGCACCAGCCGTAATCCCAACGCCCGAAACCAAAATGCTAGCGGCAACTGCAAGAAATGAAAACAGTTATTGCTTTTGGCCATAGTAGGGATTTGGCTAAAATTGTTTGTTGCTGTCTCGCTTGATATGCGCGCTGAGTGCTCGATGAAACCGATGACATAATAACATATATATAAATATATAGTACATATAGCTATTTCTACTATTGGCATGCGTCAGTCCGTCCGAGTTGCCTAATGTTATTCAAACTATTCACTCTCTATTTGATCAGCACATTCGAAATGAATGAGTAGCAATTGAAGCGTTAATTTACTTTAATTACCGACGGTCAAAGTTCAAAAAACATGGTATTCTAATTGATGTAAGACATCTGGAGTAAATCTCAATCAGAGCACGTTTTTAACCAGATGAAATTCTTTGATTCTAGACTGGAATATAGAATGATGATATTAATAATTGGAGTAATTATTATCCATATTCGTGTCTGAGTTTTACGTATTTTTAAATTTCAACTAAAAATGTATATTTTGTTATTATTATTATTATTTATTTTGTATCGACTAAAACTTGATTTAGTTATTGAGAATAAATATTATTAGGATCTGTTGCCATGAAAATGTTTAAGATGTTTGTAAAATTTCATTATTATTAATATTATTAATATGTTTCCTATAATATTAATAATAAAATTAGTAATTATTAATATTGTTATTATTATTATTATCATCATTATTATTATTAGGAAATTTTCACATGAGGGAATTATTTGTGCAACATTTTCTCTTCCATATCTGAATCTAAAAAATATTTAATTTCGACTAAAAATGTGTGTATTTACTGTGAATAAATATAATTGTAGTCAGTTGCTATTCCAAATTGTATTTATTCCAATTAAGATGCTTAAATTTTAATAAAAATGCATTTGGAATGAGTGTTTTACTCCACTCAACAGTTCTTCTAGTTAACCTTATCTGGCTGAGCTTAATTTTTAAGTTTATAGTCATAGTCAAGTCAAAGTCACATAGCTGAATAGATTGTGTGAAACAACTGATTAGACATATATAAGTATATATATATGATATATGAATTGAAGTGTTTTTCAAAACTAATTGAAGTAACGTGGATATGACTCACACTTTGTGTATTACTCACATTTTAGTAGATCATATAAATATATACGAAGGATTTCATATCAAAACTAACTGCAACTAAGCTATATACAGCTGATTTATATATGTATATATAAACAACGGATTTGTTTGTGAGCCTAATATGTAAATAAACTTGTTCAAATAAGCAACAAATATAATTTTCCTATTGTTTGAAGCAATTATTGCGACTCCAGGGAACAATACAAGTGGGCAGAGACGCCAAAACTTGCTTATACGAAAATTACTATGCAGGTCAAGTCATTAGATACATACGCCATAGGAATGTGTAGAGCTTGGCATGGAACAGCAGATAGACGCCATATAAGGCGCCGACATGCAAAAATGTTTGGGCGATAAGATCGGGCCATCGGATTTGAGGATTGTAGGCCACTTCCGCTTCTATGGCTTCTGCCTTGCTGGGCAGCAGCTCTCTCTTGGCCGCGTTCTCCTTGTAGATGACATCCTCCTTCTTAAAGACTAAATTATCATCGAGCTCAGCTTGTTCTTTGGTCTTTCGTGTAGCGTCTGTGGCTTGGCCTCTGTGTTTCAATTGTGTATCACTTGATGTTGCTGCTTGGTCATTCTTGCCGCACATTTCGCCCATGCAACAGTTGCCGTTACTCTGTCCTTCAACGGCTGCCGTGCCGGCTTTGCTTATAGTCGGTGTGGAAAGGCACATCGTGTGTGGATCGGTTCTGATTGCTGCTCCAATCTCCGGTGGTCTACGATCTGCAATTGGAGACATTGATCTGTGAGTAATCGACTCGCCATAGACTTGCTAATTAACGGTTTGAATGGGCCTCATCTCATCTAATCAACACAGACTATTTGTGTAAATATTGATTGTGCTTTTATATATATTTCTCTGTTGACTGCTGTGAATAGCTCGAATGTCTCACATGCTCACTGCCTGCTAGTACTTAACATTTCTAGCATGTTTTGAGGCTTTTAAGATGCCCATAAATTTACACTATTTATTAACATTGTTATTCTCGTTTTAAACCATTAACATCGTCGATTTCCCTCATTTGTCTTATCTAAGTGAGTGACTTTACCCAACTTATCGCAACAGCAATAAAAACAATCTATTTTCTGAGATTCTACAAATTATAACCCATTGGCAGGTTGGAATATGCTTGTTATGATGGTTAATCTTATTTATTAAAGGACGACAAACGATTCGAATTTTGAATATTCTTACAATATGCATATCTTCAATAAGATGCTCTAAAATATTTAAAAATAAGTCTCTCTATTTATTTTCATTATCATTTCACTTCACTATCAAACATAGTTTCGACAGACAATTTTCAAGATATCTTCTGCTGGCAATTGTTGAAATATATTAAAGACAGGCTACCAGCATACTGAGTACTGAGTACTGCTAATCAACTGCTCTTTCCTATTTTTGTACTGATTACGAACCAAAAAGTCATAATAATCTCACAAAATACGCAGAAAAAAACAAACGCACCAAAAAAATGCAGACTACAAATTTCTCTTTAAAAAGTTGTGTGATTCTTATCCGATCTTGATGAAATTTGGGCAGTTGATCAATAATATGCATATGCATATTGTGTATTGATTAGAAGATTCTGCCTTTAAAACTGTAGCATTTATTGCTATCGGAAATCTAAATGTATCGATAATCGAGAAACGGAGGCAGTTATCGATAAAAAGAAAACAAACTTGAACTGCACCGGGTATACGAGAGCCTATACTCCAAATTTGAAGTCTCTAGCTCTTAGAGTCTCTGAGATCCGCGATTTCATACATGGCATAACATGGCCATATCGATCCTGATCAAAAATATATATACTTTATAGGGTCAAAGATGCTTCCTTCTGCCTGTTACATACATTTACACAAAACCATTATACCATTTTACCCACTTTTACTGGGTTCAGGGTAGAAAGACGCAGTGTTCAAAGAGTAAAGAATTATCAATATAAAAAATAAAAATAGTTTAACACCTGTACAACTAAAAATGCGTTGTCAGCACGACCAGGAATTTCAATAAAAACGAACTTTCTTATCAATGTGATATGAGCCAAACAAATTGCCAGACAATTCTAATCGCAGCTGCGTCTGGGCGAATGATTAGGTGAGTAAACACCTGGCGCATTCACATTAGACGCAAATACCACCGTGTGGATATTACGCAAGAGTAGTTCATTCAGGGCACTGATAAGCGATACGCGACTGATAAGTGATCACTAGAAATAAGGAAAGACTCGGCTGACTCACGGACTCAAACACTGAAAACAACGGCCAGGTGTTAAATGACTAATTTCGGCAATATTTGCGAGTCCGTTCATTGTACAAATGAGTTCCACAAATGATCACTGTAGTGTTAAATGAACAATCAGTCATTAAAGCTAGCCCAGACGGGGCGTAAAAACTCTGCCAATATTCCATTGGTTCTGCACACATTATTGATAAGATAAGATGGATGTATTCCAATGTCACCCATCCGTCAGCTTAAAGTGCCTCTGGCAGACTGAATAACTGAATAAAGTGTGCCATTTCCACAATGGGGTTAATATGTTTATATAAATATTCATATTTTCATTTTGCAATATTCGTTAATTTTCAAAAATTGAGTTTATATTATTATTACATACCAGTCCGTAACCGAAAACCGTAAAAAGTTTCTGAGTAAAATGGAATCCTTACCGGAATTTTTCTTCTACAGTTTGACAGACTGGTTTATATAGATTGTTTTCGAGTTGATTTTGTACTTTGTATATCATCAAGTTTTCATTATATTTATACATTTCTGAAAATTGATTTGAGAAACTCTGGAAAATTTGACAACTTGAACAATGCAATATGCTTTAAATAAATCCAAAATCATTTTCGTTGCTTAAGAATTGGTTCGAACTTTTATGTGCTATTTGCAAGCGTTGTTTTCTATATAATTCTTTTGAAAATCAGTAAATTTATGAGCTCAAACATTGCCAGGAAATATTCCTATAATCAATCATCAATAATCATTAAGTAGTAATTGCAACAAGCAAAGGAAATAACTAAGTTGATAATTTTTTACAAGCTTGCTTTTTTTTATAAGTTCTCTGGAAAATTAGTTATTGCTTTTGCTAACTGTTGGTCAATGTTTAACCTCAAATCCTTTCCAGGGAATTTTTTTTATAATTAACTAATAGCAGTTGCAAAAGCGAAAAGAAACTTGATAATTTTTCAGCACAGTGTTGTTTTCTGACATTCATCATACGCAGTGAGTGACAAACATCATTGGCCCATCGGTGTCCCCTGTGGCGCTTAACACTCCCCGTTTCGTATTTGCCTTTTAATTAGATAATGTGGCACATAAAACGCACTGCTACGCTAATTCGATAAGGCAAATAGCAAAATAGCTGAAAACCGAGCTCGGGAATATGAGCTGGATGGACGGACACAGGATGACAACGGGGCCAACTCAATGACAATCAAATAGAGTGAAACCAATGTGGCCAGCCAAAAAGGTGGCAACCAGACTGAAGTGCCAGCCCATGGGTTGGAGAGAGCATGTCACAGGAGTTGATCAACATTTTCATTGTGCCAATACACGCAACGCGAGGGCAAAGTCTGCTTCGAGCATGCATAAATTATACTCGTATTTATTATACAAAATTCATTGTTTTGGTTTTTGTTTTTTCCGTTTTTGGCTGTTGTGCCACAACTTGGCAACGCAAGCCAACACCAAACACTAAACAACAATTTATATTACTCTTAATAATAAATAATAATAAAACAATAAAGGAGGCCAGAGCCAAACCAACTGTTTTATTGGCTATTCGTTGAGCCCGCTCGTCCGTCTGGACTTTGACTGATGACAGAGTCGGGCCATATCGCTGATTTTTCTGACCGCCCCTTGACCGAGTTCTTAAAACTTGCCAATTGCCCAACGGCAACAGCACGTCTCTATTAAATAAATATATAGATAAAAGTAGTTGAAAGAGAAAAGGAAATACTAAACAAATTGTTCTATCAACACTTTCATATCAATATGAAAAATTTTAATGGAAATTTTCCGTGCCGCTTATCGAGTGCAGACTTCCAACTAACAACAATTTCTATTAGACAAGTGTGCAACGTGTAAACAACCTTGAAATTTAATCTATAAGCAAAGGGGTGATTTTTTTGTTGTTTTCTAATAAATTATTATTTGAACACTTGGGAAGCATTTATTTATTTATATATTCGCAGTTGCCCTCAATAAACAGTTCCTCGTATTCAGCGACTCTCAAGTGGATTGTTATCAAATTTCATTCTGCTTAAAATGGTTCATGCTTCATGATTGTGGCACAAGTAGATGATTCTTATTAAACTGGTAACTAATGCAGCCATCATTATTAACCTCAGATAATTTCATATATTTATTATTAGATGGATTGCAAACTCTTTTGAATCTTTCGCTCCATCAATCCTTCTCGCAAGAATCTTTGCCGTATAGAGTATTTCTAGAATACTATATCTTTTTCTGTCTAAGGCAACTTATTTTGTGATGTGCTTTATGTACTCTTCCCCAGTGTCACAAAATCGATACATCTCGCTTCTGACTGTACCTAGTTAGTTTAGTTGACTCTAAACAACTCATTTTTGAAATCTGTAATCAGCAATTGCAACGTGCTTCCAACTTTTCGCATTATTAAAATAAAATTGTAAATATAATTGCCTCATTTTGTTTTACTAAAATTGAAACAGATGTAACTGCTTAAACTAATTAAAAGACTCATTATTCACTTAATACAATGTTGATAATTAACTTATTTCGATCAATGATACACAATATGCAAGCTTAATTGCCATTCAATTTCTTTGAATCAATTTCATTGTGGCAATTGTTGCCGGCAATAAATTTAAGAAACCAATAAAGAAAACCAGCCCCATTGCGCTGCAATACTATATTCTGATTAATGTAGCATATCCAAAAAAATAGTGGAATTTAATGGAACTCAAATCAAGTGAATTGAAAACGTCGAAAAAAATAAGTATTTTCAGTCAGAGAGGCTCTCTTCAGATTTCGATTATCGTGGCAAACTTTAGCAGACATTTTCAAGTGTAAGTTTGTAAAAATGTTCAAATACGAAATTTTGAAATGTGTTTCTATAGCTCTCAGTCACAGTATAATTATGAATAGGAATTTTGTTTTTCAGATCGCGTAAATCAAATCAAATTATTTCGAATATGTGTATTATATATACAAGCATTCTTCCTATATAATTCTTTTAAAAATCAGTAAACGTATCAGCAAGCTATGGGTAAATATATAACCTGAAAACCTTTCCTGTAAATATTTTTATAAATATCAAAGAGTCGTAATGTTTTCTAATTGCTTTTTTTGCTTTAGATCGAAATATGAATATGGATTTTGTTGTTCCGATCGCGTAATTTAAAACTGTGTTGACTGTGTTAATAAACAATTGAGCAAACTTGGTAACAATTCTGCTGGAATTGCTTTTTATCTAGCCAGTTGGCTCTTTTTTTATTTTGCCGAGTGTTTCACTCTCACACAATTTGTATGCGCCCTTGTCGAAATTTGAAACATTTGCTGACGTCAGTCAACGAGTATTCTTAAAATTAAAAGTGTTTTTTTTTCCGGCTTTTTTTTAAGGTTATTATTTAGGGTTTTTGAATGGACGACAATAATTGAAACGTACTTTATGTTGTTATGTTGGCAACGCGCTTAATCACATGAAAAAATTCTTTTTTCCGTCCACAATCTTGAAACTAACGCCAAAAAAATAATAAAAAATATTATTTTTTATTATTTTTTCTTATTTATCTCTGGCTCGTTTAGCGCGTTCTCGCTGTTCACCAACCGAACGAACTAAAATGACTAACAGCCGCTGCTCAACTGGCCGACATTTACATCCATATCCAAGAGCTAACGACGCCTCGACGCTGCCGCTGCCGCAGCCGTTGGCGCTGACGCTGCTGGCGCAGCGAGCGTGGAGCTGGGAGCTGGAAGCGGCGTCGCAAACGTTGCCTTTTACTAGCATTCAATTTGTTTTTCACTTTTATTTGCTTGCGTTGCTATTGTTGTTGCTGTTCTTGTTGCTGTTGCCGTTGCTGTTTGTTCGCTTCGTCGTCTCTATCGCTATTATCTACCCATTGCGTGCTGCTTCCCTCTCTTTTGTCCATGTCTGCTATTTACTATTCTCTGTTGTGCTCACACATTCCGTAAACATTACAAAAGCAGCAAAACCAGCTTTGCCAGCGTGTGTTCAGCGTTTGTAGTTTGTAGTTCAAAGTCAATGTCTGAGCGAGCGGTTCCAGTCGACTCTCTGATTGCTGATTGTGTAGGCGTTGGCGACAGCTCGCCTGGCGTAGTTGGAGGGGGGGTGGGTCTGGTCTGGCTTAGGGGTGAGCAACAGCCGGCATTATATTTTATATACTTAACTGTGGCAGCATTTCGTCATCGCAACTCGTCAGTCAATGCCCGTAAATATCGGCAAAGCGTGTTCACTGCGTCGGAGTAATTTCAACGTTAACCCAGTTTGTGGTTTTTTTTTTTTTATTGTTTTGGGCTCCTTGCCACAAACAGGCTTGTTGCTTCTCCATGTCAACCAACAAACCATTTTGGCTCTCCCCTACGCTCTCTCCATCTATCTCTCTTTGTCTCCCCATCCCTCTCTCTATCTCTGTCTGTTGTTTTTGTTTGTTGCCTAGTCAGTGGTAATATCAGTCCCGCCACTGCGTGGGCCTCAGATATCAGGCATTAACACATGCTGCTCTTGCTTGTCTTCTATGAGCTTTAAAAAATTATATTTCCTATGCCCTGCAAACGTAAAAGAAATGCTTAAAAGGGGTATAATGAGCCAGTACAAATGTAGTAACCATCAAAAATATGCTGAAAAAGTATAACTTTTGGTAGTTCTTTTTGTGGAATATATGAGACATATCAACTGAACTATAAACAAATAAATATCAATAAAATGCACGCTGATTAATAAAATAGTATAGACCATAGTACAGCAATGAGACGGAAGCAAGGCGCTCGTACTTATCGCTTCGGAGCGTTAAATCGTAATTCCAGCAATTCTGATAAGCACACCTTAGCTAATATTTGCCAGCACACCAAAAATATGCATATATAAACATATTTAAACGCATATATTGCTTTAAATAAAAAATGCAAATTAATTCTTTTGCCGTTGCTCAGATGAGCAAATATCAGATTAGAAAAAAAACATGCTGATCAAATGTTTAACCACGCCCCCTTTAATTATGTTCAATCGTAAATTCATAGCGGAGAAACAGGAAAAATAAAACCAAAAAAAAAGAAGAGATGATGTGAATCTGTTATTGTTATTGTTGTTGTTGCTGCTCAAAATGCTGGCACAGCGATAGCGACCGGTTTGCTCTTTCGTATTTTTGGGGAATGGAGGCGTAGGCCAACGCGGCGAATGATGATGCAATGGCAACGCGGTGATAAATATAGAAAAATAATATACTGAGAGACAACTATTTGACTTCCACATATGTTCACACATACATATATATATATATATATGTATATATTTATGTGTATTTATGTACACGTCCATATAATCATTGAGTGTTTGTTTGTTTGCTTATCGAACAAGACGAAATCTGGCTCTGATTGTGGGATTCGCAGTGCAGTTATTAAACTAGTTAAAGTAGTTGGTTAAATTCACTATATTTCTATTTCTATTTTTGTTATGAAAGCACAAACTTAGGGGCGCAGGCTTCTACCGGCACGTAGCCGCGCAAATTCACAAAATGCCATCATAAATACCCCTTTTTGATGACAGCACTCAGTCCCCCCACAGCTGTGCAATGACAATAAAGTAGCGATAGGGATACTCGAATTAAGTTCACAATCGCATGGGATTTCAAATTGATAAGATGATAAGAGTGCTGACTATTAGTTTATCTCTGATGTTTATACATAGTTTATACAAGGAGCACTTCGCATTATACCAAACAGTGAGTCATTGGACAGAAGCGTTGCCAATAGCAGCAACATGTGATGACATAATAGACCCAATTCAATTCGTCATCCATACTCCAACCCCCTTAAAGGAAACAAAAAAAAAAAAAAAAGCTGACAGAAAGGACAACTCTGGCTAGATGAGTGCCACACAAAGTTTTTCCGCAAAGTACATGCCAAATAATATTAACATACAAAGTGGCTGTAAATTCAGTTTAGTGTTTTAGTGTATATGTATGTGTGTATATATATATAGATGTGTGTGTGTGTGTGTGTGTGGGTGTGTATAGAATATTAATTGTTTGGCGAACCATTCATGTTCGTTAGCTATGCCTCACAAAATTATAGAAACTCAAGCACAAGGTCGCTAAGCAGTTAAATTAACGAAATGATGAACGACATTAATAATACATGTCCCCCAAAGGAGCCAGTTGTCTGGCATGTAAAAGATATCAATCGTCTAACTGTAATTGCCATAAGCACACAATAATCCAATATGTCAGCCACCTAGGCAGCCTGTTTGTCTGTCTGTCTGTTTGTCTGTCAGTTTGTCTGCCGGAGTGTCTATCAAATCGTACAACTGCAACAACATTTACCACCAATTGTTGCCTTTCAGCGCATGTTGTGACCAGTAGAATACTTTATATATTCTATAATCGTTATAACGGTACAGAACGGGTATAATAAAGTGTTACGAAAGGGAAATAATTTTATACCATGTTTTTTGAGGACAGTACCCCAGACATCTAATAAAATTTTCATATTTTTTAAATTAAAATGGAATTTTAAATTTTATTTTTAGTTTAGTTTAAATAATTGTTTACTTTTGATTTTGTCATGTGTTTACTTCTGTCTGTTCGTTCGGTCATCTAAACCAACTTGTGATAGGCTCAAGCTTTGATCCAGGGTATCTCCTAGTTGAGCAGCCTCCATAATGGATTATTACTGGGCTTAATTGCGAGGGTAAGCCCGTGTTGCTACACTTTGGATATTGCTTTTGTAAGTGTTGGCCTTGTTCGAATATTCCCACTGACATGCACTGGAACACATTTCAAAATTGTTATATTGCGTGATTTGGCTGTTGACTTGAATCAAATAGCAAAATGGCAATCATGCTGTTTGTTGTGGTCAAAGTTTCATCAGTATCCTGTAAAAATTTTTTGTCGAATTACAGGTTCTAAAGTAAAACCACGTATTGATAGTAGTAAAAAAAAAATAATACTAAATTCTAGCTATCATTATGAGATAATTCAAGTATAGTTTAATAAATATGCCATTTCGTATGTTCAGTCATTACACATTTTATAATTCGAAAGATAATATCTTATCAAAACATTATAATTAAGGGCCCAAAATGTTAAATAATGTTTAAAATTCCGATAAATATTTAAATGCCTTTAATACTTTTGTTGCATTAGCAATAATTATCTATGAGCTTCTTATAGATTAAATGTACTTAACATGTGATTTGCTACACATTATTTTACCACGCTGTAACCGTCTTTAATAATAAATTTAATTAAATTTAAAAGTATTGTTGAACAAGTTAATTTTCTTACAGGAAATCGTCTAAAAGCTTTTTATTTAAGCTTATAATTTAGGTGGCGATGTGAAGTATTTGTATTTAAGCTTTTAGTGGTTGATGTTCTTACTAAATTGAAAAGTAAAGACGCACACCAAATGAGTTGAATTTTAAATTTGGGTGAATTTTCACGAAGCATATTAGCGCAGTTGCAAACCAATTCAAACTCCCATTATTTACCTCGCCTCAACACATTTGCATACTGAATATTTTATTTAGTTTTTCAAATATATTTGTGTAGCATTTATATAGCCAAGTAGAACAGGAAAGAGGTGCACCCACAACAAGACTTTAGATGAAAAGCTTCAACAAAAATTGTATTCGGCCCCTCGCCTTGGTGAAAAGCTGACAACGCTTTGGTGTAACATATTATTTAAAGGATTATAACTTTATCAAAACAATTACTATTTTATTTTCAATGCTTACAATGTTCTTATACATTATCGAAGTCAATATAAAAAAAAATGCTCATCAGGCTTTGACAAGAGTAATTTTATAAAATGTTGCCGGCTTCAACCCCAACATTTAGTCTATCATCGTAAATTAAGTCGCACAACATGGAAAAGTCGCTTTCTTATAGTATACATGATAAATCCCTTTTGTACAAGAAGCCACCACCAACATACCACACCCACCTCCCCCCTCCATCTACTTCTACCTCACACTTCACCCTGAATGCGCACGTGATTATTCAAAATATTTATTACCGATTCCCACATGTGCCGTAATTACAAGCGGCGCATGTAAATGAGCCGAGTCGTGTGGAAAACTAGATCCACCAGCCGCAGTATTAACCCCTTTTCGCACATGTGTGGCAAGGATTTCATGCATCGCTACCACAAGTGTTTGTACAACAGCATCCAGCTGGCTGGAGGGGGCAGGCAAACAGGCAGGCCTATGAAACAACAAAAGTTACAAAGTGAATCCAATAAATATGCGCCACGCACTTTTTAATTAAACGCACATTCGAATATGTCGCCTCGGGGAGTGGATAACAAGATGACACACATAAGGCTCGGAAGTGATGCGTGTTTCCATTCACGATTGCTGTTAATCAAAGAAAGAAGTCCATGTACATCAAAGTGGATCAGAGCGCGCCAAGGAATTAAAAATTACACTCTCATAATGACAAGGCGTTGTTTAGTATTAAATTACAATTAATGTTTCATGTGGGGCTTTGAAGAATTTTCCGCGGCAGGTGTCATGTGGCAAGCATCAATTAGAATTTAAAGCCATTTATAAATTTCAAACAATACTTTAATTAATTTTTAAAAATGTTTACTGATTTATTTAGTTGAAGTTACGTTCATTCAGCTCTTGTAAAAAAAACCGCATCTTCTGTACAACAGAATTTCTGATTGAGCTGAACCAGCGCGACGACGACGACATTGCCAGCGGAACACAATCTAGACATTCAGGTAGTTGTCTGGGAATTCGAAGGTAACATCGCGGCCGGTAAGCTTCTTGTAGACCGAGGTGAAGGTGTCAACCTGCAAAACAGAATACAAATAAATTAGTCACAGCTCCATTTAGTTAAACATATAAATAATATTAAACAGTATTGTAATAATAAACAATAATTATATAAATAATATGACAAAAAGTGTCAAACGGTTCAGCCTTTTGCTGCAACATAAATAGCTGTAGTAAAAATTGGTTAAACGAGTCTGTTTAATTTGCCGCCGATATAGGAAGTCCCAAGGCACCAGGCACAAAACGGCGCTTGGGAGGCAAATAGGCGGAGGCTTTAAGCTTTAAAGTAACAACAGATGCGTGTGTTCATGGAGAGGGGCATGTAACCAGCTTTTAGTAATGTAAAAGCTATAGACCAGAGTCAGCTCAACATTATGGAGTAAGGTGGTACTTAATGTGCGTTCTGTTTGACAATCACTGAACGAGTATCTAAATTCAGCAAATAACACAAGAACGGTCGCCGTTTCAATTATAGAGTGAGTAATATAATGTTGTGTGACACCTAACACTCGTTTGTTTATAAATATGTTCTCAAATTTGATCATTTCAAAATTTCCGTTTTCCTCTTTGATTCTCTCAACTTCGTTGATAAAGCTATACTAATAGAATTTCCTTTTTAGAGTAAGCTTGTAAGTTAAGCTCTGAATCTGTAGTTCTTTAACACCATTCTAGTTGCGCATAAATTCCAGATTAATGTAGCCCGAGGATAGTTATGTAGACACCTTGGTTTTGATAGGTTCAACAACGTGGAGTTAACTGGCTTGGAGTTTGTTGTGCGTTCTGTTTGACAATCACTGAATGATAAACTAAATTCAGCAAATAACACAAGAACGGTATTAAAAATTTGTCACTAAGTGTATAACCCATATTAAAGGAGACGTTATTCGAGTCAATTTGTTTATAACTGTTTTTGCTCAATCATCATATAAAACATCAGGTTTTCTGAATGGTTCTATGAAAACTAATATATTCGTATATGAATATATGTGGATATAATTATATAATTATACATATAATACGTCTGCTTATTTGTACAGCAACTATCTAAATATTCAGGTTGAGTTCCTCATCTGTACTACTGAAACTTTTCTATAACTTTAAAGCAATGTAGCCCGAGGATAGTTATGTAGACACCTTGGTTTTGATAGGTTCAACAATGTGGAGTTAACTGGCTTGGAGTTTGTTGTGCGTTCTGTTTGACAATCACTGAATGATAAACTAAATTCAGCAAATAACACAAGAACGGTATTAAAAATTTGTCACTAAGTGTATAACCCATATTAAAGGAGACGTTATTCGAGTCAATTTGTTTATAACTGTTTTTGCTCAATCATCATATAAAACATCAGGTTTTCTGAATGGTTCTCGAAAACTAATATATTCTTATATGAATATATGTGGATATAATTGTACATATAATACGTCTGCTTATTTGTACAGCAACTATCTAAATATTCAGGTTGAGTTCATCTGTACTACTGAAACTTTTCTATAACTTTAAAGCAATGTAGCCCGAGGATAGTTATGTAGACACCTTGGTTTTGATAGGTTCAACAATGTGGAGTTAACTGGCTTGGAGTTTGTTGTGCGTTCTGTTTGACAATCACTGAATGAGAGACTAAATTCAGCAAATAACACAAGAACGGTGTCTGTTTCATCGTGTAAACCCTTCAAGTCTGGTTATAAGTATATTCTCAAATTTCACAATTATTATATATAAGTGGCAATCTTTCTGTTTTTTTCCATGCAAACTAATTACACTAAACATTATATTGATAGAAGTTTAAATAGAATATATCTGCCTTAAACATACAATTATTACATATGCTCTGGATTTATCCTTTAGTTGTGTATACATATTTAGAGGAGGAATGTAGCCAGAGGATAGTTATGTAGACACCTTGGTATTGATAGGTTCAACAACGTGGAGTTAACTGGCTTGGAATTTGCTGTGCGTTCTGTTTGACAATCACTGAATGATAAACTAAGTTCAGCAAATAACACAAGAACGGTAGCATTGCTATAAATGTGGCCAATATATGGAGATGTGCACCGGCACGGCGGCGTTAGTGGTGCACAATAACGAGTTATTGGCGAATGCTGTGTGTCCCCTGTGACAATCACGACGCTTGGCAGACGCGCCGCAAATAACACGGGGACAACAACAACGCACAGTGGTTAAATTTCGAGTAATATTGTTACAGCTGGCGACACTCACTTTGTGTTCGATGGTGGTCTGCTGGTTCTTGTCCAGGTGCACCTTAACCAGCTGGGAGCCGTCCAGCTTGACGCGGACACGCTTGCCAACGATTTCGGCGGGGAAGACCAGATCCTCCAGAATGGCATCGTACACAGCGGTCAGAGTGCGCGAGCGTGGACGCTTCTGTTTCAATGGGTTGCGCGCCTTGCGGGTCGGCTTGGGCAGAATCTTGCGCTCGCCGATGACGACAACGTGCTTGCCGGAGAATTTCTTCTCCAGTTCGCGGACCAGAATGATCTGGATCTTCTGGAACACCTTCTGCTGGGGAATGGGCACGTAGATGATGACGGCCTGCAAACACACGCGCACACACAGAGAGAGAGAGAGAGAGAGAGTAAACACACATTAGCTGGAGTCGACATCAATCAACAGCAACAACTCACCTTCTTGCTGCCAAACTCAATCTCGCGTGCACGGGTAATGTGCAAATCGCGCAGATAAGGCTTCAGATCGCTGTTGGCCTCCAGCTCAACGAGCGCCTGGGCAATGGACTTCTCGAACTCATCGGGGTCGGAGCCGCCGGGCTTAATAATCTTGGAGCCGATAGCCATCTGCAAATCGAATGGAATGCCCGTTTAATATTGTGATTAATGCTGCCAAAATTAGTGTACAGCAACAGCAAAGCCGCGAAAGCAAATTTTCTTTCAACGCTAGTCGTTTTTCTAATCACTGTGCATCGACTTGATTTGAATGGCTTTCACTCGGCACTTTGTGTCAAAATGATTGGCATTGTTTTGTTAACGTATTTTCGCATTTATTTTCGGCTTTGCGTTGCATGTTGCGCCGGTTTTTCGACTTTTTCATCGCGTTCACAGAAAATTTACACCAACCTTTGTCGACTATTTTGACAGGAAAGGAAGTCAGCGACGCGACACTGAACTGTGCAAACGTCATCGGTACTCAGGGTTGCTTTTGACGTGAAGTTGGCAGCGGTGGTTTGCTTTGTACGCGAAGCGATAGGTGGCGCATGTGTGCTGTTTGAATGTGAACGTAAAAAACATTAAACAAAACGAAAACTCAAATCTAACAGCTTAATTACATTTTAATGATTCATTTGATTCTTTACCATAATTTTTCTTAAATCTAAAATCATTTTCAACACCAAAACCATTTTGATCTGGACTTAGCATTTAGATTAGTACTACAATACTTGCTTATTAAATAAATAAATTGGTGAAACTACTAATTAATAAATAATACAGACAACTAAAATTTTCAGTGCGGTCCATATCTATGTAAATAATAGATATAAATATTAAGATTCAGCACATAAAAGAAAAATGTACTTTATACTTTGGGGAAAACGATAACAAATTTTAGATACTGCAGATACAGTAAGAATAATTAGTTATTTTCTTAAGCAAATAACAGGTATTTATACATGTGCTGGAGAAATACACCGGTTCCAATTTCACTTATCAAAAATCACATACCGAAAAATTTCCCCCGTCTTTTTGTTTTGGCCAAGGTTGAATTCTGTGTAGTTTCGCTCAATAAAAAGTCCCCTTCGCTTGAAGCTATTATATATTATAAATATTTCAGCGACATCAGGTCGAGTCTTATCAGAATCGCTGAGCACCAGTGAGCTATAAAAACGGCACTTGCATGCCAGACAAATTATCAATCGCTCAGCTGCAGCAGCCACAGTAACAACTCAGATCTTAACCCACTACATTCCAAGGAATTCTAAATACCACATCTCAACATGAACTTCTACAAGATCTTCATCTTTGTTGCCCTCATCCTTGCCATCAGCATAGGTCAATCCGAGGCTGGTTGGTTGAAGAAGCTTGGCAAGAGAATTGTAAGTGTTTTGAAGGTGCACACAATATAAACCAATACTTATTATATATTTTTGTGTTATTACAGGAACGCGTTGGCCAGCACACTCGGGATGCCACCATCCAGGGACTGGGTATCGCCCAACAGGCCGCCAATGTTGCAGCCACTGCCAGGGGCTAACGTCAATAACCCCAAGCTGTGTTCTTAAATTATCCATTAAATATATTTATTTATTAATTTTAAGTGTCTACATATAATAAAATAAAATTGACAATTCAAATATATCAAGCAAAACCTTTTGTGTCTTTTAAAATAAATAAAATCAAATTATATACAGATTAAACTTATGACTTGCACGACTCTAATCTTTCAGATGATATTATAATTTTCTTTTGATGTTTGTAACGCATTGAAGAAGACGTCAAGATAATAAACAGAAAATATGTTAGAGAAGAGTGCCTGACGCTTAGCTGTCAACTTATGTGAACACATTTGACATCGCAGCTTGTCTTGCATTTCCCTTTTGTAATTTAATCTGTTGTTAAATGCGAGCAAAGGTAATTGTAATTTATATTTGTATAAGTTACATGAATCGTACCTATTTCCTGTATTAGACACAAAGCTCTGAATAAATATAAACCTCAAGCTATAATTATTATTATTATAGCTCTTCCATCAGCTCCAACTCCCTCACGAACGTGAGGATCTTTGTTGGGTTGGGGTCTACTATGTCTTTGCAATTCAAAACATGCGCCCCGAGGGCGCTATAATAGATATAACAAGAAAATTCATCCCATGTACTGTATATTAATAATAAATACATCAGTTTGAAAGACTTATACCAAATTCTAACGCAATATTGTAGCTTCAGTAGTCTGCGGCAAACGCAGAGTTATGATAATTAACACTTGTATTAGTTGAGTTCAGAATACTGACAAAGATTAAATTAATTTGACATTTGTTCTGCATGCTTCAAAATTAAGCATATATGCCAAGGTCAATAGGTTTAAGACTGAGGGACCAGTTTGCATCGAAACAGACAGAGGGAAAAGGATATGCCGACTCGGCATATATGCATATACTTTGTGGGATCAACATCAAACATCAAAACAAAAATATAATATCATCTGCAATAATTAAGTCAAGCAAGTCATGATTTTATTCTGTATATAAATTTATTTTATTTCTTTTAAAAGTCAAAAGAGGTTTTGCTTCGAAATATATTAATTGTTAAATTTATTTATATATGTAAACACTTAAAATTAATAAATAAATATATTTAATGAATAATTGAAGAGCACAGCTATTGACGGGGGCTATTGACATCAGCCTCTGGCAGTGGCTGCAACATTGGCGGCCTGTTGGGCGATACCCAGTCCCTGGATGGTGGCATCCCGAGTGTGCTGGCCAACGCGTTCCTGTAATAACACAAAAATATATAATAAGTATTGGTTTATATTGTGTGCACCTTCAAAACACTTACAATTCTCTTGCCAAGCTTCTTCAACCAACCAGCCTCGGATTGACCTATGCTGATGGCAAGGATGAGGGCAACAAAGATGAAGATCTTGTAGAAGTTCATGTTGAGATGTGGTATTTGAAATTCCTTGGAATGTAGTGGGTTAAGATCTGAATGTTACCGTGGCTGCTGGAGCTGAGCGACTGATGATTTGAGTAGCCAGACAGTGCCTCTTTTATATGTTGAATGATTCAAGCCATCAAGCTGCCGTCGGCAAGCAGCAGGCTGATAAGCTTTTAATGTGGCTTGCATAAATGCAAAGGGGATTTTGTCTGGCAAGAAGACGAACGAACGCAAGCAGTGTAGTCGTTCTAATAAGAATGTCAGGAAAAAATGTTTAATTCGGGTAACCACCAAACACGTTTGTCATACTTTAAAGCCAAATGCAAATTGGGTGATTTACAGAAGTTTACTACTAGGCAAATCATTAATGAAATTTTGCGCGGGTTTTTCTGTTTCTCTACTACAGCAAATTGTGTGAAATACAACATTTTACTACGAGCTAAAAAATGAATGAAATTTTGTGTGGATTTCTCTTGCTCTTTACTCAAAAAGAATGTGCCACTGACCTGTTCTGGCTGATCGTAATGACATTTAGCGATCGCTTCGATCGGGCCTACACGTAATAAATTAACCGCAGAGAGAACGTTAATTTGTTTATTTAAAATATTTGAAAGCAGAATATTGTTGCTTTAATATTCTAAGTATTTTTCTACTCAACAGTTTTTTGGACCACGCCCACTCTCGGTCCCAAAATGATCAAATGCCTATATCTCCCGCAATTTAAGAGCTAAATTTACCAAACTTGGAAGAACGATTAAAAGGAACTTTCTCTAATAATTGTTTTCAGCCACGCCCACTCCCGCCCCCAAAATTCCCAGAAGCCCATATCAACCGCTCTTTTAAAGTCAAACTTAGACGCCAGATAACTTAAAATCTCCTTCAAGGATCATATTTCATGGATGATACTTTATGGTATCAGAGTATTTTGTAGTCGGTTACGCCCGACTGCAATGTTGTCACTTGATTTTGTGAGTATTTAAAAAAAATGATTTCATAAAAGAATTTATCTTTCGACTGATTGTTCCAATGAGATTTATATGATTGATTTGATTGATCCGGCAAAATCCAATATATTTATCGCCTGTAGTAAAAAGTCTATGTATATGCCAAGTTTTATCATATTTCTATACTGATCAGGAATATATATACCTCGGATATATTCCGCAGAAATGTCTCCCTTAATGTATTCAGAATTACATCATGACAAATACTGTTTAATAATTTTGCTGAAATAAATGGTGTATTAACAGAGCAAATACAATATAAGCTAATTATAAAAGTTTACAATTTAACTGCTCTAATGATATAAGGTCTACTAAAAGAAATATCAAAAAGCATATAACAAATGATTCCCCAATTTAAAACTCTTACAAAGTCAGGTTGACATTCGCGTAGTATTCCCCATAAAAAATCCCCTATTCATCTGCGTTGTTTTTATTCGCGCAACATCTGTTCAAACCTTATCAGACTCGGTAAGGTGCTCGACTGCTGATTTGCGGTATATAAGCACGTTCAGCTGGCTACTCAAATCATCAGTCGCTCAGCTCCAGCAACCACAGTAACAGCTCAAATCCTTACTCACTATCTTCCAAGGAATTTCAAATACCACATCTCAAAATGAACTTCTACAAGATCTTCATCTTTGTTGCCCTCATCCTTGCCATCAGCATAGGTCAATCCGAGGCTGGTTGGTTGAAGAAGCTTGGCAAGAGAATTGTAAGTGCTTTGAAGGTATATTCAGTATAAACCAAGACTTATGATATATTTTTGTGTTATTACAGGAACGCGTTGGCCAGCACACTCGGGATGCCACCATCCAGGGACTGGGTATCGCCCAACAGGCCGCCAATGTTGCAGCCACTGCCAGGGGCTAACGTCAATAACCCCAAGCTGTGTTCTTAAATTATCCATTAAATATATTTATTTATTAAATTTAAGTGTTTACATATAATAAAATAAAATTGACAATTCAAATATATCAAGCAAAACCTTTTGTGTCTTTTAAAATAAATAAAATCAAATTATATACAGATTAAACTTATGACTTGCACGACTCTAATCTTTCAGATGATATTATAATTTTCTTTTGATGTTTGTAACGCATTGAAGAAGACGTCAAGATAATAAACAGAAAATATGTTAGAGAAGAGTGCCTGACGCTTAGCTGTCAACTTATGTGAACACATTTGACATGTTTAACATTGTATTTAACAGCATGAATTAATATGATATAAACAATAAAATGCATCCAATAAACTGTGTATTTAATAAAAATACATCCGTTTAAATGACTCTAACATGTAGCTACGTATTTTTATTTGTTACCCTTTTTGCACTTGCAAAATTTGGAGTAATAAATATTTGTTTTTCCGCTATAAATAATAGACCGTCAAATGTAGCTTATATGTATATATATTGTATATTTATATATATACATATATATATGTATATAAATATATTTATATTTCTATAATTGCATAAATAAACAAATTTGGTGTGCTTATAAATAATAAATATAATTTCCTACACAATA